ACCGCCCTGTTTGGTACGGCCGGTGAGGGCGACGACTTCTCCGTCGTCGCCGTTCGTCTCCGTGAGGAGAGCAAGGGTAGGGCCGTGCAGCGTCAGGTGATCAAACACCGATGATGCTGTGTCTGCTCTGGAAGAGCCCTGTACATTCCAGAGCATGATATCCAATGAGGTCATCMTGACTTCTTGGTCGTCCTAGAACGACGGACCACTTTGGGCTTCTTGGTGTCGGGCTTGGGAGGGGTGGACGGATCGACCTCGRCCGWCTCCGACACCTCTGGCGCGGCGGCGCCCGTGTCGACCTCGACCGACTCGGCAGCGGCCACGTCCTTCTTCCTCTTGAATGCCAAGGAGATGGGGGCAAGGATCTTCTTGACACTGTTCAACAGTGCCGGCGACTCGGTGGCGGAGCTTGAAGAGGCGCTGGCCAGAGTAGCAGGTGGCGCCGCAGCCCTTGGGGCAGTGTACGGCGAGGAAGGTGAGGTCGACAATGATCTGCCCAGTGGGGTGACGTTCTTGATGACGACAGGTGTAGACGGCGTGGCCGCGGGCTCCGTTCTTGTTGGAGAGTGCGAGCGATCGCTCGAGGAGGAAGCGACAGAGGCCTCGGCGCTGTCGGTCTTGGGAGGTGAGCTCACAGGCTTGTCGGCCGCGGGCTTGTTGGGCGTCGTCTTGGAAGGCGTAGCCTTGGCGGACACGGACTGAGCTTGCTTGCGCGCCTTGCGGGCTCGGGTGCTCGAGCGCTTCTTGAAGGGCACGACGCGTGAGGCAGCCACGTTGGGGTTGACCATGATGTCGTCCTTGAGTGACTCGAACTGAGTGGCTGAGGGCCACAGCAGTGTGATCGTGTGACGAGAGCCTGCGACATGGTGATGTACAAACGAAGGAGGACACAACTCTGAAATGTCTGTCGGCTTGGTACGGGCGCCGTCGTCCTTGGTGGCCACAAACGTCATCTCGACGAAGTGGTGGGATGGCACAAACAGGCGGGCGCTGACAGGTGACGAGGCGCCAGTGAGAGTGCAAGCGTTGCTGCGGAAGTGCTCAACAAGCTTGCTGAGCTCGGCAGAAGAGTAGGCTTTGCCTTCAACGGTCAAGCCACGGAGTGCACTGCTATCCTTAGAGGCAGCAGTGCCTGATGGGTACGATCTGCTTACACGCATGTGCAAGCGCAGACCTTTCATGTAGTCCTCTGGCAGCAGCGCTGCGCCAGGGTAGAAGATACGCACGTCGTATGATGACTGCGATGAGGGTGGCGCACGATCATTGATCGGGCCATACCTTGCGAAGAATGACTCCGCTCCCATTGTAATCTGTGACAGGGCACTCACCTGAGTACAGCTGTTGTTGATTGAGAGTTGATGTATTGACTTTGCTAGATTGAGTGATCGAGTAACAGATAGTAACTGTATCACTCGTTTCGGTTGTTTTTTCGTGGCGGGTGGACATAACGATACCCAAAAAAAAGAACAAAAGATGTCGACACCTGAGAGATTCGAACTCTCGCCCCCGAAGGGAACCGCTTAGCAGGCGATCGCCTTAAAACCACTCGGCCAAGGTGTCTTGATGTTTTGTGAAATTAATTTACCATACTTAAATTTAAAAAATACAACAAACTTCAAATATATTTTTTGTTTTTAGAATTTCCATTTTCTTTCGTTTTAAAATGAAATTGTGAACTATTATTATTATTAATAGGTAAGGCGAACATAAAGAAGGTGGCCGATAAGAATAATAGTCCAAGTCCAAGCTACGGAACCCAAACAGACCACTCCAAGGTTGGTTGGAAGGACAAGGACACAATACATGCAGATTCAAATTGGAACGTATGTGTCTCTGGAGGAAACTTGGAAAAGGCAGTTCCAAATGCGGTTGACGATCTTGGAACCTTGCTCTACTCTCACTCACGTGCCTATATGGTATGCTTTCAGAGCCTGGCTCTCCAAAACGCCTTGGATGAGCTCAATTGCGGACTACAAGGCCGGAGCGTAGTGGCATTAAGAGTATTGCAGCCGACTTACAGAAGGCCTCTGCAGAATTAGCAGATGATCTCTGCTGTATTTACGATAACACAGATATCAAACCATACGATAAGTCCACTCAACACTTTGTAGTGGAAGTCCCTAGCACAAACAAACTCCTCAAGCTATTTGAAACAAAATCGTCAAATGTGGACACTGGCACTGGTAAAGGTGGTAAAGGTAAAAGGAAACAGGCTCCAGCCACATCAGACACCCGAGGATCAACAAAGAAGGGGAGGACCTGAAATGAATGATATAATATAAATGAAATAGTATAATAAGAATATTAATATAATAATTTTAAATTTAAATTTAAATTTTGAAAATTGGCTAGCCCTAGCCCAGTGAGTGGTCGTGGTGTGATGTGGTGTGTGGTGTGGCTGKGGCAGGAGGGGTGGGCTTCTCTAGGCTTCTGCTTCTGGATGCGAATATTGGTGGTCATAGTCATCGTCGTCTTGGTACTCATAGGTGAATGTAGTGGTTCTGCAACTGGGATCCAATGACAAGACAAATTGGAATTGTCCATTCCAGAAGTTGCTGCCTTCAATGTCAACAGCTTTAGCTTTGTGAGGACCATTCTGCTCCAACAAAGGATTGGGATTTGTTGAGTACGCGATGACATGTACTGGAGATTCGTTGTGCTTGAATTTGAGTGTTTGCTGAAGAAAAGTGAAGTTTTCTTCTGGGAGGAGGTGTGGATAGTCGTTACAGAGATTTTTTGGAAGCTCCAAGGTGATAAGTTTATCACCATTAATCCACCCAGCTGCAGCCATCCTAAACATAAGAGAATTTAGAGAGACTCCATTGACAGCCAAGTTGAGTTCATGTAGAAAGCGAACTCGCAAAAGGTTCCCAATAGAATCTGGGCCAAAGCAATCAAAACTTGATTGTAAACAAAGGACCTTGATCGGAATGCTTTGTAGGAGCAAGTGAAGATTACTTACAATGACTTGGGCATTGTTTAATAGGGCTTGGTGAAAGCGGATGGTGAGGCTGGAAAGCTTAAAACTGTCGGGGCTTTGAACACTTTGCTCATGAATTGCAATGAGTTGTTGATAAAGGTTACAGTCGCGCCTTGATGAGAGATGGAGAGAGTGCAGTTGTGGGAAGATTCTAGACTCATTCATACTGATTTGGAGATGACGAAGGTTTTTTTTTGATGAAATGATGTCAATGAATTGGGATCCGTTGATGTGGCCAAGAGAGAGAGATTCAAGTGTCTCATTCCCATACAAGTATCGAAAAAATGATGGCTTGTAGTCTTTCCAATTGGAACGATTTGCCAGGAATAAGTCCAGACGGCGCAGTGTTTGATTATGAGAGAGTACATTAAAGAACGACTCTGGATCTTGCAGAATAAAACGATTCTTGTAAGTCACGCCGTGGTCTGCTTGATCACTGCCAAGTACCAAAGAGGTTAATCGATCGACAATTGATGGCTCATTTAGAATATCACCAAATGGGCCTTGACCTACAAGTGAGAGCGAGGTGAGATGCTCGAACTTTCCAGAGAAGGAAACCGTTGAGGGTGTAACCCCGCCAATATCTCGCTCAGAGTTGGTCGTGATGCACAGAGATTGTAGTTTCAGAGATGATGACGGATGAGGCACATCTACGATCATCTTCATGATTCGGGAAGTTTTCGATGGCGCCACGCCAGCCAACGACAAGTGTTGAAGAGTTGAAGCTTTGTGAATGATCTTGGATAGGGACGAATCAATTCTAAAGCAGAATGTCAGTTCGAGAATTTGTATGGATCGAAGTATCTGAGTAAAAAATGAGGACTGCTCCCACAGCACTATGTATTCGATTCTTGCATTCTTTGGATACTTGAGCACACAGTACATGGAATTGAGATGATCCAAAACGCTCTGACAATATTGCTTGGTCTTGTCAAAGTTGCTTTGTGACCATGTGAAGTCGATGAATGTGAAGTGCTGTGATATTACTTTGAAGCAATGCCAGGATACCAAAGCAAGTGCCAGCTTGAATCGCATACCCAACCTTGAGTCTCTAAAAAGAAATGACAGAATCTTATCTACAACTTGTTGATGCATAGCTTGTATAGTGCACGTGCGTGATGTGTGATTGATGGCGTAGTATTAATGTTGTATATGTTGTATTGTGTATGTGTGTGTTCAGAGGAGGTGAAATGGTTCTCAGTGTGCTCGCTCGCTCAACCCGATGAACATCAAGCGACCAAAACCAAACCATAAGAGTTGTTTTTACAAATACAAATAAATAATAAATAATAAATAATTTGGCTAGTGGCAGCCAAAAACCAAAAATTAAATTACCATCCATATATATATATACATTATAATATGTATTTACTAAATAAGTTATCTCCCCTTCCAATTTGTAAATTTATCTTCTCAATGATGAGCGCTTCATGATGCATTATATAATGTCTAGGTATAAGAATATTCATTGTGTTCATGCATGGTCCACAGACATAGGGTTCAGATGTGGTCACAACTTGATGTATCCACAGATATTGAGCCACTGTTGGAAAGGTAATAGACTAATAGGGATATTGTTTTGTAAGTGTGTATTTGTTTGATCACAATTGATCAATTGAACTCACCGTTGATTAATTCTTAATCCTCTTCTTGCTCTTTAAATTTGTTTCTGTTACTGCTGCCTCTACTTCTGGCTGTTCCTCTGCTTCTGGCTCTGCCTCCACTTCTGCATCTACTTGTTTACTCCTTCGGCCTCGTTTATGAATTATAGGTGTTGTCTTCGTTGTTTTCGTTGTTGTCGTTGTTGTTGTCGATGTTGTTGGCATTGGTGCTGATTGAGGCGCCGCGGAATATGAACTTGAAGTTGGCGACCCAACCTCCTCGTAATCATTCTCCGCCTCCACTGCCATGTTGTCGTTGCACCACCTGGACCACATGTCTCTGGTGTTGGTGAAGTAATTTACCATGCAGTTCCATCTACAAAAGTGGAGATAGACGCCCAATGTGATGTCTGAACGGGTCACCCTCAATACGTTGGCGCAAGACATAGAGCAGTACTGGCAGACTTGATCTTGACCTCCAGGAATCACTGTGTTGGGGTCTCGTAACCCAATGGCGGGCACTGCCAACTTGAAATAGTTGAAGGAGTTCTGGCAACCTATTCTGGATATGTGTCCGACTCGGCAAATGTTCATCATGACGTCTCCATAATACAAAGTGAGCCTCTCACAAATCCTACTGATGTGATTGCATATTGGTGGCATTATGATCTTGTTGGGCTCTCGAGTATGGCGTATTGCGACAGACAAGAAACACCTGAGTCGTTTGATTGATTCAAATTCGATATCATAGTGAGGTATATGTGTCTCCTCGCCATGCTCCTCTGAACTGGTCATATCGAATGTCTGGGTTGGCATCTGTTGTTGTTGTTGTGGATACGATTGTCTACGGCTTGTTGGTGGCTGGGTTGGAGTTTGGACTGGTGGTACTTGGATTGGCTGTGGCTGGGGATACTGCTGCTTGAGCAATTGATTGACCTGATCTTGTAATTGATTGATGTGTTCCTTTTGCCCCTCGATCTGACTATCCTTCTCATCAATGATTGTTGTGTACGATCTGAATCTATTGTTTATAATATTACGGCACCTGCCTGAGCATCGAATGAGATGGTCACCAATCTCCCATAGTGACATCCAATCATCGCAAAAGAAACACCTTGTACCCGCTCCCAACATCCTTGAGAGAATGATCTCATCCAACTCTTGATCAGACCTTGTCATTATTATTATTGTTATTGTTATGTTGTTGTTGTTGTTGTTGTTATATAATAATAGTTGTTACTTGGACCAATGTTCCAAAGAATGGAAGTGAACATCAAGTTGGAGAAAGACAATGACCTTTTTTTTTTGGATTTGTTTAACATTGGTCCTCTCTCATTGAATCAATATCCTTTTGATGCGTCTACAACCTATGAGAGTGACCCGTCTTGGCATCAACATGTTGATGACTGGACTCTAAACAACCAGCTTGATGATGTCAATGAGATTATAAATATATACTTCTTATTGAATGAATAAAGACTGAAATAGAGATAGATATTGAAAACAAATATTTGTTTGTTGTTTGTTGTTTGTTTGTTTCAATGGCTAACTGGATGGACTGTTTATTTGGAGTACGTATCCATGATATCATATGATCGATTGGGTCAGGGTAGCGCGCTTATTCTCCCTTGTGTCTCAATCTGCAACCTGGGGTGATACGAGCACGACCTCCGGTTGGCTGGGCAATGACGGTGGAGCATGAGGAGCAGAGCACAACAGTCTGAGCATGTGAGAAAACAGTAGTAATCGAGTGACAGCCTTGGCAGTTGATGTCGACGAAAGAGGAGTTTGGAGATTGAACCAATCTCTTCAACTTGTGCTTTCTCTTCTCTGATTCGATGCTTGGGAAAAGCAAATCACCACGTTCTCTAGCCTATATATTATTATTTATATCAAGTTGCAAATGGATAGTAATAATGTAATGTAAGTATATCGTTCATTCAAACATATATTTCAATGTCTCGGTTATGTGTTATGTTGTGTTGTGACGCGGTGTGATTGATTGTGTTGATGTTTGTTTGTAATTGATTGATTGAATGTTTGTTTGTTGTTCATTCGATGTCCACCAACAATGTTGTTGTGTTGTTTGTTTGTTGTTATCATTGTTCCAACATATTAACAACATAAATATTACTGCAAGTTGTTCCTCTTCATTATTTGTTCGAACAAATCATGATTATCATCGTCATTATAATCGCAGCAGTAGTTTATACATGTTGTTGTTGATGTTGTTGATGTATGCTGATGATCATTGAGGTGTAGGTAGACTGTCACATGGCCGATGATAGAGATACGCACCATTGTATGATCTGGTTGTGTTGATAGAGCTAAAACAAAAAGGGCCTTCCTTCAATGTGCAGCACTCGCTTTCATGGTCGTCTGTTCTCCACACAACACGCACAGCTCAATTAAAAAATAAATCGAAAAAATAAAAAGAAAAATGTTCGAATCCGACGCAGAATAACTGCCCGTGCATTTATTTCGTTATGTGTGCATTGTCCTTCCCACACACATGAGACACTTCTCACTCGCAGGACAAGTTTGGGTTGGCTGCGAGGTAACTCCAACCATTGGCGGTAGTCATGTCAATGAGGATAGATGGGAGTATGTAGCCAACATGTTGTTCACGATGTCAGACATCATGTTGACTCACTGTTGGTGATCGACTTGATATATGTAGTTCTTCAAGCCAAGAGACATAAACAACTACATTAGTTGATCCTTCAACTTGGTTAACTCGATCTACCATTGGTGTGTATGTTGCTGTTTATTGATGTCGTTACTGCTTCGATTGCTTACGTTGAACATTGTTGTCTAAGAATGAATAAATGAATGAATTATGAGATAAGGGAGTGTCCGGTGGTATATTGATTGATAGATTAGAGGAAAGAAAATGTTATTAAGATTGACTGGTCAACATCATTCTTTGAATAGTCTTGATTAACAACAATGTTAATGTATTGTTACTAACTTAACAACAAATTTAGAACAAGTGTCAATGTCAATGATTGATTAGATTAATTAGATTGAATGGTAACAGGGTGGACAATGGTTGGTTCGGAGTTGGATAGTATATCAATGGTTTGGTTTATTTGTTCTACACATTTATGGTGATTTGGGTGGATGATGGTTGGAGGGGTCCGTGTTTGATTCTGTTCTTTAGCCAATATATACTGAAGTGTTTACTTCTTGGCGTAAAGGGTGTTGACAAATAGATCGTACTTGACTTGCTTCTGCTCGTTCTCACAAATGGTCAACAACTCAGCCAGCTACACATTGGAATGAAACGGATTGATGGGAAGAAGAGGAGGAGGGTTGTGAGTTAGTGGATTTGTTATTCATTGACTGGACGAATTATCGATAATTACCTCAGCCTCGTTAAGCTTATCACCCTGGGACAGCAGAGCCTTGGAAATGACACTTGATGGAATGTATCCCAATCCCTCTGGGTCGAAGGTCTTGAAAGCGTTTAATAGAATCTGTTCATTGCTGGTCTGTTGGATTGTTGTAGTAGTAATGTATTAGTATCATTCAATCAATCGACGTCAATGTTGTGTCATGTGATTGACAAACTTACCTGCTTCATGCGACGTGACATCATGGACATAAACTCTGGGAAACCAATACCGCCAGACTTGGTGGCGTCGGCCTCGTTGAACATCTCATCCAACTGATCTTGGGTGACAAAGACGTTGAACTGCTTGAGCACAGTCTTCAGTGCATCCTTCTTGATGATACCGGTTCTGTTGCTGTCGAACAACTCAAATGCCTCTTTCAGCTCAGCGACCTGATCCTCGCCCAGAACAACCGACGACTCCTCTCTAGTTAATCTTCTCTTTGATGCCTATTTTGATTGAATGATTGATTGGTGATGAGTTCAATGTCAGATTGATTGATCCTGCTGCTGTTATTGTTCCTTCCCAACATTACAAACATACCATTATTATAGGTTTTTGTTGTAGTAGTACTTTGTTGGATTATATATCCTAAATTGTAATGCTATTAAGTTAGAAGTTGTTTGATTGATTGATTGATTGATTGAAGTTGACAATAATGAAGATTAAACTGAATGATGATGAGTTGAAAACTAATAAAAATCCAAAGCAAAAGAATGAAGCAAGGAAAGATGTAAGGGAAGGATGTTGTTGTTGTTGATAATTGATGTTGTTGTTGTTAACTTTGGTTGATTATTACAGTGAAGGGATGGATGGAGGGAAGTTGCAGCACAGGTGTATTGATTTTTTTTTTTGTTTTTGTTCGAATAACAATGTGATATTGTTTGAAATTGATGTTGTTGGTGAGGGGTACACAATAGTGATCATGCCTCTTTGTGTGTGGGTGGTGTTTAAATAATATTATTAATATCAAACTGCCCCACACACACACACAACAAACACATTGACAATGGGGTAAAGTGATAGACACACTTGGATGATGACCATCACCAATACCAATGATGGTCTGGATCATGGTAATGAAACGACGGACATGTTTGTTGTGTGGGTTAACAAATATAACAACATACAATGAGAAGTGAGGGTGATATAAATAGGACTGTTTAAAGGTGTATATAAATACACTCTTAAGTATTAGTAAATTGATTATAGTATATGTGTGTGTGTGTGTGTGTGAATGGATGAGTGTTGTGTGTAGATGGAACAGATGGCTTCGACTGGCGGGGTGGATGGATGGATGGATAATTAGCCATGGTAAATTGGATGGCTGGAGTAATAAATGGGTTGGATTGGTTTGTAGGGGGTGATTGATTGATTGATTGATGGATGGTTATATTATCTGTATGCTCTTTTAGATGATGAAGATGGATAAATGCGTCGTCCACATCCCTTTGGATCATCCAAAGAATACTTTAAACAACTCATGTTATTGATGGATTCCAAAGTTGGTCGCAACACATTCACACACAATCAATTGCGTAGATGATGAATGAGAAGAGGAAGACAAGAATGTGTTTGTTTGGATGTCCTTGATAATAATAGTGTCCATGTTGGTTGCTGTGCTCACTCTATAAATGGATTGATTGATTGATTGATTGATTGACAGGCAGTATAGTTGACAATCAATCAAACACACAACAAATGCATATGCGTAGTATGTGTATTTATATACCTTTCTAATGAAACAGTAGGTGTTATTTATATTTATATTTATATTTACAAATCGTAGTGTAAGTAAGAAGGTATGTTTGATGTTGGTTGTGCTCAAGTTGAATGAATGACAGTCTGTCTGGTTGGTTGATGGATGGTCAGGTCAGTCAGTTGTTGGTACAATAGGTGTTAACACCACAGAGACACTCAGAGACCATCACCATCATCAGCTGTTGCTTCTGATCAGAGGCCAACACACTTCAGTCAGATCACCTATCATCAGTGCCAATGATGGGGCGGTGTTTGATCAATTATATTTATCAAAATTCTAATCTATTCTATTATTTTTGTTGAAGCCAAATTATGTGAATCTGAGCCATCAAAATGGATAAAATAATTAAATGGCTATTAGCAAAATTTGCCCCTCCCTCGATGTAATCAGATACATCAACATCAATGTCATCACATGAATTGGAAGAAATGCACAGAGAAAGGAAACTATTGTTTGAAGAGAACGAACTGTTCAAAGTATCGACACAGCAGTCACACCATGGATACCCCAAAAATAGAGTATGACTCTGCTATGGAATGGTCTGGTCTGCCTCTCCCTCCTGCCACCTGACCCATCTGGACCAGATGTACCTTGCTGGAGATATTATTGCCTATTAATTGACCTTGTCTTTGTCCCGACACATATCTCAGTTGCCAGATGTATGATCATACATCACTTCCACCCAACAATATTTGTCACCAAGTTAACTGAGTAAGCCACAAAGTGATCAAGCAAGTATCTTGTGTTGACTTGATTTGACTTGGAAACTTCTGTTATCAGTGGCGCAGTCTTTGATGATTGATTGACCAATGTCAATCAGAAATAGTTGATACATTACAAAGTTTATTTATTCGTGTGATATCTGATTGACAACCATCAGGAAGTAGTCGTTATCTAATGTGTGTGCGTCGAATGAATGAATGAGTGAAGTGAATTATGAAGTAGGTCCAAGGTTAGTATGATGATTAGGCTGGTGGTGGACACAGGACAAAACATACCTGGTGTGATCATTATATCAGTGTCCTTTGACCTGACTCTGAAGAATGAAGCTTCGTCTGAGTTGTTGTTTTGTTTCAGAAGTGCAGTGGCTCTTGGGAAGATGTCAATGACCATCTTTGAGTACTCGAGTGATGCATTGCTATCGAATGTAGACTTGATCACTGAACCAGACTTGTTGATAATCAGTATGCCCTTGACGCCCTTGTGTCCAAGTATGCGCTTGAATGTCTCTTCAATGTTAATGTCGGTAGTCATGATTGTATATTGATGTAATTGATTGATCGATTGATGTTTGAGAGACAAAGAATGAGATGAAGGCAACAGCAGCAGTAACAATGATGTTGAATGTTCGCAGCAGAGTGAATGAATGGGATATGCTATGTTATGTTATTTGTACAAGTAGTTATAAGTTCGCCAAACACTTTTGTGATCATCATCAGACATCAGTGACAAAACTTCATTAAAACGTCAAGACTAGCATAGTTTTGGTAGTCTACGGATATGGCAGTCATACCTCTACCATTGTCATTCAATCATACATTGTACATTGACAAGAAGACAGATCGTTCGTTCGTTTAAAGTTGTTATCTCTGTTTATTGGGATGTACCAACACCAGTGAGTTATGTTCCATGTGGATTCTTCAGCACTAGGATGACAGAGTCACCTCTGAGGAACATCTTACTGATGAATCTATCTTTGTTGACAGGCTTTGCCTTCTTCTTTCCCTTTCCTGTCTTTGGTATCTCTGTCCACATCTCCCTGACCTAATATTCCAACATATCATCATATTCATCAATGATTGATTGGGTGAATGTTCGCCAAGTTGATAATGAATGAATGAATGATATTGATTGATTTTGATTGATTGATAGATGGAGTGTAGTATCGTTAGTTCAATGTGATCACACTCAATCAAAGCAGCTCAACTTGACGACACATACATTCTCTAAAACCATGTTACAATGACGATCGAATGCTCTGACTCGACCCAGCAGCTTCTTGTTGTTTCTAACATTGATAAGTATCTGAGTGTTCTTGTTTACACTTTCCATCAAGATTGATAATGGACCTGTCTCAAACTCCTTCTGCTCGTCTCTCTCCTATACATATGAATGACATTCGTGATTGATGTAAGTGTTAGTGAGTACATTCATCCTTCCATCCACCGACCGTCATTCAATCACTGTGCTTGTGATATGCATACCTCTGTTGTTGGAGTATCGGTACTCATGTTTGTTTATTGTATATTTATATATATATAGATATATGAGAAGTAAGTACGTAAGTAAGATTGTCAAATCCGCTTCATCAGAGACACTTCTCACAGGCTAAAGTGAAGTTGACCATTGAAAAACTTTCATTACTCTGTTGCCCTGTCAGTTAGCATGTGCGCGAGAAGTAATAGACTCAAACAAGTGTCTATCTACACTTTATTATTGACTTGTTTGAGCACCAACTGGTTGATTGCCTCAATTGCTTACTCGAGGTTGTTATCTCAGTGGTGATGGAGTGATGTGGATGATAAGATATACATCATACGTTTCAACTTTGTTGACATCATCTTGAGTATCAATATCTGGGATACTGTCCTAGCCTAGCATACGTTTCCATCAAGTTGGACGTTGAGTTCTAACAACTACTTACTCCTAATATTGTTGGTCAATTAAACAGTTGTTTGTAAATGAAGTGCATTTGAATGAAATTTCGCTCAAAGTTCGCTCTTCGTAGCTTGTTCAACTTCATAATCAGGACTTGCAAAAGCATTGAGTTACTCTGTATCTAGTTATAACATATATATATATACAATACACATACAATCACAAATGGCAAACCCACGTGTTTACTTTGATATCACCATTGGAGGAGAGAATGGTATGTATCAAGTTGGTTGTGATTGATTGAATGAATGAATGAGTTAACTAACTACCTAACTACATTGTGATGTATAGCTGGAAGGATCGTGATGGAGTTGTACAAGGACAAGGTACCAATCACAGCAGAGAACTTCAGAGCACTGTGCACTGGTGAGAAGGGTGTTGGAAAGAGTGGAAAGCCTCTCTCATACAAGGGCTCTATCTTCCACAGAGTCATTCCTCAGTTCATGATCCAAGGAGGTGACTTTACAAACTTCAACGGCACTGGTGGCGAGTCAATCTATGGCGAGAAGTTCAATGGTAGGGCACTTCATTCTTACATGGCAATGTTACATTGACACTCACTCATTCAATCAATCACTTTCAATCATTCAAACAATCAAGATGAGAACTTCATTGACAAGCACACTAGAGCCGGACAATTGAGTATGGCCAATGCTGGTGCCAACACCAATGGCAGTCAGTTCTTCATTACAACAGTCCCAACTCCACATCTTGATGGGTAAGATAGATAGTAACCAAGCCACCATGTGATCGTATTAAGACTAACGCGCCCCATCATACCTTTTGCAGCAAGCATGTGGTCTTTGGAAGAGTGATCAAGGGAATGTCTGTGGTCAGAAGGATCGAGGGCATCGAGACTGGTGCACAGGACAAGCCAACATTGGATTGCACAATCTCCAACTCTGGCGAGCTGGCTGAGGGTGAGGACGATGGCGTCCCAGCAAAGGTGACAGCAGATGGAGACAAGTGGGAGGACTACCCTGCCGACGACAATGTCAATGGTGACGCCGAGTTCATCAAGGTTGCCGACACCATCAAGAACATTGGAAACGATTACTTCAAGGCCAACAAGAACGCAGAGGCCGTTGAGAAGTACAAGAAGGCATTGAGATATTTGGATTGCATCAGCTCGGTCGAGGGACTGAAGGCTTCACAGACCTCGTGCTACTTCAACATGGCACTGGCCTACACCAAGCTGAACAAATACGGCGAAGCAATCACTGCCTGCAATGACGGCCTGAAGATCACACCAAACGACGTCAGAGGATTCTTCAGACGTGGAAAGGCCAACATGCTGGCCAAGGACTATGACGAGGCATTGGAGGACTTTGGACTTGTGCTGGAGAAGGATCCAGAGAACAAGGATGCCAAGGCAGAGATTGCCAGAGTCAAGGCATTGACTGCTGAGCACACCAAGAGGCAAGCAGCTGCCTTCTCCAAGATGTTCTCGGACGAGTAAGTGAGGTGGATGTTCGTCCGTCAGTAGGTCACTTGACAAGGTGGCCTGGCAATAAACAACAATTACAATCGAGTTATCCTAAAAGATGTCAAGGGAAGGGAAGGCAAGGACAGTTTATTCCAAAAAGGGGATATCAGTCCTATGACTTCTTTGATGCTGCAGGCGATGTCAATGACTGCAGGACGTTGAGAGAGTTCTGTGTGATCTTGCTGTTGCTGGCGAGCAGGAGCTTCGACAGTGTGGTGTTGGGCTTGGCCGACGACTTGTCAAAGGCCTTGCGCAGGAAGATTGCGCCCTCCTCTTCGATCAGGTTGTTGGAGAGGTCCAGTGTCTCCAACGTATTGTTACAAAGCAGCATCTGCGAGATGGTCTGAGCATTGTCGTTGTGCAGATTGTTGCTGGCAAGTCCCAATGTAACCAAGTTAGTGTTGGACGACAGTGATTGAATGATCAAGTTGGCTGTGCTACCAAGGTCATTCGAGTTCAGTATCAACGACTTTAGCTTCAGTGATGGTTTGAAGAATTCTGGATTGTCCACAACATTGATTGATTGATCAGAGTTAGATTAAGGTTGATTGATTGACATCATCATATAACAAACAAACATACCAATGAGTAAGTTCTTGACCTTTGGTGAACCTAGGTTGTTTGAGGTCAGGTCAAGATTGACGATGGAGACAGAGTTGGAGACGGTGTTGAGGAGATCGGCAATGGAGCGTTGGTCCAATGTGTCCAATGTGTTGTAAGACAAGTCTAGCGATGTTAGTGATCCATTCCATTCCAATGATCTTGACAATGCTGATATCTAAGTACAGTGGTTAGAGGCAAGGTCTTAGTTGAGTGGCAATCGTGATAACTTACATTCTTATCGTCTCTGATTACTCTGCTCAAATCCAATGAGGTGAATGGTTGAGTACTCTTGTGTGCCGAGTCTATTATCTGATGCTCAATGCTTAGGTCGATAGGCTCTTTGGTATAGTTCTTCAAGTACTCCTTGTAGCAATATAAAAAGTCGTTGCGATCGCCTCCTCTATGTCCTTCGCCTGTTGTTGTAATGTAGTATTAGTATCGACTAGTCACACCAGAGTAGTCAATGGATGGCACTGCAACACAACACATACTGATTGGGATTGACACTGAGCATAGTGATTTGAATGTCTTGACGAGATGCTCTCTGTACTCACAGAGCAGGACGATCTCATTCTTGCTCTCGAGAGGTGGCGAGCTGGAGGAGCCCGATTGTAACTTCCTGACCTCGATACGTCTTGGGTGGAACTTGTCGAGTACCAAACAGAATGAACCTTTGTACTCGCCACTGTTTTGAAAGTCGTCAGAGTTGGCGTTGCTGCCACCACCGTTGCTGTCGCCACTGACCTCCTTGAAGAGGAAGGAGCGTTTCGAGAGGAACTTGTTGAAGAGGCCGCCCGTCGACTCGATCATGATCTTGCGCACGTCCAGCTTCAGCACGACGACCTGCGGGTCGATCGAGCGGAACGAGCGCTCGGTGCAAGTGTACATGTTGTTGCGGATCATTGCCAGGTCGCTCTTGGTGATGCTGTCGCCCTCGTCGCTGCCCTCAAACTCGACAAAGTTAAAGATGGGTGTGCTGGTGAGCTTGGAGTGCATCTTCTCGATGCGATGGTTGGTGCGCATCGCATTGATCATGTTGGAGATGTGTTGTGATATCAAATGAAACGGTTCATGAATGTGATGACCCGTGCGAGCTGATATCTCGCACCAACTAATATGTCCAATCTCTGACTCTGAGCATGCCTTGGCAATGTCCACCTGTGACACTGCTCTTGATCCAATATCAACTTGATTGATAAGAGTTAGCGTGTGATCACATGACACATGATCATCAATCAATCATACCTTTGTTAGCGACCAAGAGGAAGATCGATCCTTCGGGCACCATCTTCTTTGTACGAGTCAGGATGTCGAGTGACTTGTAGTAAGAGTCAATGGAGGTTACATCAAACATGACTATGATACAGTTGCAGTTCTTTAAATAAAACGGTAGTAGACCCTTCAACCGTTCATGGCCACCAGTGTCCCATATCTCAAGATTGAGTGAAAGGGTACTATAATGAATGGTATGCAGTGTTCTAATAGCGCCAATCGTTGTAGTCTCCATCGGATCAAACTCACCTGATGAGAACCTTCTCATAAATGATGTCTGACAATAAGTGAGTTTGTTGTTAGTGATTGATTGAATGATTGATCGATCGATCAAACAATGTTCATCATACCTTGCCGACAAAGTTTGAACCTAGTATGGCACACTTTATGTTGGCTGTATATCTATTCTTCTCGATCAGCTTGAGTGACTTTAGGATGACACCCAACTCCTCGATGTTGCTGTAATCCAGCGTACTGCTACTGACTGATGTGTTTGTATATTCATTCATATTTGATGTCGATGATGAGGATGGTATCTTTCCACTTCCATGTCCACTGCTACCTCCACTTCCACCTCCACTTCCATTTCCACTTCCATTATTACTTGTTGATGTTGTTGTTGACATCATAGTCTTTGTCGTCGTCGTCGTCGTCGTCTGTCTACTCTGTTGTTGTTGTCCTGATATATTATTCAAAGAAGGCTGTCTACTACTACTACTACTAGTATTATTATTGCTATGTACTGACTTTGCCAGTATACTATTGTGATTATTCGACCTGTTCAGCATCATGAATGACTGATCATTCAATCATCCAATCAATCAATCAATCTAGATATATATATCTTCTGTATTATATAATAGTACTATTGACCTCGTTTGGTCTTTAACATCAGCTGATATATCTCTATCTATATTATATTATGTATTTGAATGGATAAACACACTAAATCAACTTGGTCCTTTGCTTTGATGAGTCGCCACTTATTCACACACAAACACCAAAATGAATAAATGACAAGTTGAGCGAAACTTCAAGTTTGGTGTGTGAATGAATGAAGGCTTGAGGCCTTGGGAAAAGAGTACCCTATTTTGGATGCCACCCAAACACAAACATATCTCACAAGAATGATAATGACAATGATGCGATGCATTCATGATTAATTGTTTACTATTACTATTACTATTTACTATAATTGCTTAACCAACTATAAGTACAAGTGTAGCTTGTGGATATAGGTTCAGATCTTTCAATGTTAGATGAGTGTCACTGATGTCAAAGAGATGATTGTCTTCGGCAAGGATTGAATAGGGTATCTTGCCATCGGTACGATGTGCATCAATGTATCGTTGTACCTCACGGAATTGATCGGTGCATCTGAATGTCTTGGAGAGCACTTCTCCATTGGTCAGCAACACATTGATCTCAGCAGTAGGTGGTGTAGTTATGGCAACTGGTGCTGGGGCACGTGCAGCGTTATAACTAGCTTGATGTCTTTCTCTAATACTCCTTAAATCTTGTTGTTGCTGTTGTTGTCTTTGTACATTGATGGGTGTAGGTTGAACCAATGTCTTTGTTGTTGTTGTTGCAGTTATTGGAGTTGTCTTGAAGAGTGAGGTTGGAGGAGATTGTGTCGTTGTCTTTGGTTCATACTCACATTTATGGCTAGTTGGGAATCGATGTCTAAGTGGTAGGTAGTTGTAAGTTAGTATTGCGAATGAATGAATGAATGAATGAATAAATGAATAACTTGATAGCAACATACTTGAAACAATAGTTATCTTTGCAATGCTCACAGAGAACAGAGACAAACTCTTTGTTCTTGCATCCTTTGAATTTACAGGCGAAGCTTAAGGGCTTCTTAGTGACGGCTTTGCCACATTGTTTCTCAAGGTGATTGGCAACGATCTCGTCGGTATTATCATCTTTACCAATTACCAACAACTCTGAGCATACTGGACATGGTTGTGTCCTTCTCTCCTTTGGTACATAATGTTTGCATTGATGTGATTGTGGAGATTTATGTTCCAAACAGAACTTTAAATGACACGAGTCACATTGGAATGGCAGGTAATCCAATTGATTACAGAATTTAATGTTACAATGAGCTCCAAGTTGAGGGAATTCCATCTCTTTTCTCTCTTTCTAAAATATATATATTATTATCTGTATCTGTTTGGTTAATTATTGCTTTGATAATTGAATTAATGAACACAACTTGCAATGTAAAGTCATATATTAATGTTGTTCATTCTCAACAAGCATCAAGAATAGAACGTTCTTCGAACAAACCACAAACTCGCAAACAAATAATGACATAGCGTGTGACAATGTTTGACTCATCAACCGATGTGGGGGTTCATCAGCTCTTCAACCCCCACTTCTCACATTGACGAGAACTCTTGAAGTTCAGTACCTTTCACGATACGGAAAAAACAATCAATCATTGGGTGGTTCGTTGTACAATTTGGAGGAATGGTTCCTAAACCACAACCTCTTTCCATCATGATGTTTATTGGATGGTGGATGATGACCATGGATGGTCGTCATCACTTTGATTGATCGCTGTTGTTGTTGTTAATGAGCTTCGTCTTGATCAAGTTGATCTTGTTGCCACCAGTCCCAGTTCCAGTTCCAACTCCAGTGCCACTGACCGTACCAGTGTTGGCAGTAGTATCAGGTGATGAGGTTGTTGTGGTAGCTGTGGTTGGGACTGTAGCGGCAGCTGCCTTCTTGGTCATCTGTTCAAACTTGCTGATTGTGGCGCGGGAAGTACCCATAAGGGGTGATGCAGCAACCTTTCCTTTGGCCTGACTAGTTGTTGGCGCTGCGGTTATAGGTGCTGTTGTGTTGAGTGAGTTGACTGATGGCGATCTGGTGAGTTCGTGCGGTTGGTGGTGATGGTGGGGATGGCTGGGAGGTGTTGGCAACAGCCCCTCTAAAGCAGATGGATTGAAGTTGGGATGGAAGTGATCGTTGATGCTGGCCGTGGAGTTGGCCCGCGAGCTAACAGTCGACACGGTCAATGTGCTGGCGCCAGTGTGGCTGAGGAATGAGTTGTCGCTGTACTCCTCGTCGTTGGTGGATAGCACGCCAGAGGACTCGGTGGTCATGTTTGAAAAGGTGTTGGGGGTCTTGGTGATGGTGCTGGCACCACTGACCATTGGGGCAATGGGCGACTGTCGCTCGTTGGAGCTATGGCTGCCGTCCGAGAATGTTGTGATGAGGATAGGCGTCGATGATGAGCCACTGCTGTTGCTGCTGGTGTTTGAGCCAACCGGAGACAGTGGTGTGATGGGTGACGTGGTGTAGGTTGGTCGGACGAGCTGGGGATTGGACCTCTTTGACTGGCGGTCTGGCGCCACTGCTCTCCATCCACGCGGGGGCTGTGCGGCTGATGGTGGCGTAGTCTTCTCTCCCTTGTTGTTGTCTGTTGGCGAGCCTTGTTGCTGATCGGGGGTGGTTGGCGCGGGGACTGCGTTGCCCATCGTTGGCGCGTCAACTTCCTCCATCTGAGGGTTCTTGAGCTCTTCTGTAGCGTACTGTGACAGGTCGTGCACCTTGTTCTCGTTGGCGATCAGTGACGAGCCTATCTGATTCTGTTGCACCAGTGGCTGTGACGCCTCGAACGTCTCGTAGATGCCACTCGTCTCCATGTTGTCCTTCATCTCTTGCAGAGTGACGAGGATCTCATCAAATGTCGGACGAGCCTTGGGGTCAGTCGCCCAGCATTTCTGTATCAGTGCGCTGAACTCTGGCGGACAGTTGTCGGGAATGGGCAGACGATAGTTCTCCTCGAGTACCATGCGACTCCACGTGATCTGGTCCTTGTCGCGGTAGGGTATCTCCCGACTAAAGCACTCCCAGAGTAGCACACCGAACGAGTACACATCGACCTTTGGTGTGTACTCGATGGCGCCTTGAAGCACTTCGACAGCCATGTAGCAGGATGAACCCACTCCCCTGGTCATGCGACGACCAGTGATACGGCTCACGCCAAAGTCACAGATCTTGAGGTTCCAGTTGTTGTCTATCAGCAAGTTGGACGACTTGAGGTCGCGATGAATGATGCCATGCGAGTGCAGGTATGCCATTCCCTTTGCGGTCTGTAGCGCGATGTGGACGATCTTGTATGTTGACAGCGGCAGGTCCTTGGAGTTGATGACAGTGGACAGAGAGCCGCGCGGGAAGTAGTCAAACACAATGAACAGCTTGCCGGGCTGCTGGCTGCCGCCAATTGCTCGGATGATGTTCTCGTGCTCGAGCAACGTGAGCATGGTGGCTTCGTTGTGGAAGTCGCGCTCGTCAAAGCCCAGGTTGTCGGGGTCGTAGCACTTGACTGCCACCGTCTGCTCGTAGTAGACACCCTTGTAGACGTTGGCCGACACACCACGGCCGATGGTAGTGTTGAGCACGATCTCTTGCTGTGAGATCGGATTGAGGATCGAGCGTCGTTTCTCCTTGGCCAGCTGCAGTAGATAGTGAATGACCTTGGGTGCGCTGTTGATGATGCGAGTGTTGTACTTGTCAGTGATGCCGGCGATATGCGCCAGGATGTTACACAGTGGCAGGATCTCGCCTTTGGCCGCTTGTGCTGAGAGTGCGTTGTTGGGGTTGGTGGCTGCCGTGGGTACCAGTGCGAGGTGCGCAGTTGCGCCTCCACTTGTGTTTAGGGCCACTTGACATGTAAGGAGGTTTAACAGACGGTCGACGCCCTGGCTACCAATAGCCTCAGCGCAAGTTCGATCAAAGTCGCACAGATTACTGATGCTGTTAATAATGTAGTGCACCTCTGAGGCTTCGTCCTCAATCAACTGCAACGATGACATCAACGATCCAACAATGCCATTCTGTATCAGGTTCTTCTTGCATTGGTCTTGATTGATTGAGTGAGTTAGGTTAGTCCATGGCCTTGTTTGCCACCATTTGCCAATCAATCACATACCATTGGGAGAGAGGGACATTAACATGAATGAGCGGAAGGCTTCGGCACGTGTGGATGAGTCGTGGCACAGGACAAACTGTTTCAGCAATGCAAGGCCATTGCCTTGGCTGAAACGTTCATGGATGCGTACGGATGCTTTGGTGTCCAGCATGTTGGAGATGGTCAGTGATAGGAAGAAAGTGAGTTCGGACTCCTCCGAGAACAACTCCTTATACGACGTCATCACACTCGACGATGAGTCTGCAAAGTACTCCAATATGTTTGATTGCCATTGATAGAACATTGGTATCTCCACATAATGATTGGGATCCGATGGTATGATCAATTCGAGTAGTGTTCCATTATTAATTACATAGGCTGTACATGATTCTATTTGTTTGTTTGGCATTGGCGCTGGAGTTAGCGTGGCGTTGACGTGGCGGCGAGGTGTTCTCGAGGAACATACCATATCTACAAAACTTGGAGAATGCTTTAAATACTAATACACGGAGCGAACTGTCCAGATGATGAGACTTCAGCAGGTCCAATAAAGAGTTCAAAAGTGTCAATGTTGTTTCCTTCTTGGTGTCGCCTGTGATGGGTGAGTATGAGTGAGTAAGTGTGATGGAAGGACATGGAATCATTCCATTCATGAATGAATATACATACTGAATGTTGATGGATTGGATATGGCACGTAATGCACACTTCCTTGTTATATAATCCTTGGAGGACAACATTGAAGTCAATATCTTCTTGACATCCTCGCTTGGGAATCGATCGATTGAGTATTCTAAATTGATTCAATGAGTGATGGAATGATTCCATGAGTATATGAGTATGTGATTGATTGAATGATTGATGTGAGATCATTATCATACCTGTATGTGGATTCTCTGATAGTTGACAAAGGGCAATTGCGCATGAACGTACGCAATCTAGGTGATCAGAATCGCAGAGAAGGGCAATGATGTTGATGTCGCACTCTTGGAAGAATCGATACAGGAATGTCCTGTTTGTGATGAGTGCGCTGATGGAGCAAGAAATGAATCTCCTCAACTCAGGGAATGACTTCCAGTTCTCCTGCGAGACCACCTTGAAGAAGAACTCTATACCATTCTCTCGTAATATCCTCTCTTTGTTCTTATCTATATTTTGGAATGAGTTTGAGTTAGTGAGCATGATTGGGACATGGGACATTGGACATTGGACATGGGGACATGAATAATGACTTACCAAACTCAAGTAGCTTGGACAATATGCCAGCAATGTGTATTTGTACGGTGGGATCATCTGGATAGAACATGAGATTCAACAGGTTCTCAATGCCAAATGTGAATAGGTTGTCGAGTGTAGCATCGCGTTGTGATATCAGTGTGATCAGCTCGACCGTCTCCTCGATCCACTCATTGGAGAAGGCCAACTCCTTCAAGTTTGGGTTATGTTCTATTGGAGTTGGTAGTCAAAGGTTAGTGCCTGATTGATTGAATGAACGTGATTGGACACCATACCATCAATGATCGTGCACTTGAATGGACTTCCACAAATATGTGTGTCGTCTATCTTGATGCTGATTGAATACTCGCCAAAGGATTGAGGCGAGAGTGTTAGGAGTGAGTGATCGGAACGACGTTGCTCGTAGATGAACGGCAGACGACGGTTGTCCGAGGGCTTCTCCTTGATAATGTCGATCTGGAATGGCGAGTTGGACGTCGAGTTGATCAGGACGCCCTTGGAGCTGACTCGGTACAGCTTGATCTCGTACTTTAGGCCGCTGATGCCCCGGTACAGGCCCTTGCCAATCGCAAAGCACAGTGCCGGGCATATAATCGATGACTTCTTTGATGTGGTCAACACGTGGACCTTGTTATTGCCTGATGCCGCTGACGATGCGTCTGCGGTTGATGATGATAACTTTGATGATGATTGTGATTGTTGTAATTGTGTTTGTTGTTGTGTTTGTGATTGTTGTGATTGTTGCTGTTGTTGCTGAGCCTGTTGTTGTTGGGCTGTTGACTGTGGCAATACCAGAAAGTCTGTTGGATTCTCCTTCTCCTGTATCTCCACCACAATCTCTGATGAGTCCTCTATTGGATAATGATTAATCTGTCTATAGTTCTGTAACTGTGTCAAGTATTCCTATTATGATTGATTGATTTGGAATGGTTCCAGTGAGTTAGTGTCTGATGTCCATGTCATGTGACCTTTCCAGTCCAGTCCAATCCAGTCCTGTTCCAGACCAGTCCAAATCAATGATTACCTTTGCAGTTGCCCTTGGCTGGTCATTGTCACGACACTTGAGATAGAGCTTCTGTTTGGCAGGTGGAATGCCAAATGTTCCGAATATGAATGTCTTTAGCATCCAGACCCATTGGTTCTTATGTACCTCAATGAATGCTTTGCGCTTTACACCACCACTTGTACTCAGATCTGATGAATCCTTATCCTTACTACTACTACTACTACTTGATTCATCCTTATGGCTTGATGCCACTATATCTATCTTTACTCGCATTCTCCTATATTATTATTATTATTGGCGTCGCGCCTCCTTTGTTTGTTTTGATTAATCGATATCAGGCACCGATATTGTTTCGTTTCTTTGGCCTGTCTGATTGATTGATTGAATACTGTTTGATTGGGCAGGACTGACTGGTCAATCACTGTTTGTCGCAAATGTGTACGTCTTGTCTTGAATGAATGAATGAATGAAGATGAATGATGACTATAACTACAACTACTGAACTGATGATGAAAGAGATACTTTGTATCGCTCACAAGTACAAGACAATACAACAAGACTATCACAATACATTAACATAAACCTGAATTGCAAAGTTGGAATGGTCTTGTCAAATATGCGATTGTCTAAGTTGCCGAGGATGACGAATGATGGCGAATGGGGTGCGGGTGTGTGGGGCAATTCTTGATTCCTGAGTCCGACTGACTGACTGACTAAAGACCAAACAGGGTTGTTTGTTGTTGATGTTGTTGACTTTGATTGTTGTTTGGTCGTCGACTCGACTGATTGATATTATTATTTGTTTTGTTTTGTTTTGTTTTTTTTATCGTCAACGAGTCGATTGATCAATCAGTGAGAGAGAGTGTATGAGTGATATATAATTTATCTCTATTTATATATATATATATATGTATTTAAATAAGGTCAATCATTGATTGATAGATGAAAGATGGATGTTATATTTGGTACATGTGTGGATGGATTGATTGATTGATGAAAGAATGGAATGAATGGACAATGGTACTATGTTTGGTCCAAAAGAATGAGTCAGTGTCTGTCAGTCAGTCAGTCAGGTTAGATACTTAGATCAAAGGGCAGCCTTGGACTGGACCCGGCTCGTCGCTTGCTTGACAACCACAACCAACAACAACATTAAAAAAAAATTATTAACAAACATAAACGCAAGGAGCATGAAGGATGTGAATAGATACATTGGTAGGATTGATGGTTGGTAAATGTCTCTTTGACTCAAGGCAAAGACATACCCTCGTGTGTGATTGAGTGATGTCTATCCTCACAGTCCTCGTCAAATCAGAGGGGTCATCACACGCACGCACCCACACTAACAAACCAATTCTGAAAGATCAAAAGGATATTATGGACTTTTGGTTCGATCAAAACACGAAGATCTTGATCATAATGACTAGTGACGGATGTTGATGGATGAAAGGTCTGGGCGTGGTTCGCGGCCGCTTGTGTGCTTACAAGTGATGCAAAGACTATAACCAATATGACCACCAACACCTCTAGTGTCTATTTATGTTGTGCCGGCCTGTCAGTACCTGTCGTCATTGACTAATGGGCTTCTGGGCAAACTGTCTTCTACTACATGCAAATAAAGACAAATGTGGTAAGAGTTGCTGAGGTGGTAAAATGTGGTTTGGTTGTTTAGATACGATGTTGTAAATGATGGATCATTTAATCATCGTATCGTGAAGTGATGGTGTTGTTGGTGATGTGTTGGTGATGGTGATTAAAATGGTTCCGCCTGCGATTCCATTCCAGTCACACACAAGTGGAATGGAATATTAGATAGAATCGATATAGTTGGTCTGGTGGTGCAAGTATTTATGTCCAAGGCCTTGGTGTAATCACCTCGATCATTGTGATCATAATGATGATAAAATGAGTGGTCCACACCACACCAACATTCAATCAAAAAGATAGTTAACCTACACTCACTTACAATAATAATCTATTATTCTTGTGTATGTTTGTATGTTTGTCAATCTATCTGTCTTGTAATGGCAATGCAATCAATGATTGATTCCAATGATGTCGTTGTTTGTGGGGTAGTAGTAACAGTAGACTACTTCTGATCAATCTATTATAAATATGGATATATTTTAAATATGTGAGTGTGTAATGGGTGCAGTGATTGGCCTTGGCCTTGGTCTAAGCCTTGTTGTCGGATGGATTGATTGGGTTGATCATACTCCTGCAAATGAATGAATGTTTGAATGAATAGTGATGAACGATTCTTACAAATTGTAGTCACTTGATATTCTTGATCTTTCCGGCTAAATTCTAAAAATTATCGATGTACTATTAATACTAGATATTACTTGATACAACATTAAAAAAAGTTATTATTATATTCGAAGCTGATGGAAGTAGTTCCCGTCTGATGATGATGTAATACTCTTAAGTAAGTAAATGTGTGCGATGAGTGAGTAGTACATTTCCAATTACCGGGGGGCAATGCTACTCCTACCGACTTAAGTATAAATGCTACGCCCTGACGTGTATTCCGAAGATGGCGATGGAAGAAACCCCCAAGTTCTTACGTGTCAGATATTCAGAAGATATTATCTTCTGAGCATTCCCAGCTCCATCAACAAGAATAATGAGAAAAGAACCTCATACAAACAAACCTCGGGTCTTGTCCCGAGTATTGGTGGACCGAAGACGGTTGTGTATTGATGTTGATCATCAACATCACAATCACCTAGATGATGGAGACTGATCAAACATTGTAACTTTTCCAACAACAATTCTCAAGATGGTAGATTATTATTTATAAAATCGTCAAAGCCCAAGCGACAAGATACCAGGAACAAATTGCGAAAGGATTCGCGTGAGTCGTACCCAGGGCACCTTTCAATCTTTCAGAAGCTAACAGAAGGGAAGGGAATGAGGTGATTGCATTGACCTATAACATCGAGAATGATATCGACATCAAGTCCAATGCTTGAGTAATGCTAGTTGAAGGTAGTTCCCATCTTTATGAGAGTAGAAAGGAAGAATGAACAATCATTGGATCTTTCCTTTCATTCATTCAATCATAAGATTATCTTAATAATATATAGTTTGTTGTTATTGCAAGTTATAGGTCATTGGATGTCCTGCTGAACTGAACACATATGTATCCAAAGGTAGTAATCTAGAGTGTTCAAACATTAAATATAGATACTATTTGTATGATTGATGGTCAGTTCATTGTTAGTCAATAAGTGATCATTCAAACTCATTCACCATCGAATATCATGTTTGATATTGCATACCTTAAGTGTCTTGGCCATGAAGTGAGGCGGCTGGTAGTCTGTGGTGATGATAGGACTACTGATGTCGGCTAGACCGACGTAACCGGAGGGGGTCTGACAGTGACGTTCGATTGATTGGAAGATGGCCCATGCCCAGTCTTGATACATGATCTGTCCAGTGATGCGCCACAGGTAGAATAGTGACTCGATTGTCTCACCGCGTAGATCATATTGGTTCTCAGTTGGATGTGATTCGTTTGAATAGGTGTAGTAGATCAACTCTGGAGCCAGACCCGTCTTGCTGTTGACATAGGCGTCGCGACATGTTTTGGCCAACTCTTGCGCCAACTCCATGTGTTGTCCATTGGCTACTGGGTCACCGGTGATGTTTACCGCCACGCCCAACGCTATCATTCCCGCGGCCATACACGACTTGTGCTCCATGTATGGTGACTTTACACTCGTTGTACTATTGATCCAACACAAGTATGACTCGCCAATCACTGTCGTCTGGATCATTTGCTCGGCCATCCCCGTCAGGGACTTGATGTACAACTGTTGGTATGTTGCGCGCTGCTCTTCATCCTCCCCGATCAGGCCAGTAGAGTTATATATCCAAAGTTTGAGGAGATGTTCGTAGAATGGTGTGCCGAATGACATCCTGTCGCCACAGGTCACATCTGGTTTGCCGTGTTCGAGGCCAGTGGCGAACAACTGTGTCTGATCTTGGTCCATGTTGGCGGCAACCTGTCTGATTACCGACTGTACACGTGTGGCCCATGTTTGATCACCTGTCAATCTCGACAGATGGGTCAACTCCAAGTATATCTGAGCCATGTCGGCCAGCATGATACATTGTCCATTGGTCGTGTTGCCTGGCACCAGCATCGCGTTGACATCAAACATCTTTGACAATACCACCTCGGCAAACTCCTTGATCTTGATCATGTACATGTCATCCTTGGTCAAATCATAGATGGATAACAATGAACCAAGTATGTTGGACACCATCTGGTAAGACTTGCTGGCCTTGTTGGACTTGTTGTTGTTGTTGATGAGTAGCAGTCCTTCCATCATACTCGGGGTCATCTCATGCTCGATCCAATCTCTTGCCATCTTATACTCGCTGGTGAGGTCCATCACAAAGAGTGTGTCGATCGACTCGATGATGGTCTGTCCGGCATGTATCTTGTTCTTTCCAATCAACTCCCAGGGCATGAGTCCATCGTAGCCCCACGCATACTCCGAGTAACTGTCCCATGCCAGCCGCATTGCCTTTCGGACCTTATTGGCACGCTCTATATTCTTCTCAATATTGGCCTGGTATGATTTCTTTGTATTGTCCAAAGGTGATTGAGTATCTGGTGTCCTACCTTCCTCATCTTCAATCAATATATTCTTCCTATTATCATTATCATTATTATTATTATCGAATGGTATACCATTATTTGCATCACCATCTAATGAATATCCAGTTGTTGTAGTAGTTGAGCCCCAATTCCTATTAAAGAAGCTCATGTCACCTGGCAAGTATACACCTGGTACCTGTGCTGCCTTTATCTTCTTCTGGAACTTGCTCACCTTTGTGTTTGTTTGGTGTCAGTCATTCACTCAATGAATATCATCCAACAATCACATAACTTAACTTACGAATACATTCTTCCATTTGATTGACACCTTTGGAGGAGCTGGATTTGGCTTCTTTGATTCAAAGCTCATAATGCTTAGTATTCCAAGGATGAATAATATTAGCAGCAATGCTGCTCCATATCTGCCTAACATGTTGGTAATGTATAATAAAAATGTTAAGTATATGTTTGATTGATTGATTGACATTGACATTGACACTGACAATGAACCTGTGATTGACTAGCAAGGCTGGATGGATGGATGGCTGGCTGGCTGGCTGATTGTGTGGATGAAGTAGTTGAAGTTGTGTGGTGTAGCTAGTCAGGGCACATGTTGGATGTTGATGTTGCTTCCAGTATTCATGTCAAGGCACCTGATGCACAGGCAGTGCTCTTCCTCATTCCTCCTACTCTAGCAATAGAGTGTGAAGTGTGCTGTGCCGTACTCAATAAATGAGGCACTCAGTATACATTTATGGCCTTAAGGTGTTATACATGTTTGGAGTAGATGAGGGTGGTAATGTTGTGTGTTTGATTGATTGAGTGAGTGTGGGTGTGTGAACTGATCAAGTGATCAGAACAGCGTTGAGTGGTATGAAAGATGTCGTGGGGGTGGAGGAGGCCTTGTTATGTGTATCAACAACAGGTCCATGTGGACCATTATCTGATTGGATTGATTGATTGATTGATATCGATAATATATAATATATATCTTTATTACTGCTACTGACACTGCGTTTATAGTTGTTGTTGTTGGCGTGCTTTGGCTATAAGTACATAAATAAGCATTATGGAGAGATGGAGTGAGAGAGCGAGATTGAATGCCATTGATTGATGGCTGGTGAGATGGTGGAAAAAAGTAATATATGTATGCTTATTTGAAGAAGGCCAACTTCTCCTTCAACCATTCTTCGGTCAGGGTGCTTGGTGTCTCTGCGTCGAATGACTTGCCCAACTCGAGCTTGGTGAAGAGCTTCTCCTTGTTGTTGGCGTAGGTCATGGCCAAAGCTGGTGAGATACCCTTGGGCATGTAATAGATGAACACAATTGGGAATGAGACACGAGCATCTTGATGAGTGTACTTGTAGCTGTGTATGTGTGCGTATGATTGATTGATGGAGAGTATTAGACCACCTGCCGTGCGTCGTCTTTTCGTTCGATGATTCTCCAAGTAGGGCACTGCTTACACATAGATAATGTATCTTGGCGATGAGGTGGACAACTCATCCTGCAACTGCTCCAAAGAGATATCCTCGAGGTGCTGGTCAACAACGATCTTTTGAGTTGGCTTGTCAACTCTCACTGTTGAATGAATGTTGAATGAATGATGAATGAATGATTAGTCGCTTGTCACTTGCGGGATGATCATCAATGAGCTATTATGTCGCCTGCTCATTGATCAATCAATCAATCAACAAATGAATGAAACGAATCATACAGATCAAAGCAGATGGCTTTGGGTTCTTGGCCATCTTGAACTTCTTGTAAGTGGCGAAGGCTTCATCATCAAGGTCGCAGGTTGCCATTGTCTAAACTTGTGTCTTTAGTATATATATGTATATAAGGTAAGAGTACTAATTATAAATGAATGAAGGAGGTCAAAGGATGAATATGTCAGTCAGAGTCCACCTCCAAAGCAAAAATAATATCCTCTTATTTGCAAATAATTCGAAAAATAAGTTGTTTGTGAGAGATCAAGCCACCTTTCTCCTGATGGGTTGGCGGCGAAGATGGGATGGACCTCCATTCCTTCATTATCCTCATAGGCAACACTTGCAAAGAAGACATATTGGCGATACCAACTTCACCTTCATCCTAATATAAACAAACAATACATGCAAACTCTACATATGAGTACAATGAAAGAATGAAAGAATGATTGGAAGAATGATTGAATGTTGATAGATTGATTAGTTGAGATCAAGGGTCATCATCATTAACATATCAAAATCATCACCATCATCACCATGAACAATATATCAACATCAACATCATCACCATCAATGTAATAATGGGACGTCAATTTATTGATTGACCAAACATATTTATTCAAGTTGAGAGATTGACTGTCAATCACTCTTTTTGTGCAATTTTTGTGTGTGGTAGATGAGTTGATTGACTTCAGTCAATCAATCAGTCAGCCAGTCAATCAATCAACCATTCAAACTTGCTTTCCAAATGGTTCACTCTCGATATTAACAACAACAACCAGTGCTCCTATAAATATGGCACTTAACAACCTACCTATTCTTCATTATCTCTACTCAACCTAGTTCAACAACATTAACCTATGTCATCATTATCTATTCTTAAATTCGTTGCCAATGTGGCCTTTGCATTTGGCGGTGTATATATATGTAAGTATTAATTAATATGAATGATTATCATTGTTTGATTGATTGATTGACACTAATATATAACTTAAACAACACCAAAAGTGAACAAATTCCTGGACAAAGTAGAAAATGAGGAACCTGAACAAGAAAGACATAAGGAGACCACAAGGATAAGAGTGATAGTTGATTCCGGATTGACACAATATTCAGCAGCATTCATATTGAATGTATTGCATAAGTATCAACAGGCAACTATCAAGAGTCTATCAAAGCCTAGACATTTGAGTGGATACTCGGCCACCATCTACTCAGAGTTCAACCTTCCGCCTCATGTTGACTTTCACTTCAAGTCCTACTTTGTGTCCGAGATGATATTACTATACTTATCATCATCCAAGAGTATCAGAGGCTATGATCACAACACTGTTCCATCTGGAACTCCCCTATTCCGAGTTCTCCAACTTGATGGTAATGGTGCAGGTCATAACAAATGGAAAGAGTACCATCATTTATCAAGAGCCAAAGTAATCCGAGAGAGTGAATGAGTTATTGGATCAGGAGCAGTTTGCTTCATAAATATATTGAGTTTGTTCAAAATAGAACATTTTGATTGGGATGGTCGACCCAAAGATAAAAAAAACATTGTGACAAAAGTTTATATTATTATTTTTTTGAAGTGTTTTGATGATGTGTGATGGGTGAGTTCWCATGTGACCTCCCTTTGATCAAAGGGTTGTGCTTGGTTTAGGAGACCGATCATGATGACCTTTTAAACACATCTTCATCATCTGCATTTATATATCTAGATACATACACAGACACTCACACACACACACACCTACACATACACAACATATATATATACTTAAACAAACAAATAATCAAACATACAACTTCCAATATCTCATTCATTCATCGCAACAACACAACAACCTCCAAACTGAATCAAAACATGGACCAACAACAACAACAACTTCTTCATCATCAACAACAACAACAGCAACAACAGAATGAACAACATCAACAACATCAACAACAACTTCAACAACAACAACTTCAACAACAGCATCAACAACAACAACAACAACAACATCTTCAACAACAACAACAGCAACATCAGCAACAACAACAACAGCAACAACAACAATATCAACAACATCAGCAACAACATCAACAGCAACAACATCAACAACAGAATGAACCAACCGCTTATGCATCATTGCAAGGCGCAAACCTTGGTGTACCACATCTACAGCCACATCCAAATGCCGTACCAGAGGCAGATTACAACACTTATTTGATCGCCGGTAATGCATCATTCAAGGTGCCAATCCGATACAAACTGATCAGATGCATTGGTTATGGTGCATTCGGTATTGTGTGCGCTGCCGAGGACACCCATGCCAACAGGAAGGTGGCCATCAAGCGTATCATGTGCGCCTCTGACAATCTCAAGGAGAGCAAGAGACTCCTAAGAGAGCTATACCTACTCAGACATCTTAAGCATGAGAATGTATGTGCACTTCATTCATTCAATCAATCATTCAATGGTACTAATCAACATGTTGCGCGTACACCAAACAGATCATTCAGGTTCTCGACTTGTACATGTTAAAGACGACACCAAAGCATGAGAGCGAGGATGTGTAAGTGTTTGGATTGTCCACATGTGGACACCTTTGTGTGGCCAACTGATCTGACTGAATGACTGACTGACTGACTCACTTGATCAATCATTAGTTACATCGTCTCGAACTTGATGGACACTGATCTCCATCAGATCATCGCCTCGCCTCAAAAGTTGTCCGATGATCATATTCAATTCTTTGTGTATCAGACACTAAGGGCACTCAAGTTTATCCATTCTGGCGATGTACTACACAGAGACTTGGTAAGTGGATATCATGTCACGTGGCAGAGACCATCATACTAACACGACCATCAATCACCATTACTTAGAAACCAAGCAACCTGTTGGTTAATGAGGACTGCATGATAAAGGTATGCGACTTTGGTCTATCACGTGAGGAGACACCATCAGAGGTTGGTACCATGTCAGAGTATGTGGCCACTAGATGGTACCGTGCTCCAGAGGTCATCCTTGCATGGAACCGTTATTCCAAGGCTAGTAAGTATCAGATGTAGTGATGATGATCATCGGTGGACAAACACTCACTCATTCGCTCATTCAATCAATCACTTCCAGTTGATATTTGGTCAGTAGGATGTATATTGGCAGAGCTCATTGGAAGGACACCAATATTCAAGGGCAAAGACCGTATGTATAATTGATTGGAATCATTCCATTCATGGCCTAACCGATCACCCACATAGATGTCCACCAAATCAAGACAATCGTTTACCTTCTTGGAATACCCTGCCAAGAGGATATAGACCAGGTTGAGAATCCAAATGCCAGAGACTTTATTCGTTCATTGGTGGCCAAGGGCAAGACACCAAAGACATTCAAAGAGTTGTATCCCGATGCCAACCCACTGGCCTGGGATCTGCTGGAGAAGATGCTGATGTTCAATCCAAACAAGCGTATCAATGTCGAGCAGGCCTTGGCCCATCCATACTTTAAGGATCTGCACGCAGAGAATGACGAGCCCATTTGTCTCAGGAGGATTCAGATGTGCTTTGAGAACTGGGCTCTCAACAAAGACATCCTCCTCGACCTGTTAAGGAATGAGATCTCATTCTACAGACCCAGGGACAAAGACACACCGCTGCAGCATGCCGATGGCGATCTCTTTGCACAACTTCAACAACAACAGAATGATCTCATTACCAAGATAAGACAGGATAACATTGATCAACAAAAGGCTGGCGAGGTACAACAACAACAACATCAGCAACAACAACAACATCAACAACAACAACAACAGCATCAACAGCAACATCAACAACAGGATATCAAGGACGCAGGTGGCGTACAAATGGGTGCAATGGATCCATTGGCTCAGGAGGAGATGCGATTGATGGTTATCGAGCAAGAGAATAAGAAGATGATCGAGAATCTCCAGCATCAACAATCAAAGTATAGTCCAGATGACGAGTTCTGGAGGGGCATCCAATTCCAGATTGAGGCTGTCACTGTCGATCTCAAGGCCCTAGAGGAGCAATTGAAACTCATCCGATGGCAGAGGAATCCAGCGGCCATTGTACAATAGATTGATTGATTGATTGATTGATTGGCATCATCCATCCTCTCTCTCGCTCGCTCTAATCTCAATGTATTAATACAAACAATACAACATCGATATGATATACACATAAACCTTGACTGGATGAATGATTGATCGAATGATCATTAGGATTGTTTATTGGTTGTCGTCATTTGGTACAACACAATGGTGTTCCTAAAGACTTGGATCAATTGTTTGTAGAGCTCCTCCTCGAGTTGAAGGTCGCCATACTGTCGCGCGATTAGTACATCTTCAATCATCTGTTCCACTTCGCCACAGAACTCAATGTTCTCCAGGGTGATTCGGAAGGCCATGCCAGTGACGGACATTCTCAGGAATTTGCTGACTGACAACACGATACCAACATAGAGGCCGATGATGCCCACGCTGACCAGCGAGCTGGCCAGTCCATTGGGCAGTTTGGCCGAGATGGTGATGATGTTGATGGGAGTGCCGTCGACCTGAGTCATCTCCCAGTACTGCTGCACCTGGCCAAGCGAGTCGTTGCCAATGTTGATCATCGTGAAGGTGACATCGATCATCTCTGGTGTGTGGCCTGGGTTGAACGGGTAGTACAGGTTGCCACTGACGCCAGGAAGTCGCATGAACTTGTAAAAGAGTGCAGGTGTAGTGAAGTTGTTGTATGCTGCTGTTCCATTGATGATGCTGAGGAATCGGCTCTGCTGTGTCGAGTTGAGCTTGACCACATTGATTCCAGCGATGTTGATATTTACATTGCCACTCCTGCTCAATACGTAGTCTGCTCGAATTGTGAGCTCATTCGTGAGAAGTGATTGAATAAGTTGGTTTCTGGCTGGTGGCGAGAGGTTCCAGTTTGATTCAGAATACTAGGGGATGGACGGTTAGTGCGTGTGTTAGTGATGGTCGCGATTGCCAGTACATACCTTGTTTATGTTGATTGATTGAGTGCCTGCTTGGTCGTCGGCCGTGATGAATGTTTCGTTGCTACGAAGTTGGGAGAAGACTGTGTTGTTGACGAATGTGTTCTTCCAGACGGGCACACCATTGAGGTCAGAGACGGAAAGGTCCTCATTCATGGTGATGAATGGGTTCAGTCCCATGATTGACACTTGAACCTGTACTGAGGTGACTGGCTCGACGTTACTGCCGGGTAATCCAGACGAAAGGATGATAAGTGGGAACCAGAGGATCACGGCAATGCCTGCAAACACGCATACACCTGATATGAACTTCTCCTGAAGCGGTTGTTTGTGACCCTTCTTTCGACCCTGTCGTTTGATCCACTCCTGGCGTAGATGTACACTGAATATCTCTGCGTATATATCCTCAAACTTGAGCCAATCATACAGCAACAGAGTAGTATCAGTGCATATCCAATCCAACAATGTTCTCATCTCAAACACGAATGGAATGCCACGATAGACAGAGACTGGATTGGTTGGTTGGAGGGGTGTGTTAGATCAATGGATGATTCCAAGTGGATGATGAGGGGTACTTACATCCAATGTTGTGGAATGCTGAGTGTCCATCCATGAGGAATCGGCTGCCAACGAGGATTGGATAACCATAACATATTTGAAGTGCAGAGTAATAGAGATAGAGACACTTGAGTATGTAGAAGATGCATAGTGTCCATGCGAAGCGGAAGTCGAATGGCTTCTGGATGAGGTCGGGGAAGTAGAACAACAGGAACACAGTGTATATCACTGTCAAGATGACCTGCAGTATGTACTTGGCAATCACTGATCGATATAGGTATATGATCCTGTCGAGTATGATCAGAGAGAATTGGATCAGAAGTATTGCGATGAATTGTCTTGGAATAACGTTCTGTGCCAGGAACTGAGTGATGTCTGACGATGGGATGGCGGTGAAGTTCTGTGGGAAGATGACCAGGAACACCAGACAGAAGAAGTCTGTGAACAGAATCGGGAGGTAGTAGTCGCGTCCAGTCTTCTCTGATACGTCCACCACGTTGTGGAAGTAGTTGCGTATGAAGTTGAGTACTTGTGACGAGTTGTCTTGGACTGTTTGTTTGTGAAGTGCGTCTGCCGAGTCGACCATATGATCATGGGTATCAGGCGGGGACTGGGCTTCTAAGTCGCCATCGTCATTGTTGTCATCGTCGTCGTCATCTGCAATGTCGACCACTTCATGGTCAACCTCTTGTTCCTCATCATCAACGTCAAGAAGTGGTTGAGTGTCAGGGATGGTCCTGGCCTGTGTGGTGGTTGGTACCAATGCATCCACATTGTTGTTGTTGTTGTTTGGATCAACGTTGGAAGATGATGAGGCACCTTGGTCATGGTCATGATCCTGCATCATATGTTGATCGCCAGTGGTGTCCAATGAGGTAGTGACAATGGTGGACGATGATTGTTCAACTTGTAGGATACTCTTCTCATCAAAGATCCAAAGTCCCTTGGATCGGTATACATGGCGATGCCAGAGACAGGCGAGGAATACTGCCAAGTCCCAGAAGGCACCGGCCAAGAATGGTCCTTGGATGTCGTTGATGCCAATGAGGTAGGGCGCAGAGAGGTATCGCTTCTCCAATTGATCGTTGTAGTTGATCGAGTCCCAACATGTGTCAAACGATGCGTAGTAGTAGCCATCGACGCCGCTGACCACACAGAAGAAGCCAATGTTGAATATGTACTTGAGGAATATGATCAGACTGCTGTAGCCGATGAGGAAACCCCAGAAGGATTTGGAAGGCTTGGGGCTCTCAAAGAGGCGGCCGTACAGTAGCACCGAGTAGACGTACACCAGCGACACGACATTGGCGTAGAACACCGAGTTGGCCAGACAACACATGAATGCGATCCACTTGGACTCGTCACGGGCCATGCGACTAAGTCCACGAACAATACGCTTGAACACATCGTCACGCTTGATGCTGGGGTCACCTGCCAAAGATGGTTCAGTTGATGATGAGGAAGAGGATGATGAGCCAGGGTCATCGCCCTTGTTCTCCGCCACCTCTTGACCCTGGTCCAGTTGACTGATTGATCGCTGCAGTGCCTCTGGTGCAAAGTATGTGCTGTTGCGTGGATAGGACACTGTGCCACTGATGATCGCGTCATGGTTCTCTGGCAGAGGATCCAACCAATCCAATATACTATTGAAGAACGCCTTGATCTTCTCTCCAACACTCGTTGACTTAATCACCTCTTCTTGTTGTTGTTGTGGTTGTTGTTGCTGCTCATCATGTTGTTGTGAAGTTGACGACGTTGACGTGGTTAGGGCAGTGACGATTGTGATTGGTTCTTGAGTTGGGCTTTGGTTGGGGCTGAGGCCGAGGCTTGGACTGGTACTGAGACCTGGGCTTGGAGGACGAGGTACCTCTCCATGGATGTTGGAGGTCGTGGAGAGCTGACCTGAGGGATAGGAGAGCGTGGCCGAAGACTCGGAATAGAGTGATGACTGTCTTTTTTGGAAGTTACTGTTGCTCTTGAGGTTTTGGAGTCGTTGACGACGTTGCATGATGATTGATTGAACTGAGCTGAGTTGGGAAAGACGAGTCTCACGTCGATTCTTATAAAAGTCCACGGCGATCTTCATGGCATCCAATCGATTCGACTCCAAATGCTGGGTCATCGTCTCAAAGTCGTGCGATTGGTACACCATCTTCTGGTAGGCCAGCAGCACCATGATGATCACGTCGCTGATTGTCTTGGACACGGTGTTGATGCTCGTGTAGCTGAGCACGATGAAGCCCAGCAGGTCTGCCAGACGGTTGGTCGCCACATTGTCCGTGCCAAACAGCACAAAGATGAACTGGAACAGGATCTGAAGCACCAGTACGCACCAGTTGTACACCTGCATCGCTTGCCAGAGCTGGCTCCAGCGGTCGTCGTGTCCACTGTACAGCGCGTAGATCGAGAAGAACACGTAGCCGCTCGAGATGATGTCGCATTGTGCTGTGCCCGCGATGAACATGGTGACCAGCGTCACCTGCGACGAGTATCGCACGATGATGTACCTCAACTCGGCATTCCATCGTCGCGGCTCGAGGGTGAAGTCGCTGTCGTCTACCTTGAGGAAGTTGCGAGGGTATATGAGTCGTGGGTCTGCGGGTGTGCGTATGCTGTCCTGGCGCAGGAGTAGCATGGAGAAGAAGAGCACGGAGAAGTCCAGGATGAGGATGTATACGCTGGGCGCGGTGAGCACGAGCAGGTTGTTGAGCAGGGCGTTGGAGAGGTTCCAAGGGTGGGGGTCGTTCGTGGGGATGCCCAGGAAGAAGACGTACTGGACCAGGATAATGGGCACCATGAATGCGGTTAGGTAGAACAGTCGGTGCATCTTGTCATCGTGGATGTAGAGTCCTGTGCCAATGACTGCGAGGTATACCAATCCAACGATGTTGACGCGCCAACTCAAGGCAAAGGCCATCACAACAAACACGATCTCGACGCCATAAAGTTGATAGAAGTGCGTGAGGTACCAGTAAAGTCTGTTGCTGTTCTTCTTGACGGGCGCGGGCTTGGCCGCAAGGACATCATCATTATCATTGTCCAACATTCTCTCTTGATACTTGATGAGTGGGGATTCTTCATCATTGAGGGCGGCCTCGGCCTCAGCCTCAGCTTCAGCCTCGGACTTGGGCTTCTTGTTGGACTTGTTCCACCAGAATGCAAATTGTTGGATAGAGATGATGAGTATGATCGTGAGATTGAGGTTGACGGCATCCCATGTCGATTGATCTGATGTGGGCATGCCCAGCCAGCGCATGAGCACCTCGTGGCCAATCACACCGGCGGCCTCTGGGAACAAAAAGGCCATTTGGAGCAAGACGATGGCCTGTGAGTAGATCAACAGGTAGAAGCCAATGCGGTAGGTGCCCTTCTTGAAGGTCATCGAGATGAGCACCATCACGAGATAGATCGAGTTGAAGAAGGTGGGTGGCGAGATTGATATCAGGAACACGGCCCATAGCACCAGCTTGCAGCCGTGCACATAGGTGAAGCGGCCTATGCGGTACAACATCATCTGGAAACGCGGGTAATGTTTCATGTGATGCTCGACAGAGTAGCGCGGGTCCTTGTTGTCCAGGTGGCCATCAAAGAAGCAGTTGAGTTGGAACACGCACACCACGAGTATGGCCACATTGCCAAAGAGCACGAGGAAGTAGTCTGACGAGTACACGGTCAGGCCAATGTCGTCCAGTGTGATGTACTTGTTCGTGGGGAAGATGCGCTGCAGCCAAGTGTTGACGGGCGTGAACTGGTAGACGTAGCGCGCGACCAGGATCACGGCCTGGGTGATCACGATGATGAGCCAGAAGCGACGAATGTGCACCGTGCCGTTGGACGACAGGTAGTGCACTGTGAGACACGTGAACACCGTGGCCATGTACACCATTGAGATGAACGATATCTTGCTGAATGATGCCACCAGCACGATCACCAGGTAGCAGAATGGCAGCGCGTACTTGTGCGTGGCGCTGTACAGCATGGCCATGATGAGCTTGACCGCCTTGGGCAGGTCGCGCTGTTGTCGCGCTAAATGGTCCTCGTCGAGGGCGCCCGAGCCAGCCTGGAAGAGGCCCGAGTGGAAGGTGACGAAGCGACTGAGGTTCCATTGTATGAGCGAGAACGTGACGATGACGACCTGCCAGATCATGCCGAACCAGACGGCCTGGCCACGCTGCTTCTCAAAGTGCACGAGGCCGATCATCTCGGTCGTGGCGTCCTCAAGCGAGTCGGTCGGCTGGATCTGCCAGGCGTACAGCAGCACGACCACGGCCTGCGCGTACACCACGAGCAGGATCCAGAAGCGCGAGGCTAGATACTCGCTGATCACAAACAAGATGAAGAACACCATGTATCCGGCGTTGAGCAGTGTGATCGAGGTGAGGCCGCAGAAGAAGAGGCCGGCCAGCGCCAGGCGGTATGATTGCTCGATGATAGTCATGGAGAAGATGGCAAACACGGTGTTGGTGGTGTGTCGCACGCTCTGTATCGTGTCCTTGTGATTCTCGTAGAATGATCGCCAGAAGTTGGACCAATTGTCGGCCAGCAATGAGGTCTGTGCGCGGTAGTATGAAAAGTCCACGGATGATGGCGAAGGGGACATCCTGCCCGTGACACTACCTCCACTGCCAGGCAGTTGGAATGTGATTGTCTTCTTGGCGGGAGGGATTGGACCCTTGACCCCGCCAGTGCCAGTAGTGGGCGTGGGGTTCAACATCCTGTGCTGTCTCTGCTTCAATGTGCTTGGTCGGACAAGTGGCTCGCCCGAAACTTTGTCAGAGTCGAGTGGCACATGTTGTTGTTGTTGCTCGGATGCACTGATATCGATCAGAACAGGTTGATCAACCTCGACCTTCTTTGGGGCTGGTGGGTTGAAGTCGCTGAGCTTGAGGCCAGCAGTGATCGCGCTGTAATAACAATAAAGTCCAAAGGTGAAAGCCACGATCATCTGTGTTCCAACATACAGCCATATCCTTGTAGTTGGCCAAATGAAGAATCCAACAAGTTCCGAAGTTGATGACTATATTTGGAAATGATTGATCGTGTGAGTCATTGGAATAGTTCCAGTGATGGTCCATAACATAACATACCTGCTCCCATGATTGCAATGGGATGTTGAAGAGGAACTGAAGGACGATGAATATGAGTAGGTAGGCATGTGTTAGACGCGCCAGGAGTTTGAATAGTGCCAAGGGGACAACGGTCGACACCAGTCCAATGGTGAGCAGAATGATTGTGTAGATACTTGGCTGTAGGAATAGACATAGTACCATTATCTCTGCACAACATATCGTCCAACCATATGTTGAGAACAAAAGAGATATATGAGTAAGTCTGCTTAGACCTGTTGTCGCGCTATTGTTGGCACTTGTAATCTTGTCCCTCTTCTTTTGTTTGGACTGCTGGCTCTTGTAATGCTCGATAGTCAAGTTATATAATACTTGTTGTCTAAGTATCAAACAACTCTAAAGTTATTGATTGATTGATTGATTGAATGATCGAGTAATTGAACGAGGGTTAGTGAGTGGCGATGAGAGCGGCAAGGGAGTGCCCAAGGGTGATGATTACATACTGATATAAAGAGGAAGAGTATAGAGACGTATCCAACGATGATTGGCCATATTGAGACATCCCATTGATGGTAGTTTCGAACGCCAAACCAGTCGGATAGGTTGGCGCCATATCGTTTGTCCATTATTGGCAGCTGGAACAAATATATAAACAGTAGCTGCAATGATGATATACCAATAAGCAATGGATATAGTCTATGTTTGATTGATTGAATGGAATGTTAGTGTGTGTCGCAGCTTGAGTGGATCATGTCCATCGTGTGGCCGCATAAAAATTTATGCGGCCACACTGGCGGAAGTTTGTTACCGCTCCAGACGCTCAACGGTGAGATGAGCTGAACTTACTTGGTCATTAGACTATGCAAAGTGATTTGTAATGAGAGACAAAGAGTTAGACCAACGACAACAATGAAGTAGCATGCATTGATGACCGAGGGATAGGAGATGGCAGACAGAACCAACATGACAAAGGCAAAGTGAGTGAGAGTGATCGATGGTGGACTGTTATAATATATTGGCTCCTTGCGTCTCTTGTGTAATGCTACATGCAATGGAGGATCTGCGTTAATGTTGAGACGAGGGTTAACTAACTCAACGTCCCTCTTTGGTTAATGATGGTCGCGCGCGAGCCCTGACCCCAATCCACTGCATTGCATGTTGCTAACTTACATCTCTTGAGTGATCCATGTTGTGGCACAATGTCGATTGAGCTGTGGTCATCATCATCACTTTGACCAAAGACCATGTGACGCGTCCAGAATGTGGCCGAGAGTGATGAGATTGTTGCCACGATGATGTCGGGCAACACATTGATGAGTCCTTGTAGGAATGATGTATACTTGAAGAATCCAAGTTGTTGAATCGTTTCGCTAGTCTCCATTGATGGCACTGAGTTGGCCAACACAATAGTGATCACACTACCCAATGCCAATCCAGTTGTGATCCATGGTAGTATTGATGATATAATATCTTTTAAAGTGATTGATTGATAGTGAGTGAGAGTGGGTTAGTGATTGGAATGATTCCATTATTGATTGATTGATAGAATGAGTGATGAACTTACTATGTTTACGTAACAATCGATGAGGTAATAATAATAATGATAGTATGAATACTAGGAAGTATCCATAAGATATTACACTAGCTCTAATTGTACTGCCTGCGAGCAATGCAAAGGGATACAGGACAGATACCAATATATAGGGTATCATGATTGACTGTCTTTACTCCTGCTCTGTAATGTTCTGTTCTGTAGGCCTACAACAAGTTAACTAAACATATAATAATTGATTGATTGATTGAATGAATGAATGAATGAATGAATGAATGGTGGAACACTCCGTTGCATTGTTGAGCCCCACACACCAACAAACACACAACACACATCAATTCGTCTGATGGTCGTCAAAAATATCTTTTTTGATCATTTTGCAAAAAGTGTGGTAATCTATCTTGTCCAACCAAGACCAACACCTTTACAATAATTATCCGACCATCAGTTGTAATGTATCATTGATTATGATTCCATTCCAGTCCTGATCAAAGTAGTCCAGGTTTATTCTGATCGCCTGTCATAATGATCACTAATGTAGGATTGAATATCGATCATTTGGTTTGAAAGTCCAAAGAATTCACGCATTTTGAAGAACTTGAACTTGGTACCTCGCACACATATTGCCAGGTCTGTGGCGCGGTTCAGGAATCGCATGTGATGAACGATCGTCTGTCCATCAGCGCCAGCGACATGATGGAATAGACTGAATGTCTCGACACTTGTAAATAGATTGATCAATGTCAACATGTGATGTTTGAGTTCAGTCCATGATGTACCATCACAACATCTAACATCCAGATGTCTGAGTGATAGACTCTTTAGAGTGCCAACACCAAGGCTACTCGCCACACTGATCAATGGTTTTTTGGAGAATGGACTGTGATCATCCTCGATGAATGCTACGCTCTCCAACGCAAGGTCTTTGCAAAGCAAATGCATTTGATGCGCTGGATGTTGAAGACATAGTCGCGTGATACTTGATGGGAGGTCAACATCCTCGCTCGCCTGGTTGAATCGCGGGCCAAGTCGTAACTTTGTCAAACCGACTGGAAGACGACCTTTGCACAAAGGTCGATTGAACAGTGTACCAAAGGTGAGAGAGGTCAGACCAGCGGGCAGATTAAAGATTAGTGGCTTGTCAAAGTGCATGCCAAACTTGAGTTTTGTAAGTGAGGCGGGGAGGAAGCTGCGCTCAATCGTCTGCTCAAACAGGTGGTCAAAGTGGAGATGTGTGATGGTTGATGGCAGTGTGCCCGGAGGGATGTAGTCATACTGATGGCTGTGTGACATGGTGAGAGACTGCAGCCCAAAGGGTAGTATGCTCCGTCGCTCACTGTCCAGGACATTGGGCACATTCTCCAGTTTGACCAGGGATGGAGGTAGTGTGCCGGTGACAAGCACACGACCATTGTATGCTCTTGCGAATGATAACTTTGTGATTGATTGAGGTAGTGTCGACAAGTCAATCGTGTGTGTATATCCAACGCCCAGTTCTAGAGTTGTTAATGAGTATGGAATGGTACCAGACTCCAATTTATGATTGAACCTTTGACCAAAGATCAGGTTGGTCAATGAGTTTGGGAGTGAGCTGTGCGTGATCAAAGAGTTGAAGCATGCTCCAAACATTAGAGTCTTTAGGCCCGATGGCAGGACACACTGTTCAGCAACAACAATCTGTTGATTGAATTCATGGCCAAAGGTGAGGCTTGTGAGTGTTGCGGGCAGATGTCCAGACTCAATCAATTGATTGAATGAATCACCAAATGTTAGGCATTCCAATGTTGTTGGGAGTACATCACATGTCAATGAATGATTGAAGTGATGTCCTAACCTCAATGTCTTGATGTGACTCGGTAGCCTTGACAACTTATTGTTGAACACACCACATAGATACAAGCTTGTGAGTGATGTTGGGACTATTGTTGATGTTGTTTGATGTTGAGGCAAGTATGGAGTAGTCAATTGAGTTAAAGAAGGTGGCAACACAAACTGATCATGATCTTGTGCTTGATCATCGATTGTTAACATTGTCAAAGAGTCAAACCATGGTGGTATCGTTGTCGTTGTTGATCCAAAGTTCCAATGATAACCAAGTTTGATCATAACTAGCCTGTTCAAATGTTTACACGTCAGACTTAGACAGATGAGGTCCATGTTTGCCCATGTCTCCAACTCTCTCAATATTTGATTGATCACAATCACTGGTAAACAATTATATTTGGTTGTGATCTCATTCATGAATTATTATTATCTATTTGTATATTTGTTGGAACTTGCCAAATGTGATTATGAAATAAGTGAGATCAAAGTTTGACCAAACATTCAAATCTGAATGTGAATGGGTTTATGGAATGATTCCAATCACTCACATAACCAATCAATCAATCAATCAATATACTCATGTCCTCAACAAGACATCTTCGTGCTCATTCATTCAAGAACTTCTGGTATTGGTAGGTGGGATCATTCCAAACACTTTGATGGACTCATCAGAGGTAGTACCTCATTTCAGTCAATCTTGATTATATATAACCATTATTTGTAATATTTTGTGAGTAGTATTAAGTTGTAATGTTGTAAGTTGGGAAACCTCCAATAAAGGTTCAAACGAAACAATCGTTTTGGATTGATTGAGTGGTCCAATTTGAGGTCCACCTTTGCTTTATTTTTAATTTAATTTATTTTTGGATGTGAGATGTGCGTTGTGTTTGTTTTTGGGGGTTCTCGTGAATCAATAAAAACACCCGAGTCCTCCCTAATGGGAGTCAGGTGACCTGACACGGCGGGCTTTTTCTTTTGGTTGGGAACCTGAGTCAAGACTACACCGACCCTTTCTGCTTTCTCGTCATTTCATTCAATCAGACAACTTTGTAATATACACGTGCAGGTGGCCACATCAACTCAACATCACATCACAATACAGTACAATATACATCACATTCAATCAAAGTCTGATCAAAAGAATCAATCATACACAGATATATATAAATACACATTAGATACACACAAGAATGAAGTATGGAAAGTACATTAAGAATAATATGCTCGATGAATGGGGCGTACATTATGTGGATTATAAAGAATTGAAGCGTATTCTGATGGATCTGTGTGATGAGAAGACACCGGCAACACCATCACAGCGCACTGATAGGAATTCAACCTTCCTTCGTTCACTCTGGAAGCAATTCCAAAAGATAGACAAGTTCGTCACTGAGACCGAACGTGAGATATCATCAAAGATACAATATCTGGAACAAGTATGATCATTCATTCAACCACTCTCATCATTCAATCAATCACTCACACACTCATTCAATCAATCAATCAAACATATACATAGACATCAGATGCAACAGCTATAGTATTCACAATGAAGGAGTTGGACAGATTGATATCATTTGTTGAACTGAATCAAGAAGGTATTAGAAAGATACTAAAGAAATATGATAAGAAGGCCACTACAACCATTGGCTACGAGTACTTTACAAACATGGTCAAGCCACACTTCCAATCAAAGCTCTCAATGTTGGTCCATTACAACAAATGTCTATTGGTATGTCACTTATCATCATCCTCCGTTCAATCATTCAATCATTCAATCAATTGTCTAACCTTTGCTCACTCATACTCAATCAATCAATCAATCACTTTCCAGAAAACATATTCATCACAGTTTGGAGATCCAGCTGATATATCAAACTCTGGCGATCAATCAGAGAGTGTATTCTCGGTATGTCCATTCAGTCAATCAATCAATCATTCAATCATACTGACTCAATCAATCAATCACCCACCAACCCATAATTTAATAATTTCCAGCTGGCGTTTGATCAATAAAATAAAGTAATTTTTTAATAATATATATATTAGGGGAGGAATGAATAGATCTTGTTTTATTTATATATTTCTACTAGATCATAAATAATAGGGGATATCTTTGGAATAGTTCCAAAGGGGAATTACTTGAAGAAGAACTTTTGTCTTTGTATCTTCTTGTAGCGTCTAAGGGCAACGATCACTAGGACAGCACATATGATGAATACTCCACATCCAACCAATGGCCATATGATGAATGGTTTGTATAATGATGAATCAGTATGTTCAACTCCATTATTGATTTGATCAATCGAACTATTCTCTGATGTAGATACATCAGTTGTTGCTGATTGAGTTGTAGTTGGTGTTGTAGTAGAAGAAGTAGTAGAGGTAGTACTTATATCAGTAGTAGATGTAGTGCCAGAGGTTGTCGATGTCGTGGATGTGGTTGCTTCTTCTGTGGTCGAGCTGGTAGTGGAAGTTGTGGAGGTTGTGGAGGTCGAGGTCGAGGTCGAGGTCGAAGTAGTCGACGTGGAAGTGGAAGTTGTTGAGGTGGAAGTTGAGGTAGTTGGAGGTGGTGGATTGGTATGATTGTATGTGGCAACAGTGTTGTAACCATCAATGTTGAGACGTACAGTACATGTACCATTTGGAACGAATTCTGAAATGTTACATCTGATGAAACTTGAAGTAATATTCAATACATTACATGTCTTATCACAAACTGATACAGAATGAGTAGTCTGATCACCAAATGTTCCATTGATCACTGTGACTCCCTCTTCATTATCTTCAACCTTTGTTATAATTGGGTATACTATGGCCATGATTGATTAATATAATGATTGATTAAATGATATTGATGTACTTACATCTTGTGAATTGGGCCAAGGTATTGGATACTGAAGAGTTGGTGTTGGACACTTGGATGGGGTATACGCCGGTGGCCACATCGGATTGTGTGACGGTACATTGGATGTCAGTCTCATTGACAACACCATTGATTGTACATTCAACAGGTGTATCAACAGTCATGTTTACAAACACCTTTGTCGTCAATGCCTTATTGAATTGACCCTTTATAACTGCCTTTATAGAGTTTACCATCTGAATATATTCCACTGAGTCCAATTAATAATACCCTGGTATCTAAATAGATGGGGTCGGGGGAAGAGTTAGGGTTGGGGTTGGGACAGGGGCTGGAATGATTCCAGCCCATCTCACAATACAACAACTAACTTACATTGGAAGTAATCGAATGATGTTGAGTTTGATACACCTTCAAAGTCAACAGTTATTGTGTGGACGGAGGCTTCGTCAAAGGGTGAGGTGTTGGAGGGAAGGGAGCAGTTTAGGGATGAGTCTGTGAGCTTGACTGTTGTACATTTGATTGGTGTTGAACCACTTGAATCAACAGTGACATTATATTCCAAAGTATCATTGAATACACCAGTTATTGTTATAAATATTAACTTATTATTATTCTCCACTAATGTTTGAGCATCAGCCTTTTCCAGTGGTATATTCGAAGGTGGCTCAGCAAGAGCACCATTTTTAATAATTGCAAGTGTTGCAATAATAAGTATGATCAATTTATAAATAGACATTGTTAATAATAAATATATATATATTATTTGTATGTATATTCGAACGATGTATTAATGAATGAGTGATTGAGTGATTGATTGATTGAGAGAGTATGATTGATCAATCAGAACTATTCTTTTCCACACCACATGTAATAGTTTTAAACAATTTGAATGATTGGTCCAGTTGTTGTTGGTATGGTAAGGTGGGCATCAGTGGTGTAGTTGATGGGAGATGATGACTCTTCCCATCGTTCCATCTGTCATTCATTCAGTCAAAACCACGTCGTTTCATTGAATAGAGGGACCGCAACCACCTCCTGTCCAATTTTTATCATCACCCACAAACAACACTTGTGGTTATTATTTGTTTGCAAGTGTGTGTGTGTGTGTGAATGACATCGACAGTGATCACCTTTGAGTTGATGGACCTAGAACGAACTATTGTTTGAAGTTCAAAACGGATATCTCTTCTGTCTCTCTCTAAGTTGGCTTATCTTTGTTCATACACAATGCTACTTGGTGAGGCTTCTGGCCTAATAGAGGTATAGATAATGTATGTTGTTGTATTCATTGGATAGAGTGTCCATGCCACCGCTGACAACAGTACCCCAGCTGTCCTCGGTCGTGAAGGGTTGCGGCAGCAGGGACGATGTCACATTGAGGTATACATTATGTTGTTATTAAGGGTCAGTCACAATCATTTGATCAGAGGTAGGTGGGAGTGTGTAGTTTTTTTTTGAATTTAATCAAATAAATTAAAAGTGAACATCAACTTTGTGATCATCAATCACACACATCACTTCAATTCATTCATTCACACAAACACTTTATATTCTTGACAACAACAAATACATAAACTTAATTAATATTATTGATATATATATAGATAGATAGATAGAATGGAAGAAGTTACAAAGAAGCTACCTGATATGCATGTTGCACAGCTCATGTTCCTCGCAACACAATCACCTTCGAATCAAGCTGTCAAGAAGGAGTTGATAACAGAGATAGAGAAATATAGTATGTTTAATCAATTCATTGATTGATTGAACATCGATGATGGTGTTATATATACAGTATACTTATTCAATCATTCATTCAATATTATTATCACAGAGATGCTACCACTTTATAAGAAGTTGGCAGAGCAGCTGAAATGGCCAGAGGATCATAAGTTGGTAGAGAGTCTAAAGGCTGATAATGATGCAGAGCTTCAAGGATTGGACGACAAGATAAAGGATGCTGTCGAGAACTTTGGTGAGTCAGAGATCAGAGAGGCAATGTTGGCAAAGTCTGATTACTTCTGTCGAATTGGTGATAAGGTATGGAGTGAGTCATTCAATCACTTCAATCAATCATATAACTCACTCAATAACAACAACATCAACAGGATAGAGCATATTCAAACTATAGACAGACTTATGAGAAGACTGTACCATTGGGCCAGAAGTTGGACTTGGTGTTCACTTTGACAAGGATGGGACTGTTCTGGATGGACAATGAGATCATCAAGAGAAACATTGACAAGGCAAAGACGTTGGTCGAGGAGGGCGGTGACTGGGACCGCAAGAACCGTTTGAAGACCTACGAGGCAATGTACTTGATGTCCATCCGTCAGTTCAAGGAGGCGTCGGATCTGTTCCTCGAGACCGTGGCCTCGTTCACATCGGTTGAGTTCATCGAGTATCCAATCTTTGTCCAATACCTCGTGCTGACCTCCATGCTACACCTTGACCGTGTGTCCCTAAAGACCAAGGTGATCGACTCGCCCGACGTCCTCTCGGTCATCAACGACGTGCCACAACTCAAGGAACTCTTGCACTCATACTACGATGGAGAGTATAACAAATTCTTTGTACATCTTGGTAAGTATCGACTCTTCACGCTCGTCTCTCACCTCCTCCATGCTGACCAAACCTCCGCATCACCTTTGACCTCTCCACTCAACAGCTCACTTCTCAGACGCATCAAAGAGCGACAGATACCTCGCCGCTCACTCAAGCTACCTGACCAGAGAGATGAGAATCCTGGCCTACACTCAGTTCCTCGAGTCCTACTCTAGTGTCAAGTTGGATTCTATGGCCGATCAGTTTGGTGTATCATTCGACTTCATCGATGGGTATGTGTGATCATTATAATGATTGATCGAATCATGTCCAACCCTAACATCATCCTTCAATCTCTAGCGAGCTGTCACGTTTCATTGCTGCTGGCAGGATCAACTGTAAGATTGATAGAGTATCTGGTGTTGTGGAGACTACAAGATCGGACATCAAAAACACAATGTACAGACATACTCTCCAACACAGTGACAACTTGTTGAACAGAGTCCAGAAGTTATCACGTGTCATCAATGTATAGAGGGAGAGAGCATGTCCATTCAAATGCAACCGCGACAACCAAATCATTCAATCAATCAAACCAAACAATCAAACAAAGGCATCATCAAAGGTATACTCTTGTGTTTGCCAAACAACACATGTTACATAGGATAATCAATCAATCAATATACATGACAACAACAAACAACAGATAGTCGTGGCAATAATAAACATCATCATTATCAATAGAACATCATGATTTGGATCCTGGTTAGACTCATCACAAGTTCATGGATCAGATCCAACAACTTTGGAAACAGACAATTAGGACAAAGAGACAAAGATATATACAAGGATGGATTGATTGATTGGTGATAGAACTCGTTCCTATATTGGTTTATTATTCAGCTAGCTTTGGAGAATATAGTATTTATGATTGGCACATATGTTTAGAGACCGAGACCTCCCAGGAGACCATCGACCAGTCCGAGCACAGAGAACAAGACACCGTTGACAGTGTTCTCAACTCCGACAACCAAACCACCTACAACTTGGGTCAGACCAGCATTTGTGTTAGCAGACTGCGAGGCACCCAGTGCGCCAGAAGTGGAAACAGTGCTCTTGGTGAGGGATGAGCCGGAGGCAACGTTGCCCATGGAGGAGATAGACTCTGTTTATTATGGAGTGGATGTTAGTTTGATTGATGGATCAGTTGGATAGAATTTTTATTATTATTACTTACTCATAATGGTCATTTTGGAATTGTTTGATTTGGTATTAGTTAGTAATAAATTATTAAGTTAATTGATTTGATGATTTGATTATGACTGGATCCAGTAGTATTTATACTGATTGATCCATCAACAAAATGTCCACTTCCAATCAATCTACAACATATTGATTGGATGGGTGGTGGAGTCTTCGAACGGTTAAAATCATGGGCAATCAGATGTAATAGAGATCATGATCAATCACTATAATATAACTTTAAAAGGAGTATTAAGAATTAAAATTAACAGAATTAATGGTATCCGTCGGTCTGTTGAATTACAAACAGATTAAGAATGATATAAGGTAGGGAGGATACCATGGTAGTGGATAGGATAGAGTTGTTTAATCAGATGCAACATCATGACATCAAGAAGTGTACCTGTGTCATTATGTGTGCGTACCTCTACACAAATACACTTAAAAGGTTAAATGTCACACTATCTCGCGTTCGACAGTTAGGAAGTCAGCCCAATCTCCCTCGCCAAGTCAACGCGAGTAGTGATTGAGTGAGTTTGGATTGAATAAGGAGATCAATCACTTATAAGTTGGTGTATAATAAATTGATTGATTGACTGATTGAATGGAAACTACCTACTCGTGAAACGATATGACATGGGTTTGATTGATTATGTGTGTGTGTTGGAGTGTGGATGTTGTGTGAGTGAAGATGGATAGAGGGTAAGTCTGATGAGTTGTCGACGGGTGTGTATGTGTGGTTGATCAATCACTCGCAACAATATACACTGATCATGTTGTATTGATCAGTGATCAGATGATTTCAGTGTGTTCCAAGGTCAACTCTTTAAAGTACTGCGATTGAGCGAACTACAAGTGGCTCACAAGTTTGGAATTGGAATTGGAATGAATGATTGAATGGAAGTTGGCATTACCATCACCATCACAATCACATCATTGTGGATAAACCTAAAAGTACTAATATTATCTATATTTTGAATAAATGATCAATCAATCAAATCAATCAATCATCGCCATCCTCATATAGAGGCTGCTGCTGTTGCTGTTGATCCTTGTCTTCCTCGATTGGAGTGGTGCTGTAAGGGGAGTTTCTGCCTGCATTGTACATGTTTGCCGCTGATGGACTGTTCTTGTAGAGCAGCGTCGTCGTCTCGTCATCAGAGTCATATCGCTGAGGATCCAGGAAGAGGCGAGCGAGCGCACCTGGCTGGCTCTGATGATTGATCACGCGACCTGGCACTGTTGTCTGGGGGAATGTCAAATTGGTCTTGCTGCGCTTGGACAGTCCGCCAATCTGTGTCGAAGGTATCCTCCAGAACAATACCAGAATCAAAATATAAGGTAATATCTCCCAGAAGAAGTAACTAAGGAATACTGTAATACTCTGTTTGACAGAGTCCTATTGATTGTGATTGAGTGGTCCAAAGTTAGCGTCGTTGTTGGATGATCATCTTGGCGCACATGAACAAGTAAGTATGTATACTTACACAATCAAGATTGATACTTGGGATGCTTCCAACTGCAGAGATAAAGTTAAAGATGCATCTAGAAGTGAAGCATAGGAATATAATGAATGTAATTGGAATGATTGATATTGGAAGTTGTGATTGTAGTTGCTAAATAATAATGATTAATTGATCGAGTTAGTAGGCACGATCAATCAATCAATGAGTGGAGGGCCAATGAGTTACATACAGCGCTCTTTGTAGACTTGATGATAAAGTTCAATCGCCAGCCATAGAATGCCAAGATTGATACCAAGAGAAGGAAGACAACGCCAGTCAGAATGTAAGCAGTCTGATCGTATACAGTGAGTTGAGTATCAGTCGTCTGACATGGATTTGGATTTGGATTGGTACTATTATCATTATTCGGTTGATTCAATGAGTCCTTGTAATCGAATGCTATCCAAACTAGTTTGATTGATTGATTGAGGGTCAGTATAGTGGATGGGTTGGTCCTGGTCCTGGTCCTGGTCATGGACCTGGTATCACTTACCACACTGTAGGATAAAGAGTAGAACATTTATGCTGATGTAGGCTATGGAGAAGATGGCCTTGGTCGATGTCTCCCATGTGGATCTGTGCACGACATGTGCATAGAATAGGACCAACAGTGAGAATGTTGCAAACTGTATGTTGATCGGAATACTAAACAACATCTCGGCCACCAATTGATTCTGATTGACACCAAATGTCAACCAGAACACAGTTCGCAATGCTCCCCAAAGGAATCCCAGCAACAGGAATCCAGATCGCCATGAGAACTTCTTGTGTCTTTGGAATATGATTGATTAGTCTCGTCATTGTCATATTGGACCCATTCATTGTTCGATCGATCAATCAATCATTACTTACTTGTTATATATAATCCTTCCTATTTGAAAGGCAACAACTAATGTTATTGCCAAGTAGGTTAGGAACAACGATAGTGTTAGACCTGTGAACCACTGTGTCATTCTTTATCTATCTGTCTATTATGTGTTCGTATCTGTTGTTGATGTTGTTGATGATGCTGTATGTGTAGTATAATTGAATGAATGAATGAGTTGCTATTCCATTCGGAACACTCTATCTATCTATGATTGTCCTGTGTATACTGATGTAGGACCTGCTAATACCAATGATGATAATGATGATGATGATGATGTATTAGTACTTATATTCATTAACGACTGATGCATATGAACATTTATAAATGTAACATTTGGTCAGGGTTGTTGTTGTCGGCGGAACATTGTGTTCGTGTGTCATTCATTCATTGTGTCGCTAACCTCGCACCACTCGGGGGTTGTGATGATTGTGGTGTGTATGTGTATTGTGATTGATTATGATGATGACATTATAACATAACATACTTATAAGTATCTATCTCTCTAAATATATAATGTTATGTTATACTAATACAATGAATATGAGTAAGTGACAAGCCCACACTCATGCTCCCAACCCATCAACAGTACTCACCTCTCAACAAGACACGAAGAGTCAGTCTGGGATGGAGACCAAGACACCCACTTAGATAATTCAATTGAATAATTTTGACATTGATTTTTTGGCATCACACACGATTCTTATCCTTTCTCGGACATCGTCTATCCTAACCCGATTGGGTAGACCCTCACTCAATCATCAACATGGTATCAAAGGTTGTTATAACATGTAATACATACACATATACATACAGATAACAGATATTTAATGATTGATTGATTAAACAAGAATGATTGATTGAATAATTGAATGAGTGAGTTGGCTTATTGGCTGACGATGAACTCGACAAAGAGTAGACGACCATGCTCAGCCTTGACGTGGAATGTTAGTTCCTTGACATTGGTGAATGTCTCGGTCATCTCAGAGTAACCAGCAGTGTAACAGACGTCGTCAAAGAGTGTGGCATCAGGGTTGTCACCCTTGGGTGGCGATGTGAAACTCTTGAGATCGCCATGCGACTTGCATGCACCCATCTCATGGTCAATGGCATGGAGATCGATCATTGTTGGCATCATGATGGAGGTGCGACGGCCAAACTGGATAAAGTCGACGTCGGCCTGGTACTGGCCGTAGAATCTCAAACGGACGTTCCTTGGCTGGTCGAGACGAGCGTGGCAGATGATGGGGAAAGGCGATCCCGCGCATCCAGTCAATGGCTCGATGGGCACAGGAGTAGGCTTCACTCCAAGCAACGATCCAAGGCCAGTGGTGATTGCACCGACCACAGGCAACAGCTCAGGCTTCATCTGGAGAGCATCCACACGGCAGATGTACATGGATGGGGTCGATGGCAGCTTGACCAAAGGGACGTGGAGCAGCTCCAACAGGCCAATCCTCGAGTCGACCTTGCCCATGATGCAGCAAACAGGGTACATCAATCTGTTGCTCTTTAGTATCATGTGGGCCTTGTTCATTGATGGGTATTGGTTGGAGGCGTCATTGTTCTCTGGTCTAGCTCCCTCACCAATCGTGGACAATACCAATGACAATGAATTGTCAAGCATCTCACGGTAGGATCTAACACCTCCTGGGAACACACCATTGGCCGTCATACCAGAGATAGTGTTCTCATCAAAGTTCAGCTGATACCAGAAGGCCTAGATTGGTCGATAAATGGAATAGTTCCAGTTTGTGATCGAGTGAAGGGCAAGACGTGTAACTTACATCAATGGTTCTGATGATAACAATGTTGACAAAGGTGGCCTCGATCAGATACTTGACAGTGTGTTGGACCAAGGATTCGTTGGCAAAGAAGTTCATGAGAAGCTTGGAGGTCTTGCGTGCCTTTTGGAACTTGGTACGACATGATTCGAGTAGGGCATCATCAAGTACTTGGTTGCCAGCAAGCTTGGTGACCAATGTTGAAAGGTCTGGCTTCAGATCAAACACGGCCTCCATCAGCTGTTGAATGGCACCGGCGCATACCTCACTCCATGGTGCATGCATCAACAACTCCTCTTCATCCTCCACACAATTTGTTTGAATGATCTTTCCAATGTTACCAGCAATCTGGTCCACTCTAGATTGCAATTGATCAATACCAACATTGTCCGAGGACACAGCCTTCTTCCACATCATTCCCAATGTTCCCTGGAACAATGGTGCGAATGTTGGGAAACAATCACTTTGTTCATTATCGTCAGTAAAGTGATATTATTGATTGATTGTTTTTTTGATGGAACATACAGATCAGCCAGAGTAATGTTGATTACATCTTCTTTATCAACCTCGGTATCGGGTTTGATTAGACCGATTGGATCCTTGATATGATTGTCACCTTGGACAAATGCATTGAAACGTGTGAATGCGAAGGAGTCAGCTTTGATGGCAGCAACTACTTTCTTCTCCACATCCGTCAAAGATGAAGTATCGACATTCTTGCCAATAATATCAGTAATCTTAATATATGAAGTAGCCATTGATTATAAGGAATTGAATATTTGATTGATTAATTAAATATTAGTGATTGATAAATGGATGTTAGTCAATCATGAACCATCAGTGGATGTTAATCATTCAGCTGAGAGACCAACATCAATCACATGATCATGGATGGAGTACATCCATCCGTTTAAAGGATGTATTGTTGTGGCCAACCAATTTGTAGAATGACCAATCAATCAATCAAAAAGGGTTCATGGTCCATCACCAACTCACACACACACACACACACATAGTGATGATCATCCCAACAAACATGGAATAGATATATAATAATATGAAGTTTAATATGATATTACATGTATAGGACAACAAGAGATAGAGTGCAAATAGTTGATAGTATTACAGTGGTGGCTGAGAGTTTGTTGCCATGGCTTGGGTTGCCAGTTGTAGAGGGCGCGACGGTTGGCTTACTGTATTGGAACACGGTGGCGGAGCCTTGTTGTTCTGAGACTGTTACATTGATGGTTTGGACTTGGTCGATTGGTAGTGGCGAGGGCAGGTCATCCTTGTTCAACGTACATGTCAATGTTTGTGAGTTGATCACTTTGACCTGAGTGCACTTGACACTGCCAATGCTCACAGCGAGGTCGGCAACGGTGGCAAAGTTTTGTCCAATGATGGTGATTGAACCTCCATTCAAGTCGACACTAGTGGCACTAATGATCACGGGTGGACCATAACGGTAGGATACATCTTTGAAGGCTTGCGTGGCGGCCTCCATGTAGGCAATGGATAATGAGTGATTCTTGCCTGTACCCTTGGGCAGTATACACTTGATTCCAGTTGCGTCAATGCCTGGGATCGAGACACATTGAGTGATGGCAATATCACCCAGATGCACATTCTTGAACATGTCAGCCGGCGTGCCAGTGATGCTCACGGGGCCACCATCGACCGGGGCATCAGCCACAACGACATTCATCCCTTGGATCACAACATATGACACAAGTGATGTGTGATTGAAGTTGTTGGTGATGGTCAGGTTGAGCGTGGTTCCAAGTGCAGTGCCATCAGGGACAGCAAAGACCAACACCTGGCGTCCATCAAATTGTCGCTTCTTGATTGTGAGTGGCGCCAATGTTTGATTGTTGTTGATTGTTACTTTGGTTGTTGTGATGTCGCTGATGTTGCCAAGGAAGTCTCCAGCGATACCAATCAACTGACCAAACTGGAATGGCGTTGTGTCGAGTGTTGGATTATCATACAAGAAGTATACATTATGGTTACCCACAATGCCATTGATGATCAGGTCCACTGGGGCACCCTGGTCAGTCTGTATGATACCTGGAGAAGCAGGTGCGGTACATGGCAATGATCCAGGAGGTGATGGAAGTGAAGAGTTATAGTCACATGTCAACTTGCCCAATGATATAATAACAGTTATTGGTGAACCATTCCAATTTGTCTTTGACAAGTTTGGTCCATAGATCGTGACCACGCCTCCAGTAGCACTGGACACACTAGACACTTTACTGATGATAGGGCCTAAGTATGGGTGAGGTCGGGGTTAGGGTAAGGGAAGGTATAAGGTCATCAATGAGGTGGGAGGTCTCACTTACGTATAGATATATTGTATGGGATCTCAGATGCCAGGCCATCGACTATTACAGTGAAGGACTTGACACCTGGCATGTTGAAGTATGTGGAGTTGAGTGGATATGTTGAATTCTGATTGTATCCAAGAGTGATGTTGTAGTGTGCAGTGAACCCAGTGATCAACATTTGATATCCATCGACCAATACAGTGACAAACGACACATTAGAGCTGAAACTACCACCATTGATCTGAATGTTGTTGTTTCCATCAATCAAGACTTGATCAATATATGGCGCTATCAATGATGGGAGATCGAGGATGTTAATGTTCTGTGTGTTGTGACTTCGAGGTTGGACTCCAACCAACAACTTACGAGCTACGGATAATGTGAGTGATTGATTCCTTATGACACCCTGATCGAATGGGTAACCTTTGATGGTGGCCTTGATTTTGTTGCCAGAGATGTTGGTTGGACCAAGGTGGAATATGTTAATGTAGGGTGTCACGCTATTGGCATCGGCTTGGAACTGAATTCCATATTGATCAAAGGTCAACCAGTTTGATTTCCCCATATAGGAGTTCAAAGTTGCGCCACTGAGAGTGATGTCACCGCCTTGTGTTGGCACCTTTGTTGCGGAATTCACGTATATAGGTGTCCACTTCAAATCTATTTGATAGTACTGACGATTACTGGCCATATATGCTATGCGGCCATAGAGTGGCACTTCATCGGTATAAAAGAAAGTGACATTGTGGAGATAGTTCTCATAATTAACCTGTAGATCGTAACCATTTACCCCTGGAGTCCATGGATAACCTACACTGACAGTTAATAAACTAGTAGGGTCAAGGTTATTTCCATATATCACTCCAACGTTTACTCCATATGAGATGGATAGTATTTCAGCTACAATGATTGAATGATTGAATGATTGAATGATTGAAAGGTATGAGTGAGCATGATGAAATGTGTCCATGTGTGTGGACTGATAACATACGTTCTTGGGCTGTTATAAAGGTACATGATAATAATAATAATAATAATATTAAAGTATACATTATTGATTGATTGATTGATTGATTGTATGTATTATTGATTGTTTGATGATGTTGAAGGATCTGTTTTGAGCGTTCTACTCCACTTCACAATGACTTAATGACTATCACATAGCGCCAACAGGGCCAACATTAACAAAGGTGATTGATTGATTGGTCAACACACCATCATGTATTAAATTGGCCTGCCCTCCCCATCATGTTTAGAGATTCACGAAGGTCTAGGGAATGGGTAGCTGGTAGTTGATGCATTGTACCTCCCAATGATCATAGTGGTGTTGTTGGTGTTGGGAAGTCAGACCAACCACCAGTAGGAAGACGGACCTCTTTTTAACTCATACAAGGCATCATCACATCACTACACAGGACAATGTTGTTGGAACCCACAAACAGTCACAGCAAGAGAATCTCGATTGTCCACAAACAATCAAATAATACAGGTGTGTGATAAAGGCCATCTTCGAAACAAATACACACAGTGTTGGGTTGTTGAGTGGATCGACTCTTTTCATTCTTTCAAAGATTAGCATCGCAGTCAGGAGATAGTGCGAAAGAGACACAACAAGAGAATGGCACCAGGTCTTAATATTCATTGCAATGATCACTATCATAGTGAGTGATCAATGAGATAAGAGCAAGTTAGTACTACTAGAAGTAGTTAGTAGTAGTTGTTATAACTTATAACAACTTGATGATTGATGAGACATGCCATGACCAAGCCATCAAACAAAGTGAGTAGTCAGTACTACTGTTCAAACTTGTTTGATTGACACATACATTCAACTACATAACACATATTGTTTATGTGTTGCAGTACTAATCAATCAACAATCAATCATTATGTTTGTTTACCTATCTTGCTTGCTACTTCTTGCCAATGTAATAACAACACAACAGCATTGACAATAACAAAAAAATGCATTGTATGAATGCCAGCCATTCAACAGATGTGTTGGGTATAAAGTGTAAGGTGTTGGGTCTGTGTCGATCCGACCTTTTATCATCATCCGCGGATGTTGTTGTTGCTGATGAGAAACACTATCTCGGTCCTGGGTCAATACTGAACCAATCATGTCAGCATCAATCATCAATCACCTCCTGGGGGCAGACATGATGCTTGATGCTGACCACTCTTTCAAGAAGATAATTATAAACTTGCAGCAGCGGCCCAGATAATCGTCAACTTCCGAGACAATCGTGTCCCAATTGCTAAATAGGCTACGCTACTTTGCAGCACCTGTTGTTTGTCACAACAACAGCGACGACAATTCAATCAAACTTTTATTTAAATATAAATTTATATATTTATTACATGTTGTTGATTGTGATTGTTGTGAATCCCGATGAGTTAGGTTGTTAGAGTTAGACCCGATGATGAGGTCCATTATTTTAAATTTAATCTAGAGAGCAAGATAGTGCGGAGAGCGGCACGTTGTCAACACTGATCTTCATTCAGGTCGCTTAATACAATCACAATACATTGATTCGTTCAGGCCTCTGCCAAGTATCGGACGAATGACCTGATTACATTACTGACTGACTGACAGGCCTCATTCATCTGGGTGCCACTAACAAACTACGTACATATGTGAAGACGACGACGACGACGACGATGAGGAGGAGAGTGAGGGCGAAGGAGTTGAAGACCAACAACACTTCTTCCCAAGTCTCTTTGTCACAATCCGACGAACACTTATTGCGTGTAAGTTTGTAAACTATTCATTACTCTTCTAGAGTATTGTATCTTTAATAAATATATAATATATAATATAATACATTATAATATCAACTATTAATTTATTGTTTACCATTGAATAAGGTATGTCCTCAACTCCAAACTCATCTATCTCATTTCAATCCATTCATCTCATGTTTGTCGTCTGTGAGGGGAGGGCCAATCATCCATCCAATCAATCTGGTTAGTCCATCTAATGAAGATGGTGATGACACATATTGAATGGAGGAGCTCAATGTCTCATCTGGAGTCCAATTGTGACCATTATACAATCCAACACCTAGCTAGATGTCATTCAATTCTTTAATATTTTATTAATTAATTATTTTATCATGTATTAGATCTTAAGATCTACAATTCCTCTTACATTAATACATTCTGATAGAGAGAACTTCAATTCAATCATTCTGATACTAATATACAAATATACTAATATTTTTATTATTATTCTTATAGAATGATTGGAGATATTCATTCTTCAAACTCAAGATATACCATGTTAATGTCCAATGATCAAGTTGTATCTGATTCATACTTCCAGAACAATATCCCAAAGGTAATGGGGTCACAACAACAAATGATAACACAGGTAATTATAATATTAATCAATAATTTTAATTATTATTATATACTAATAATTTACAAACTATTTATAGAGGATTATAAAGTATCCAAACCATGGTACTTCATTTATACATTATATACCTACACATCATCAGTCTCTCCCACCTCCTCAATCAGTACCATATGATCCATTTCAATCAATATCATTATCAACTACACCCATCAACAACAACAACATTTACAACATCTTCYTTTTTTTGATGATAATGTAAGGAAGAGAAAGAATGAGAGAGTATGTTGTATATGTGAGAAGGACACCGATTTATTCATGTGTGACGGTCCTTGTCTAAGATCATTCCATCTCGCATGTTTGGGTATGGATCAATATCCACCATCTGATCTACGATGGGAGTGCAATGATTGTACCAACAAACATAGTATATGTTTCGCCTGCAAGCAACCTGGAAAGATTGGAAAGGGTCTGTCCAAGTGCAAGGTGCACCAATGTGGCAAGTTCTACCATGACTCCTGTGTGTTGGCCCTGGACCTTGTCAAACCGATCAATACCAAGTCTCCAAGATTCATCTGTCCATTACACTATTGTGCCACATGCAAGAAGTCTGGTGACAGCAAGCAATCAGTACATTGTTTCCGATGTCCCACTGCTTACCATGTGATGTGCATGCCAGACAATATTGAGTATCTGACCAAGGCCAAGGAGAATAGGAAGACAGGTTTGATACTATGTCCCAAGCATATCAACGAGCCAGCTGCCGCTAAATCCAACGACAATCACAACCAATCACAACAAGTCAAAAGACAACGTACACATCACAAGTCCAACTCAGCAGACACTCCCACGACATGTCATCACAATCATGGTCCAGGATCAAGTCCACCACCTACTACCACTCTTCACTTCCACAACTATCGATCAACTTGGTCGGTGCCATCATCACCAATCCAACATCATCATCAACATCAACAATATCAACAACATTCATTCAGTTCACCAACTCCATCACCATCATCATCACTGATGACCTTCAACAATTACAAATCATTCACCAAGCCAAAAACAACTTATGTGCCATCAATGTCTGCTTCCACCACGCCAAACATGCTCTCGCCTCGCTCCAGTCCAAGTGATGATCTCGAGGACTATGCCAACAGCCTTGCATCAATCAGTGAGGGATGCTCCAGATCTCCATCTCTGTCTGCTGCAAATGCCAACAACTTGGACAAAGACGACTGCCTTCGACCATTGATCAAACAGTTTGCCATGTTCGAGCCGATCAGACAGCAACTCCAACCTGTGACATCCAACTTCCAAGTGCCCTATACCTATCTGTCATCTCTGTCATCACCTCCACGAGGAGTCAACATGTTGCCATCGATGCCAAGTTGCAGTAACATGTGAATAAACTTGTGTGTAATGTAGTGTAGCTCCAGTCTAGTCGAGGCGAGTCAAGTAGCATTGTTCGTTCGTTCGTTCGTTAATATATCCAACCCTCCACAATCTATTTGATCGGGGAGGAGTAGGACTTGTGAATGGTATTAATTGTATTATAATAGTGTATCGATATTTGTTGACTTGACTACCAATGATCCCTGCTATGACACACCTTCTTTGATATTGGTTCGCTAAACAATTGATCGTCTGCCTTATATCCATACTTAATCTTTGTGTCTGGCAATATCGAATCACAAACAACCTTCAAAGAATCAAACTAGAATGATTAATCAAGTTGGAAGGTTAGTCGTCAGTCATTCATCATGTGACGCCAAGTCAATGATTGATCAATGTTACCATTTGCTCGCTATATGTATCGGTGCCCTCCCACACTTTGGCGGGATGGTTGATGTGGACGATCCATGAACTAGGCAGGACGATGAACTCATAGCCTTGGACAGCCATGCCAAATGTATGTGAGTTCTTATCGAATCCATAACCCTTTAGTCGCTCGTCGAATGGTTCCACCTGCTTCGGCCTAAACACCAAGTATGGTTCATATATCCACTTGTACTTTGCTGTATAAGGCTGTGTCTCTGTATACCATCTACTATAATTTGAAGGTGCATGGCATTTAGAACAAACATTGACGTCTATTATATCATTCGTGTTTGATTGATTGATTGATCGATTGTTAGTGAATGAGTGGCAGATGCATGCATGCCTTCCTTGACTTACTTGTTGGGAATATTTCATTCTCCAAGACCATTGATAACAATGTGTCCTTGTCATCTGGCAACTCGAATCGTTCGAGGTCACTCGCGAATGATGGAACGACAAACGCCGTCAAATTAGTCTTTGGTACCTTGAATGTATGTTTACTATTGTGTCGGCGACAATCAATCGATTGGGAGTTAGCATGCATTCATGTCCTGTCCAGTCAAGGTCAGGTCGACCCTCTTGAACAACTTACATCAAGTTCTGATACAGGTAGATTGGTGGTACAAAGTCAGCATCCATCAACAGTACCCATTCAGTCTCTGCATGTTTGATCGATAGGTTTCTAAGTGTATTGATTGGGTATCTCGTCTGTTGAATAGAGTGTCAGTCAATCTGTCAGTCGTTGATCAACACGAGTTCAATGACTTGGGACACATACATTGTTCGCGTAGAGCAGATGAATGTCTACAAATTGAGTTACAGCATAACTGCTACGAATGAGACTTATGATGTGATCAATGTCAGAGTCATCCTTTATGTACACTGCTGCTGATATAGGTGCACGCCACTTGTCAGCCATCCAAGACAATCGTTCCAATCTATCTATAGACACCTGTGTAACAATGCTAACTTCATATATCTCTCGCTTCATCATTTCATTCATTCATTCATTCATTGTTAGTTAGATTGACCAGAGTTGACTCGCTGACTGACTGACTTTGTCTTATAATGTACCTACCTCTTGTCGTTCAAAGAAGAATGGTACTGTCCTGAATGTTGCATCTAGACCATACTTTGGTCTACTCTGTCTGACTGCCTCCTTGTATCTCATCACAGCATTGAACACAGTGTATGATATCAATGAGAGCACCAGCAACATCACAATTATTATGCGTAGCTGGTTACTCCTCATGATGTATCTCTATATATATATATATATATATATATATAATTGTATAAGTATAAGTATAAGTAAGATATATAATAAATAATATATGTTAATAGAAACGAATGTGTAAGTGTCGTCGTCTTTAAGAAATATATTTCTTCCATTGGCCTTTTCAGAAATGGATGAAGAGAAGTTGGGACGCTTCAAGTCAACTTGCACTCCGCGACCTTTGGTTTTTGTCATTCGTACAACCCTACAACTTCCCTCAACAACACACATTCACAAGTGTCGATCAGAACTAGATCAACTACCGATTGAATGATTGACTGACCTGTTTGAACATCTAACTAATTATACTAGTTATACTAAAGGTATATCTGCACCCAAACACAAAACACTTTGATCATTGATATACCTTGACATTGTTCTACACTTTGCCTTTGACCAATGATTACCTCTTTTCTTCAACTTCTGTGTAATTTCCAGCATATTCAAATCAGAAAATTCACACTTTGATAAATGATCATGTTACCAGATGATGGTCTACGTGCCGACTCCAATTAATCCACCAAGCAGTAAATCAATCAATCCATCAATCAATTATACCAATAACCAAAAATCCAAATAATAATTAATCATTCAACATTCATATACATCAATGGACCAATCATCATTTTTAACAGACAAAACGTTCACTATTGTAGGCAGGACATCTATTGCCAACTATCAACTTAGTGACTTGATCAAACAGTATGGTGGAAACATATCATACACAATCAATCCAAAGATAAATTATGTCTTGACATGTTCACTGGAATCCATTCCATCGACCAAGCTGAAACAGATCCAACAACATTCATTACCAATATCCAATGATTCTCTAATATTGGATTGTCATCGAAATAATGGTCGACCCATTAATGATATCTCATCATACATGTTCAATCAAGGTGGTGCTGGTAGTGTTGGAAAGCAAGATGTTGTGATCAAATCATCGTCTTTGTCATTGTCCACATCAAGTGATCAAGTCAACTTGGAACTTAGGATTATACCAAATATCTATCATATTCCAGGTATCAACATCTATAACCTCAAGGACAAACAACCATCATACTCCTCGAACCATGATATCAAGTTGTCTCACTTGTTACAGGTATAATCACATATCGAAATCCTGGAAACTGGAATTGAATACTAATCACTCAATCATCAATCAAACAATATAGAACACTGAGTTATCTTACAACATCAATAAGTTCTTCTATATTGAGTTGCACCTGGATGGAAATCAATCAAAGAAGTATCGTATTTATACTCAATTTGGTGTATGTATCTAGTTTCTTGTTTGATTGAGTTGAATGTATTGATTGAATACTAATATGTTTTGAACTGGAATCATTCAATAATCAATCATTAGAGGACCGATAAGATTAGTCTGTCCCAATCAGCCGTACAATTCAGATACTTTGAAGAGTTGTCCGAAGCCATGGTATATATTATTTCCATTCAATCAATCACTCACTGGAATTACTCTTATCACTCTCTAACATATTTATTAATCAATCATTATTAGGAAGTATATTCATCAATATATAATACCAAGACTTCTGAGGAGAATGGATATAAGGAGGTGGATATTATTTTGTCCAACTCTATTGGTTCACCAAGGAAGTTGGAGTTGTGTAAACGTGTTAATCAAGTCACAAGTCATATGGATGAGGATGTTGAAAGGAATACTCAACGAACATATGTCTCGAAAGAGGTCGCTCAACTGGTTGGCAGACTGTTCAACTTCACTACACGATCACTCAAGAGTAGTCTAAGTACTGTGAACATCACTGAGAATGGTCTGGAGACACCCTTGGGTGTATTGTCATCACGCCAACTCGAAGAATCAATGTCAACCCTCAAGTCAATTGGTCAGAGGATAGTCACGTTGAGTACTCAGATCAATAATCAATCTGTGTCTACCACGGACAAAACATTGTTGGACCTTTGCTCGGCTTATTACTCAAAGGTCCCCACAAGCATTGGTGTCAAGGCCAAGGACAAGGCAAATGCAGTGATCTCATCACTCAACTCATACATGGAGCAAGAGGAGTTGCATCAACTCATGCTTGATCTATCACAGGTCAGTGAGAAGAACAGTGGCCAATTGGTGTCCAGCTCGTTGGACGACATGAGGTATCAGGCACTGCACTGCCACATCGTCTACCTGCAGCCCTACACACCCGAATACAACATCGTAGAGAGATTGATCCACAACAACTCATACAATCAAGACAATGTTCACATCAGGAATGTGTACAGGCTAATCAAGGAGGACGAAGAGAATGCATTCAACGAGACCATTGGCAATGAGCAGTTGATGTTCCATGGAACAAAGTGTCACAGTCTGTTGGGTGTGCTTAGACGTGGACTGCAACTGCCAGACACGGTGGTCAAGAGGAACTGGGCATTCAGGACTGATCAAGGCTTCATGGGCGCAGGCCTATACTTTGCCAAGCATATCGAGGGTTCGCTCTGGTACACCAGCGCATCATCAGAGGACAGTCGGTTTGTGATCATTGCTCGTGTGGCACTGGGCAATGAACATTCACTTCATTCCAAAGACATCAACATGACTCAGCCCCCTCAAGGCTTCAACAGTTGTCACGGTGTCCAGACGACCTCTTCCAAGCCCACTCCATTCAAGCACGACGAGTATGTCGTCTACGATCGAACCCAACTCAAGATCAGCTACGTCGTCGAGTTCAACTTATCCAAAGCATACAGACTCTAATCAATCAATCAAWTCGATCATCAATACAATCATTACTTTACTCTTGCAACACCTTCTTGATACCTTCGCCAAGATCCTTGAGGAATTCGTTGAATGATTGACCTTGCCAGTTGTCCTCCTCGATCAGGTAGTCAGAGAACTGACGGCCTCCCTCCGACGAAAGGTGGCCACGCGTGTAGATGATCTCTGGGACGACCAGACGGTCCTGTTTGCTATTGGCAATGGTCTGGCGTATCAGACTGTCAGCGGGCGGTGGGAATGGATGCTGGCTGCTCACCTGGGGACTGTAGTATACAATCATCTTGTCGTAGGCGTCCATCAGGTAGATGTGCGACACGCTCACGCTGATGCTGTTCTCGGATAGCGGCAGGTACTTGTAGGCGAGGTTGTTGGGTGCGCCATAAGTGTTGAGCGTGGGGTAGATTGCGCGGTGCAGCAGACGCGGCTCAAGCGATTGGTATAGACACTGGCAGAACACCCAGTCATCCGAGCCGCGATTGATGGCCGCGATCTCATTGGTCTTGTTCAGCTGCTGCAACAGAGGACTCTTGAGCAAGGCAAAGACGTAGCGAGGCAGTGGACGCAGGTGCTGGACCTGACTAAACATGATGTCCAGCGTCTTTTGTACCGAGGACAGGATGACGACATGCTCGTTGTACTGTGTGATGATATTGGCGATCCATTCATAGAGCAACACTCTTGCCTCGCCAATGCCCTTCTCCAACGACTCCTTGATGACCTTGTGAGTGAGCAGCGAGATGGTTGTTTCCAGATCAATAGAGTTGAACATTTCAACTGGATTCAGTGCCACAGGTATCTGAAAGTTGTAAATATGTAGTCGTCTCTGTATCGTTCTAATGTTTGATTGTGTTCCATGTTCAGTGTCTTCATTAACTTGTTGTTCATCATTGTTGTTTGATGATTCTACTGGTGGAAGGAATGAATATGAGAATGCAACTTGAATGAATGGTACCTTGTCACTGCGTGAATGAATTAATGAATGTTAGATCATCATGTGTGTCCAGGGTGTTTCAGGACTGGACTTACCCTTCAAAGGCTGATGGGTCAGTGAACTTGAAGTCGAACGCAATCGATGTGAATGGTGAGCAAGACTCAATGTGGTACAGGTTGTCATAGTTCTTGCTGGCGATGACATTGCCAAAGCAGTTGTCCACGCTAAAGTTCTGACTGGTCCTCACTCGCATCAGACCATGGAATCCCCATCCATTAGAGATGAGTTTGTAACTTGATTATCGTCATTGTTAGTCCAGGATCACTCATTTAATCAATCAATGGATCAGACATACATATCTTGTGGAAGTGGACACTTTGGAGAGAGGTTGGTGTATCGATAGAGGTTGCCTCCAGTTGATGTCGACAGGAACTTGATGGTGTCAAAGCCGTAGAAGTTGTTCCCAATGCAGTACATGTCAAAGTGTACACCGACCTGTGTAGCTCTTTCTGCCTGTCTCTGGAAGAAGTTGTTTGATGGCAATAAGAATGATGCCTTGAGCTGCTCATCATACAATGCTTCCACCGACGTGAAGTCATTCTCAACAACGCCATCTCCATAACTTGGGCAACCATTGAGGAATACTCCAACCTTGACTATTAGGGATGAGTGAGTGATTGAGTTAGTGAGGAGAAGGAGAGTATGAGCATGGATGAGCGTCATTACCATTGAAGGTGATGTTGTCGAATGAGAGGTAGTCCAGGAGTCTTGAGACGAGTGGACCCAATGTCCTGACATTGCCGCCCTTCTTTGTAGTCGAGTTTGATGCGGCAGCAGCTGCGACATTGACACCATCAGTGAGTATGTTGATGGCATTAAGTATGTTTGTCTCACATTCTGCTTTCTGATTGAGTTAAGTGTTAGCTAACATCATCCAATCAATCATTCAATCGATAAATCATACATTGACGAGGAATGAGGTCAAGGGTAGGATGTCATCAAAGCTTATCTCTTGAGCCAGTGCAGAGTCGCCTCCAACTACATCGATGTACTTGAGCATTGGTACACTGTCGTTTAGGTTGAACAGTCCGATCCTGTGTGAATAGATCGCCATGCCAAAAAGACAGTTGTCTGGCAGTGCATGTACCAATGCTTCGAGGCCATTCCTGATTGTCTCCATCTGCTCCGGGTTTCCCGACTGATCAATCACAGCAACATATATTGGGTTGTTCTTATAGTGATTGTACTCCTCTGACATCAGGTCACCGCCCGAAGCAGCAGTGGCAGCATTGATGTTGTTGACTGAATGTTGTTGGTCGTCATTCACATGAAGCACAATGTTATTATTCATCAACTCCTCACGAAGACCATATGCCATTATAGGTGATGATGATGATGATCCATTGTTATAACCATGCTGTGATCCTCCTGGACTTGATGTTGTTGTTGTTGTTTGTCTCTTATTTACACGATCACATATATTACATCTCCAATTGCCTTCGTAATCATACTTGACGTATGAGTTGATGTATGCAAAGCACTTCTGACATCTATCCACAATCGCACTATTAGCATGACACTGTATATTATTCCTGAATGGTTGAATTACACATCCCTATCATTCAATCATTCCTTCAAGTCAGTCATGTTGTCGTTCATTCGTTCATTCAATCAATCAATCAATCAACTACCTACCCATATTGCACCGCTTGCGTCCTTAACTGATGCTGTTGATGATGAATGAATGAGTGAATGTATGAGTGAGTAGGAGGCCTTATTACAAGTTGATGAAGGGACATACGATTGACAGGGAACTTCTGACATGATAGTTTGACATTCATTGTATGTCTATGTATATATATTACATGTATTTCAACTTGTTAAATGAATGATTGATGAATGAATGAAGTCAAAATAAAGTCAATGATGGGTGATGTTCACACACTTTATCAACCAATCAACCAAAGGTTATGGTAACGTTATTATTAGGACATTTGTCGATGGACATGATCCAGATACAACGATAAGTTGTGTTTGGTCAATGCGTCGCATGAAGTATGGATACTTGTTTCCAGCGAAAGAGATCTTGACTCGGAATGTTTGAATGTTGGGTGCAACCAGCAAGCACCTTTCCCAATGGAACAGAGATACACTCAATCGTTTGGTTTGGATGGCCCAACCTTCAGGAGATGCCACGGAAGCTGCAATTGTGTTAAACGGATACATATCATTCGGTACGTTGAGACACATGCCTGGCCACTCTGGTACGACCGCCACAGCCTGAGGATCGGGTACGTCTGGCTCGGTGGTCGTACAAGTGAGATGTCTCAGTTTGGATGGGAGGCGCAGTTGCGGATTTTGATGCAGCCAGTCGACTTCTGGATTGAGCAGTTGCAGGTTGGTGATGGAGTCTGGAAGCATGTCATTGGTGAGCGGGTGGATGTGTCGCCGGCCCAGGATCAACGATGTGAGTGATGGGGGCAGTGCGCCCGGGATCTTCTCACTGTTGAGGTCGAGCGTCAGACTGCGCAGGGTTGTGAGTGATGCCAACGAACCAGGTGTTACCACGCCAACGAGGTCATCCGCACACCATATCCTTAGTGAGGTGAGCGATGATGGTAGGAGACTGGATGTAATGGTACCAATGATGGCTCTGCGAATGTTTAGTGAGAGCGACTTGAGTGTTTGGGGAAGATCACCTTGTTGAAGCGGCGTGAATTGATGGCGCGCCCTCAGGTATGTTAGCGAGGTGGCGTTGGCCATCGCGCTGGCGACTGGCACTTCGAAGCAGACCAGACTGGTGAGTGATGGTGGCAGGGGAGGCATGTTTGGGTGCGGGCGATAGAAGCTGAGGCTTGTCAATGTGCTCGGCCATGACTTGAAACTATCCAATGAATGGGATGCACCGCCCTCCAACACAAGCGTCTCCAAACCATCTGGGATGTTCAATGATTGTGAATTATTAAAGGACATCTTCAACGACTTTAGCAAGGGTATATAGGGCAGCGTCTCTTCGTACCAGTTGCTCAACTGGAGGTCGGTGAGCGCGTGGGGCAGCGTCACGCTCGCAATCTTACTAACAAATCCAAATCCAAAAGTTAGCGATGTCAGTGACTCCGGTAGCACGCCTGGCTCCACTACTTGGCCAAACATTGAGCTGAGACGCAGCTTGGTCAGTGACGCAGGCAGCGAGCCAGGAAGAAGTCGTTTGTTGAACATTGATCCATTGCGTGGGTGATCATATTTGAATGATAACAAGGTGATTGAGTCTGGTAGCGAGCCAGGTGTGATCGTTTGATTAAAGTTCGCGCCGATTGTAAGTGCGAGTAGTGATGGCGGCAGCTCACCTTTGTTGATCGGTTGATTAAAGTCGTCATGAAACTGAAGTGATGTGATTGATGATGGCAACTCGAGTTGTTTGAATGGTTTGTTGCCCATCCATATCATGCAGGGCAGGTCATGGTCATCATCAACCTCATCATCACCACATTCATCATCGTTGAGTATATGTTGATGTTGATGGTGACCTTGTGTCGACATATGTGTGATCATCTTGTTGGCAACAGATCTTAACAACTTGGATGTGAGTGCCAGACACCAGAAGTCCATCATTCTTGCTGAGCGCCAAGCATCCTCATCACGTGAATGTAATATCTGATTGAATATCGATTGAATGACTATTCCTGGTAATAACTCCATGTTATTTATCTATTATCTCTGTGATGTAAAGCACAACATTTGAAAAAGATCACTTTGGAACTATGCCCCTGTGTGTCTAAAGATCATCAATCAATCAAACTTTATTATTTGGACATGTGATGATGGACATGATCCAGATACAACGATAATATATGTTTGGTCCATGCGTCGCATGAAGTATGGATACTTGATTCCAGCGAGAGTGACATTAATTCGGAATGTTTGAATGTTGGGTGCAACCAACAGGTACCTTTTCCAAAGGTACTGCCGTACACTAAATCGATTGGTGTAGATTGCCTGGCATACTCTTCCAGCAGATGCCATTGTCACTGTGTCAAAAGGAAGCACATCAGTCGATATGTTGAGACTCACGCCTGTGGGCCACTCTGTCACATGTGCAGACAAAGTATCGGGAACAGTCGTGGGCAAAGGCGCGTATAGTTTGGTGGTCGAACAAGTGAGATGTCTCAGTTTGGATGGGAGGCGCATGGGTGGATGTGGATACAGCCAGTCGACTTCTGGATTGAGCAGTTGAAGGTTGGTGATGGAGTCTGGGAGTATGACATTGGTGAGTGGGTGGATGTGTCTCTTGCCAAGGATCAGTGATGTGAGCGATGGGGGCAGTGCCCCCAGGATCGGTTCCTTGTTGAGGTCGAGCACCAGGCTGCGCAGCGAAGTGAGTGGTGCCAGTGCATCGGGCTCCACCACACGAACAAGACCATCTTCACAACACAGCTTCAGTGACGTGAGCGATGATGGAAGCAAACTGCACGTGATCCTGTTGATGGCTGTGCGAATGTTTAGTGAGAGTGACGTGAGCGATTGGGGTAGGTCGCCAGGTCGCAGTAGACTTGTTTGATAGTGCGCTTTCAAGTGTGTGAGGGAAGTGGCGCCGGCTAATACTCGTGCGTCTGGCACTTCGAAGCAGACCAGACTGGTGAGTGATGGTGGCAGCGTAGGCATGTTTTGATATGGACGATATAAGATGATCTTGGTCAATGTTCTTGGCCATGGTTTGAGTAAATTGTTCAATGTATTATAAGAGGTGCCCTCCAACATTAGTGTCACAAGCGTCTCCAGACCATCTGGGATGACCGATGAATGTGATGCGTAGGACATCTTCAAGGACTTTAGCAAGGGAACATGGGGCAACGTATGGTGATACCAGTTGCTCAGTCTAAGATCGGTGAGTGCGTGCGGCAGCGACCCATCGACCAGCTTCGTGACATATCCAAGTCCAAAAGTGAGAGATGTTAGAGACGCTGGGAGCACGCCTGGCTCCAACACTTGATCGAACGATGAGCTGAGTCGCAACTTGGTCAGTGACGCAGGCAGCGATCCAGGTAGAAGAGGTTTGTTGAACAATGATCTGGCGCGTGGGTCATCATGTTTGAATGTCAACTTGGTGATTGAGTCTGGCAGTGTGCCAGGCGTGATCATATGATCAAAGTTCGCGCCGATTGTAAGTGCGAGTAGTGTTGGCGGGAGATCACCTTTGTTGATCGGTTGGAAAAAGTTGTGGCTAAGATGAAGTGATGTGATCGATGTGATTGATGTGCTGTGGCGAGGGTAGGACAGCTCAAGATGTTTGAATGGCTTGTCATGCATCCAAGTCATACAGGGGAGGTCACCATTATCATCTTCATCAAGATCATCATACTCTTCTTTATAGTCATAATGATCATTCTTATCATCAAGTATATGTTGATGTTGATGACTACCTGCTGTCGACATATGTGTGATCATCTTGTTGGCAACAGATCTTAACAACTTGGATGTGAGTGCCAGACACCAAAAGTCCATCATTCTTGTTGTTCCCCAAGCACCCTCATCACGTGAATGTAATATCTGATTGAATATCGATTGAATCAGTATCCCTGGCAATGACTCCATGTTATCTGTTAACTCTATATCAACCTATAAATGATGTAATGATCACTTATTTGATCAAAGTTTTGATCATTATCTTGAACTATTCCTACACTCACAAGATCATTTCTTTATTGAAACAAAGCATGGACGACTGTTTGGGCATTGGCCAGATATCCATAGTGCATTGTGTTGATCAATCCGACGTAGAATGTATTGATAGAGATTGAAGTGTAAGTATACATTGACGACGAATGTTTGGATGTTCCGAGCATAGTCAAACAATGTATATAACACTTTATGATCAACCATCAATCGATTGGTGTAAAAGACATCGGGTAATGGTACACCTGGTGGATGAGCCAAGGCTATGTGCATACAGATGTCATTGTCAGATGGTATGTGCAGATCTCCAAGTGCCTCGACACTACACACCAAGGTCTTGAGTCGTGATGGCAGGCAGACACAGTGCGTCCAACCTTTACGTGTGCTCTGAAGCTCCAGTCTTGACAAAGTGATTGGAAGAGCGTCCTGGACGAGGGGCTGGCAGAAGTCTGGCCCAAGTGTAAGGTCTGTCAGTGTCATGGGTAGCATACCGGGCTCAATCAATCTTTTGAATCCAACGCCCAACGTTAGAGTTGTAAGGAATGGTGGAAGAGGAAGAGTGGCCATTTGTCTCGATCAAAGAATTCTATGCACAGCGTTCTGAGTGATTGTGAAGTTGGCAGGTTGTTGATACTTTGGACAGTCTCCAACTGAGACGTCAGACTGATCAATGAAGGTGCTGTTGATGTGAATGCAGTGAAGTCTGGAGAACTTGGGCAATCCAAAGATGTGAGGGTACTCCTCAAGCCATGTAGATAGGGTAAGACATGTCAATGTTGGGGGCCATGATGGAAGGTTATTGCCAATGATGAGTGTGTCGACAACGTCACACAGGGAAAGTGTCTCGACCATGGGCAATGGCTCTGAATGATAGATTGACATCTTTAACTTCTTTAATCCCGGCAAGGCTGAGGCTGTCTTCAGTGGCAGTCCGTGTTCATACAAAGGACTAAACTCGAGATCAGTGAGTGACTGAGGGAGGGCACCATCGATGAGCTTCCTCGTATAGTCTTCGCCAAAGATAAGGGTTGTGAGCGACTGAGGAAGCACACCGATTGGCAACTCATGATTGAACACAGAGCTTAGGCGTAGTTCGGTCAGAGACGAGGGTAGTGAGCCATGCTGTAGAGGTTTGTTGAAGTGTGATGATGGTGCAAAGTATATGTTGGATTTGAATATCAACCTGGTGATTGTGTCTGGCAATGAGTGCGGTTCGATCATCCCATCGAAACATATACCAAAGTGTAGAGTCTTGAGTGATGAAGGCAATGACTCCTTATTGATCGATTGTTGAACTAGATTGGACATCTGTATAGATGTGATTGATGTTGAGTTGTTGTGATGGTCATTGTTATCGTGATTCAGATTGAATGGTTTGTTCTTTTACCATAGGACACAGGGAAGTGAATCTTTATCACTACTATAGCTGATGCTACTACTACTACTGCTGCTGCTGCTGCTGATACTATAGTGTTTGTGATGCTCAACCTTGTGTATGTTCACTACTTTGTTGGCAACTGATCTGAATGATTTTGAAGTGAGTGATAGACACCAGAAGTCCATCAATCTTGTCGAGCTCATCCCCTCATCATCTCCACAATCATCCAATAACATATCGATTATCAACTGGACAACAATTGATGGTAATGACTCCATTTTATATATCTGTTGTTGTTATTATTGCAAATGAATGAGTTGAGCATGTCCATAAGTGTGGCTGCTGCGGCTACAGGTACCTGGTTCAAAAATATCAATTAATATCAAAGAATGTTGACTTCATGAACATCCAAGGTAGTGTATCCTTTAGTCATAAATATACTCTTATTATATACCTCCAATGTTGATATAATAATCGATCATATTGATAATGATTCTTACCCTCACTACTGCTCAAACTAGTTTGGGTAAAATCCTGATCCATGCTGAGACTGGAAGGACACTCTACTACTTCACAAAGGACACTCCACACCAAGATTCAACATGTTATGGAAAATGTGCTGTTATCTGGCCACCCTTAATCGGAACACCATTAGCTGACCCTACCCTCTCCGGAGACGCTGATATATCCTTGCGAACTGACAACACCACCCAAGCCACATACAATGGAATGCCACTCTACTACTACTACCTAGATACCAAGGCTGGTGATGTCCTTGGTGAGAATGTAGGCCAAGTGTGGTTTGTCTTCCGTGAGAACACTCTAAGCTTCAACAAGATGGACCGTAGCTTGATCACAGTCGACCAGAATGGACGTGCTATTTACTTCAATGGTGCTCACAAACCCTACACCGCACCATCGTGCATTGATGGTAAGCTGGCGCCTCTGTCTTCCCACCTGTACTTGGATTTGCTCGCCAAGATGCCTCAGCTGGAATTAACAACATCATAGGATTCGTCCAGAGCTCTGACAAGCAGTTCCAGGTCACAATGAATGGTTACCCTCTGCACTACCACGCAGGCGATTCGATTCCAGGCGAGTCCAAGGGTGACGACATCAACGGATTCTTCGTGTATAGCCATATGTTACTCCATACTTCTAAGGTCAAGGTGGCCGTTTTCAACCTCTCCTCCGACCCATGTGCCGGTGCCTCCACATGCCAGTTCAGCAACAGTTGCTTCAAGAATGAGACCAAGACCGATGCCAGTGGTCAATCCACCGTCAAAGTTCTTCTGCATGATCGTCAACCATGGTCCTCCAGCTTGTCACATCTCTCTCAATTTTAACAACCTTGATAACAGTGTCATCTCCATCAATGGACTGAAGACATCCACCTCCGACCACACCCACTATGACTTCTTCCCAAACAGTGATAAGGCTGTACTCGGCACCAACGAGGGTCATCCATGGACCTACACTGTAAAGGGAGGCCCAACCAACATCTTGGTTGACTCTGCCGAGATTACCGCCTACCACTACACAAGAGACACCATCGGCCAACCATAAGCATGTCTGGACAACACTGACTGCACTCGTGTCTGGTCTGCCTTTGTTGGATTCCCACACTCTCTTAAGAGCTTCGACCTTGGCGGTATCCTCGGGACTCAGGCTTGCCAGAACGGTCGCCTTCAGCCAACTTTCAACGGACGCCCACTCTACTACTACTTCTTGGACACCACCGGAACAGCTCTGTGCAATGGAGCAGAAGGTATCTGGTTCGTAGAGAACACAAAGCCTGCCCCGCAGACATGCTAGAAGATAACAATAAATAAGTCTGTCCGTTTTAATGGTGGATTGATTTGATTGAATTGTTGAATGAGTAATGTAGTTAATTGAATGATTGAAATCCATCAATTCTTTCCCAGCATTGATACCTCAGTCTCGTACTCCTTGAGCTCGGATGGAGTGAGGTTGAACAACTGGAGACTGTCAATAACTTGGCAGATCAGTGGGTCATCAAGGAGTGTAGATGGGAACTCCGGTATACTCTTGATGTTTGATCCCATGACAGCACCAACTTTAGTAGTAATGGTGGATTTGGAATTGATCGAGGCAGGATCAATGTTGGGGAGTTGGAGGTAGTTCACCTTGAAAGACTCGTCAGTATCCTTGAATGATTGTCTATCATTGCTCTTGAATCCCAAAGATACATGGATGATTGGCCGGGAGGATAGGGTCATTAGGGAATACCTTGAAATCGCAGACACAGAGTTGATAGTAAGGATCAAAGTCACTATTGTGGATGTGGCCTTGTTTGAGAATACCAGTTGCAACACCATAGAAAGATTGTTGATAGAACATTGGATGATTGCGAGGTCTAAGAATCTCAACTATTATCCTTTTGCCACCTTTGGTAGTGCATTTGGCGAGGTATCTTGGAGTGTTGGGGAAGGCATCAGTTGGATTGTTGGAGTACACCAGTGTAGTAATTGGGTCCGCTGCAAGGTTGAACGAATCATTTAGACATGGCAACAGTCTGAATATGGGCATTTAAGAGAATACCCAACGCCAATGGGTTGCTATTGACATAGACGTTGGTGTTGGCAGCCTTAAAGTGTCTAGAATGATGTAGATAAATATATTTAATACTCTTGGAGAACTTTATAATTATAGCTTTATAGTTTTATAGTGAATGAGTGAATGAGATAGTAGTGATTGAGTGATTGATTGAATGGATGGAATATATGAATGAACGATTGAGTGAGAGTGATTGAGTGATTATCCAAATTAGGAGAAGGCACCATATATGGATATCATTACTTGTTTAGGCATGGTGAGACCTTGATCACTCACCAACCCACCCACTCACTCACACGAGCAACCAATGATGATGATCACTGTGATGAGACAACTGGCAACCATCACAATGTTGCTGTGACATTGAGGAGCAACCAGTGTGTTTCTGAAGAAGATGTTTGTTGATGGCCATCGTCTGACCATGCACTTCGCATCCATTGTGTGGACATTTGATCAGGTTGAACATACTCTCATTCCAGACTCCAACTTGACTAGGCTTGGTTGTTGTAGTCGTCGTCGGTCGAATGGTAACGTTCCTCTTGGGACTACCACCGGGTACCGCCATCCCACTGATGATCTTGCGCTGCCATACAAACAATCGTCTTTTACCTCCATTATCGATGTCCTCTTCGTCGTCATTGTCATTGTCATGACCATTGTCGATGTGGAAGTTGCGCTCAACACATGCCTTGCAATGATGTGGATCCGAACAGAAGTGCCTTTGATACATGTGCATATGTTTGGCGCCATCAGTTTTGAAGAAGTAGATGCACTCTGAATGATCACACCTGAGGTATCCATCAGCCAAGAATCTTTCGATTGATTGAGTGTCGTCGTGTGTGGCATAGTGCTTCTGAGTGCGGTATTCTCGAGTGTTTGGACATGCTCCATATGTGGCGTTGCACGCATGCTTCTTCTTGCAATGAAGATACATGCCCGCCGAGGTGATGTAGCTCTTGGTGCAGTCACCATCATCATGCAGACATTTGTACTGGCCCGTCTCTTGCTCGTTGTCATTGGGGCCTGTTGCCGAGCGTCTTGGGCGATGCTGGATGCGATCAATACATCCTTGACAACTCACTGGATCCGGACATTGATGTTCCTTTGCCAGGTGATGAATCCTGGATTTGCGAGTAGCCATGAAGTTGCCACACGATGTGTGTGGACATTGAAGAAAACCCCTTGCCGTCAACATTGATATTGATTCAGTGTCATCAGGATCGGCAAAGAAAGCAGTCTTTTGATGGGTCTGATAGTTTGGACATGCTGCGTATCTCCAAGTGCATTTGTGTTCTGATCGGCAGTGACCGCGCAATACTCTATACGACCTTTGAGAGGATGAACATGCCTCGTGTTGACACTTGAACCTGGACAAGGGATCGTCACCAATGGTCGGAGCCCATAGTCGTCGGAACACGCATCCTGGACAATTCTGATGGTCGGTACATTGGTGTTCCTTTCGGTTGTGCTGCATCATTATGTATCTCGCATTGAACAATTTGTCGCAGTTGGAGTGTAGACACTTGATCTTGTCATTTGATTCTGGTACCTGGTTGGTCGATAATGTCGTAGAGATGGGGGACACATCTTCATCATCTAGATCGACTTCCTCCTCATCTTCATCATCTTCATCCTCTTCTTCATACTGATCCTCGTCTTCGACAGTGGATCGCTTGCGCTTTGTTGGTGGCCACAATGATAATAGCCTCGATCTATCACCCGGGTGACAGAATTTGGCGTGATTATTGAATGTCTTCCTTTTCTTGAGGTAGGTGATGCATTCTGAATGTGGACACTTGGTGTAACCTTTGGCCACCAACATCTTGATCGACTCGGTGTCATCGTCTTCAGCGGTGAAGCTCTTTGATCGGTAGCGTTGTTCATTGAGACAGCTTGCGTACGATCGACATTGATGTGCTGTCTTGCAATGTTGATGTAAAAGACCAAACAACTCGTACTCTTTAGAGCAGCCATCGTGCAGACAGACCAGAGATTTGATGGTAGGGATGGTATTGGGGAGTGTTTGCCTTGTCATCAAAATGTCACTGCGCAAACAACCTGGACAGCTGTGACGGTCTGGACATTGATGGTCTCCACCCTTCCGAAGTATGTGTTGGCGCACCAAATCCATCGAGGGGTAGAAGCTGAAGCAAGTGTTGTGCAAACACTTGATCAGACCATCGGCAAGCATCATCTCGATTGAATCCTTGTCGTTGGCATCAGCGAATATCATCTTTGTGCGATAGCTTCTGTAGTTGGCGCATGTTGCATAAGTCTTTGAGCAGCCATGATCAGTTGAGCAATGATTGCTCATGTTGCCATAGTCCGAGAAGGACCTTGTGCAGCCCAAATGAAGACAGTCTTTCATCGTTATCGGCTTCGTCATTGTAGATCGCACTAGTGCTGCATTGTTTGTTGTAGTCGTTGTTGTTGATGTTGTCGATGTTGTCGATGTTGTCGATGTTGTCGATGTTGTAGATGTTGTTGTAGTTGTGTTGCTCGACATGTCTGTATTTTGCTAATGTGATCATTTCATACAATGATACTAATGTAATAACAGTTACTATTTATTTCACTGATTGATCGATTGAATGAAAGAAGATCAAACAATCAAACTTGTTTTTGATCAACATTTCATTTCGAACTACATTTTAACTATTTATATGTAATAATATCTTTAATTATTAAATATTAACCATCCCATCCTCCTCGATCTTTGGTCACTTTTGTTTGTTATTCCAAGCCAACTAGTGATCAATAATCGAGCTCGCGTTGTTGGTCTAGGTGTCGGTCATTCCAAGCCAACCCAAAGTAGGAATCAATTGCCAAAGTACAGGTCCCACCAACCTTCTTATTCCTTGCATCAATCAATCTATCGATGAACCAATCAATCAATCATTTAATTAATTAATTAATCAATCATCCATCAAATTAATTATCAAAATAATAACTAATCAGCATGAATAAATAACCTTCTATTGCCAAAGTATAATATGGTGATCCTCTGATTAATAATATATTTGAATGATGCGAGGCTTGGATGATGGACATGCTGCAGATATCCAGAGTGAGTGACGACGGTCAATGCGTCTTAAGAAGTAGGTATAGTATCGCTTGCAGAGAAGGACGTTGACTTTGAATGTGTGGACAACGTGACAGCTGTTTCGAACCAGATCTTGATGGCTTCATTATTGATGGTCAATTGGTTGGTGAATATGACGTCGCCCAAACGTCCACTTGGCACGGCAGAGACGTGGAGACACACGTCACTGCCTGGCGGCAGACGTCTTGCACATCCGACCTGTGATTGAGAGCGACACATTAAATGCTTGATGTTGGGTGGCAGATACACATCATTCCATTCCTTGTCCACTTCTGCGTACTTGTCGTCATACAGGTCCAGACGTGTCAATGAGTCTGGCAACACGCCCTTGGGCAATGGATGGTTGAATGACTCGCCAAGTAACAGATATGTGAGTGATTGGGGCAATGTGCCTTCGACGATTGGCCGATTGTACTCTGTCTTTGGGCCGAGCATTAGTGTGAGCAATGATGGAGGGAGCACTCCTGGTGGAATAGGGCGATCGAATCCATAGCCAATTCTTAGCTCGGTGAGAGTGGGAGGAAGTGTATCAGAGACAATGTTCCAAGGGAGGGTGAGCCGGTCGATGCAGAGGTACTTGAGTGAGCGAGGCAACTCGCGAGGGGGGTTATAAAGCCTCTCGATCGTGAGACTTGTCAATGATATGTCTGCGGAAAAGTCCCTTAAGATGAAGCTATTGAGTTTGGTAAGTGAACCAGGGAGTGGGTGGACGGGACAGTGGTCAATGGCTGTGAGCTCGGTAAGAGCAGGTGGCCAAGATGATCCACCACCTTCATGAGACGGGGGTGGACGCACACTGAATGCCGTCCTCAATATCTTGAGTTTGGGTAGTTGAGTGATGGCAAATGATGGCCTGCTGAATATTCCCAGCTCAGTGAGCGAGGCGAGCACATGATCGGGCAGGGCCTTATTGAAGCCCCTTCCAAGATAGAGAGTGACCAGAGATGCAGGCAACACACCTGGTAGTGTCAAATCTTGATTGAATGCGGTGCCCATGCGAAGGTCCGTCAGCGAGGCGGGCAACGAACCGCACTCAAATGGTTGATTGAAATTTGAAACTAGTTGTATAGGCCATGATAACATTGTGATTGAGTCTGGCAACGAGCCAGGCCTGATCGGTTGATTGAACATGTGGCCCATTTTTAAGATCTGTAGTGATGGTGGCAGGGTGCCCGGTTCAATTGGTTGATCGAACGTACCATCAAGGTGAAGTGATGTTATTGTTGTTGTTGAGATGCTTTTGAAATGCTCCTTGTACTTGAATACAGAGTTGGAAGTCCATAACAAACATGGTTTGCTCATAGTTGTCGTTGTCATTCCGTAACAATCATATTGCTCTTCATCACTTAGTATGCTGCTGGCATGATGATGTGGACGTATCAACTTCCGTGCGGTTGACATGAATGACTTGGAGGTGAGTTCCAGACACATAAAGTCCATCAGTCCAGTACCATTCTGTTGATCGTCATTCAACAAATGATTGAATATATCTTTAACTATTATATTTGGTAGTGTTTCCATGAATATCTCTTATCTCTATGATCCAAACAAGAATGATCACTTTTTTGATCAAATGATCAAGTGACCAATTGATTAGTTTATTTGTTTACAATGAAGTACGGACGATCATATGTGGACGTGTGACATAATAAGGTATTCTGATCAATCCTTCGTAATATTGTGATATCTCTTGATTGATTGATAAAGTATACTGATACATTGGGTATGCGTATTGTCAATTCCTTAAGGTATTGATACCAGGGAGTGAATGTACCCCATCGCCCAACACTATGAGCAATGTTCAATTCCAATCGATCAATACGTGTCAAACACTGTGGAGTGCGCTCTCCCAGCCATACAGTCTCCACTCGCACCAACTCCATCCTGTGGTCAGAGTTAGAGTTGAACGCCTCCAGACATTTGAGATAGTGTATGTAGGGACTTGTCAGACGACGAATGTTGGCTGGAAGACTTAACTCATCGATGGGAGTATGTCCAGGGTGCACCAGCGATGTCAGTGAGTTGGGCAGTACACCCCGAGGTATCTTCCTAGAGTACTCGGATGGAATGATCAGTGATGTGAGAGACGCTGGAAGATGGCCGGGCATCAATGTTTGGTTGAAGTATTCGCCCAGTTCAAGTTCGAGAAGGGTGTCGGGCAAGCATCTAACAGAGAGCGGTTGATTGTATTTGGTCCCCAGTTCGAGGGACTCGAGGGTAGGCGGCAGACAGCCAGGGTATAGCGCCTTGTTGTACTCACTACATAGTTTCAATCTTTTAAGATTGCGAGGTAGGTAATCAAGATCACCATCAGGTATTGGTTTGATCAGTTGACTCTGTGGATTCAATGGGAAGTAATGATTATCATGGAAGTGTCCACCTTCCTTCAACACTTGGAGTGTCTCGGGTATAGTAGCTCTGAGATACTGTCGACGGAAGTTGAAGCCAAACATGATATGTGTCAAGCCAGTTGGAAGCACGTCGGGCATTATAGGCTCGACGAATGAGTTTCCTAGAATCAATCGTTTGAGTGACATTGGTAGTACACCTGGTATCAGAGCACGATTGAATGATCGACCCAACCTGAGACGTTCCAATCCAGATGGCAGTGCATTGACTGGGATCGTCCAATTGAATTCATAACCAAGTTTCAGAGTGATCAATGATGATGGAAGTACATCAAGTCCAATAACTTGATTAAATAGATTGCCAAATTGAAGAGAAGTTAATGATTGAGGTAGTATACCAGGCAGTAACACCTTGTTGAACCTATCACCCAATGTAACTGATGTTATACGACTTGACAATGACTTTAAGAAACTGATTACAAGGTTATCATCTGGTATATTTAGTAGTATATGTGTTGTTGAGTTGCTATTGGCCTTGTCATTGTCATACTTTTGCTTGTTCATTGATGATGACAAGCTCAACTTGTTGTACACTGCTCTGAATGATCTAGATGTCATTGATAGACATAACACATCCAGACACATTGATTGATAGTCATTATTATCTTCAATCAAATGATTGAATATAGGCTTTATAACAATATAAGGTAATGTACATATGTACATTATGTGTATTATTTGTATGAATGAATGAAGTATGAATGACCCATAAACCATTGTTGGATTCTCCAAAACATAAGATGCCCCTTGATCATTGACCGGTACTCATTCATTCATTCATACAACTATACAAAGACATTCATACACATACATAAACATACAACAATAGTGAACTGACCGAATGACCGATTGAAATGACCAAGTATCTCTGCCAACATGAGTCTGGCAAACTTAGACACGCCAATTTAAATGCCACTTCTCTACTTTATCATTGCAAAGCGAAACATGGAAGTGGATGCACAACATATTGAACAAGAGTGATTCCATGATCCACTATTATTGTTGATGGAGAAGACTCGCTTGTGGTTGCTTTCCATTGAATATTGAGATCTCTTGGGTAAAGGATCCACCAGGATGGATGAGGATCCAGACAGCAAGATCGCGAACAGGAGGGTCGAAAGGTCGATGATGAACCCATGGATAGTCCCTTAACAATATCTCCATTATTGTAGGTCTGAGGGCAGGATCGAATACCCAGACTTCGTCTTGATTGTAAGTGATCCTACTAATGCAGCAAATCTCGAGGACTCGATGGAGGCAAGTAAGAACCTCCTCGTCAGTTGTCCGGACTGGGAAAGCATTGAGGTCGTATCGTGAATATATGCCATCTGGGTTAGTCCTGATAAGTGCCACAATCTTTACAGACTCTAGTGATGACTTGATCCTCTCTACTATTATGTCGGACGGCATTGGGTAGTTGAGTTTGGCAATACGTTCCTTTACTTGACCAATTTTCCAACTTGAAATTGATTGAAGAAAAGACAGAAATTGCATTGTGTCGTCCAATCCCCAGGCATACTCTTGTTGCTTGTTGGAGAAACAGTCATTATAGATATTAAAAATGTTTTAGATTGTTGAGAATTAACAATAATAATAGAGAAATGCTTTATGATTGATTTAAATTAGTTTAGTTATATTTGGACATAATATGTGGAGACTAAATATTAATTAATACATGTTGAACTTCAGTATTGATCACTTTTGGTCATCGGAATTGAAACAACAAAGTTGGTTCCACTTTGAGCGTGGTCATTCGATCATACTATCAATCAAACAAAGATGGAAGAACATTCAAAACAACTCCCAATACTTCCACATCATGTTCAAGATTATATACTTCGTCTGTTGATTAGAGATCAGGGTATTGATAATATAGAGGAATGGTTACAGTGTGATCTAGTATGTTGGCGCTTCTTTGGAGTGGTTTCATTGTTGTTCGATCATGCTTACCTGGTTACAATGCCCGAGAACGATCTGATGCGTGACAAGTGCCTAAACTGGTGTGAGCATGTGTCGCGGCCTCATTGTGTCCTGAAGAACATCCGCACCATGTCCATCGCCCTGGAGTCCAGGGCGATGGACTACTTTTCAAGGCCAAGCAGATTCAAACAGTGTTGGACATACTACTCAAATGTACGTCTTGATCCGATCGCACACTGTCTAGACAGTTGTTCATTAGAACACTACCATAACAAACAGAGAGTGTTCGATGAGACCCTGTCATCACTCGAGACGCTGAACCTCTTCATCAATGATGGTGAGGCCGATAACTCATTCGATAATATAACTTGCAAGATACTTGGACAGTGCACAAAGCTTCGAGAGTTCTGCGTGGTAGTGGCGACGTCGTCCTATCCCCTCAACTACGTGTTTGACAATCTCTTGGCTTACAACGATGGCTTCATCCCTATCCTTGCGCCAACTATTCGATTCATACTAAAGGACGACCTCCCCAACGTTTTGCTGCGATCCGCTACAAGTAGACTGATCATGCGACACCAGGCTACATTGAAGACACTCTACTTTAATGATATATCCATATCAATCTCTACAGGTGACGATCATTCGAATGCATTGACATTGAGAACCAACAAGATGGTTGGTCCACATTCAATCAACATGACTCAAGATGACCTTCTGACTCCAGATTCCACTAAAATGAGATCATTATTCAATCACTCCAATAATGACGATGATGATGATGATGACTATTATGATTATTATGATAGTGATAATAGTGATCAGAGTATAGATAGCGATTATGAGCTTGACGAGCTTGGAAAGTCATTCCATCCAGTGATCAAGTATACCAAACCAATACTTGAGGTCAATTTGCCAACTAAATTGAGCTGGCTAGATCAGCACCTAAAGGAGAGAAAGAGGTTCTTCAAGTCCAAAAGAAGACTATATATATTTGAGTAATAAATACACTGATTGACCATCATTGTATCTTCTCGAACTTGATGTATTCAAAACAATTAATTTATGGGTTTGGCTCTTTTGGTTGATTGGCGATCACAACTCATTAAGTTCTATCTTTGAAGTTAATCAATCTAAGATAGAGATAAATATAGATATATAGATATATAGAATGGCAACGACAACTGATCAATCACATATATCTGCAGTTGGAGCAATCACTCAACAGATGCTCCCTTTAGAGTTGATCGACAAGTGCATTGGACAGAGGATTTGGATCTGCATGAAGAATGACAAGGAGTTCGTTGGTACACTGCTGGGCTTCGATACATACGTCAGTATGTTATTTTCATCATCCTAGTCATCATCATCATCATAGTCATCATCGTACATACTAACCATCAATCATTCATTCAATCAATCATCAACTAGATATATTCCTGAAAGATGTGATTGAATAGTAAGTATCTTCAGTCAGTCAGTCAGGCAAGCAAGTGATGTGCACAATCTAACATGTTGCTCACAACTCTATATATATAGCGACTTTACACCAGAGGGCATCAAGACTATCAATCTGGACACAATACTACTTAATGGAAACCATGTTTGTTTGGTAAGTAGTCGCGTGACTCATCCTCAGAGAAGACAGCATCATCCAACGAATAGCAATACTCATACCTCCTTATACCATCACAACATCAACAACAGTTGATACCAGGTGGCGAAGGACCTTTGGCAAAGCCAGCAAAGTAGTTGGTTAGATGTAATAAACAGTTAGCGAGTGAGCGAACGAGCGAACGATATTATCGAACTTGTAACACACAATCGGAGGCAGTTAGTTAGTTGGATCGATCAATCAACAATCTTTAATGACATAGATACAGTATCTCTTCATTCTCTGACCGTTGGACCACAGTTTGTTGAAGTAGGAGTATCCATAGTCCTCCTCCAGTGGACAGATGTAGTCCTCTTTGACGGGCTTATAGATGCGAGCCAACTTCTTTGACTGGCGAAGCACCAGGACGATCGAGTCGGCATAGGGCTTGTCATCAGTGACGATGGTCAGCGTGCCATCCTTCTTGAGCGACCGGTTGATCTCCACCAAAAAGTCGTGATCGATCAGACGCTTGGCGCCAGGCCACACGGGCGGGTTGGGATAGTTGATGTACACCTCGTCCAGCGTGCCGGTGGGCACGTTGCTCTTGAGCACCTCGTGCGCATCACCCGCCATCAGGTAGAGGTTGTCGATGGACTCGAGTATCATCTTGGACCAGATCTGGAAGACACGATCGTAACGTATCTCCACAGAGAGCCAGTCTGATTCAGAGTCTTCTGCCGCGCGCTTTGTGATCCAATGTCCGTGGCCGGAACATATCTCCATCTTTACCGGGCGTGGGTTGGCCTGGTCCCTCGAGTCGCGCAACAACATATCCATGAATGATGAGTTCTTCTCCATCTGGCCATCATTGGCCTTATACAAGTTGCTGAATGTCACTGGCGAGAAGAATATCTTCTTGGACCATTCCATCGGTTGGCACTTGACCTTGACTGTTTGTGGTGCCGGTGTATGTTGCCATGTTAGGATGTGACTCGTAGGAATCATTCCAATCACTCAATCAATCAATCATACCTTGTTGTTTGGATAGACGTTGGAGACATGCTCGAACACGCTCAGACTCTTCGTTAATCTCTTGTCGATTGATACGCTCAAAGAGTGATGCGGACACTTTGTTGGACTCGGATTTCTTGCCCTTGTTCTTGTGTGATTGTGACGCCACGCCAATGGATCGAGGCGCTCTCGATAGGATGTCATCGATAATGCCCAACGCCTTGACGGCGCTCTTGAGATCGCCCGCCAGCAGAGCAGCCAGTGAGAGACGAGAGAACACGATGGGCGAGATCTCTGTCTCCATCGCCTCGTACTTATCGCCCAGTAATTGCCAGCAATCAGTGATCATCAGATGTTGCGCGTATATCTTGATCAGGTACTCGATGGTAGAGCTGTCGTCCAACTTCTGCTTCTTCATGTCGGTGTAGAGTCGCTGGGCAATGTCCACGTCGCCACTTCTAATACATCCACGCAGCACAGAGTTGTAGGAACGTGCATTTGGTGGGATGCCCACCTGCTTCATTGTGTCGACCATCGCTTCGGCGGCAGGCATATCAGTCTCGCACAATGCCTTGATGAATGTCGTGTAGATGACCTCGTTGGCGCCCTTCTCACTGTTGATGGCGTCGTCAAACACCTCCTTTGCCATGCCCCATTCTTGGCATCTAACACAAGAGTTGAGCAATACTCCAAATGCAATATGATCAGGTCTTGCTCCAATCCTCTTCAAGTAATTATAACTATTCCTAATCTGTTGGAAGTCCTTCTTCTCGGAGAACTATAAGGTGTGGGCGTGTCGTGGCTGTCAGTGCTCGTGGCCTCTCAATCAATCAATCAATCAATCCAAGTGATACTTACGAATACCAACTGTTGTGTAATCTTGTTGACGACCTTCTTGTTGTTCCTGACACTTGGTGGAGCAACTACCTTCTTCTTGGCAGCGTCGCCATTGACTTCTTGCTCTTCATCCTCGCCTTCAACATCAACATCATCATCATCACCATTTGTCTCTTCATTCTTCTTTTCCACAGCCACAATCTTATTGTCACCATTAACTTTATCGCTCTTCTTCTTCTTTGTTACAACCTTGTCACCTTCACTTGTTCCATTTCCATCCTCTCTCGCTCGTTTGTAATCTTGTTGTGTCGTCGCTGTAGTGGTAGTCGTTGTAGTTGTAGATGGTGTTGTCGTCGCTGGTGTGGTCGCAGTTGCAGTCGCAGACTTCTTTTGTCGCTCTTCAGAAGTAGCTGTCTTTGTTGTATTCGTGGTGGTGGTCGAGCCCGAGGCCGAGGACGACTTTGCCTTTGTGGCAAAAGATGTCTGAGTGGGTGTTGTAGTAGTCGCCACAGTTGACGACTTTGTCTGAGTTGGTAACGCCACCTTCTTTGGTGGTTGAGGCTTTATATCATATATCTCAACCTGTAACTTATTCTCTCCAATCACCTTGCCATGTAACGCTGTCTTGAACTAAGTTTGGTTCATTGAGTGAGTGATTGATTGAGTGAGTAAGTGATTGAACTAATGAGTTGTTGAGTGAGATTGAGTCCAATACATACATTAGGCATCTGTGTAATATCATTGACAGAGATCAATGCTATTGTAGTGTCTGGTGAAGGTAGCTCTATGGTTGGAGGCACGATCAATGGCATTGTAATCGTAACCAATGGTGAGTTATGACATAATGTCTTTAATCTATCGATGACCTCATTCCTCTGTGCAGTCTTTGGTATATTCTTAACCAATAATCTCTTTGTATTATTCATTACTATTACTATTATTAATTATTATTATTTGTTAACAAAGACAAAGACGAATGAATCTCAAATTTTAAGAAGTTCGATCATAACCCCAAATCATTCTTCAAACTCTCTCATTCACTTTCACTTTCATTCTTGATGAAGCAAATAATACAGATTATCTGTACACAAATTAAATAATTTAATCATTCATTTACATTGAGTGCGCACCAATAGTACATATAGTCATACATATAAATAACAAATAATCAATCAATCATATAATGTTTGGTGTACCATCGTTTGGTTCAACATTTGGAGGTGGCTCATCAGTGTTTGGTGGAGGAGTTGGTGCTACGACACAAAGTTCAGCATTTGGATCAACAAGTTCAGCACCTGCATTTGGTACTCCTACAGCATTTGGTCAACAGCAACAACAACAACAGCAACAATCTAATCCAGCTGGTAGTGTGTTTGGCTCGAGCTCACCTGCTACCTCTGGAGGCAGTGTGTTTGGATCGTCTTCAGCTCCAGCATTTGGTGGTGGCGGTGCATTTGGTTCAACATCAGCGTTTGGCACACCAAGTACATCAAACCCAACGGGCAGCGCATTTGGCTCGTCAACACCAGCATCAGCCTTTGGCGCGACATCAGCCTTTGGTGCAGTAAGCACATCGAACCCAACAGGCAGTGCGTTTGGAGGCTTTGGATCGACACCAGCATTTGGATCGACTACATCAGCGTTTGGCACACCAAGCACATCAAACCCAACAGGTAGCGCATTTGGCTCGTCGACCCCAACATCAGCCTTTGGCTCAACCAGCGCGTTTGGCTCGACAACACCTTCGACTGGCGCGTTTGGTGCGTCCAACCCAACAGGCAGTGCATTTGGCTCAACAGCACCCTCAGCCTTTGGTGCGACCTCTGCATTTGGTGCGTCTAACCCAACGGGCAGCGCATTTGGCTCGACTGCAACACCATCTGCCTTTGGCCAAACAACGACTACACCCTCAGGCTTTGGCGCGGCCTCTGCCTTTGGACAAACAACAACTACACCCTCGGGCTTTGGCTCGACCTCAGCATTTGGCACACCATCAAACCCAGCCAGTGCATTTGGATCAACGTCATCAGTGTTTGGATCAAACACAAACACAACATCCTCACCCTTTGGACAACCAACATCCACGCCATCAACAGGCGGTGGCTTTGGCGGTGGCTTTGGATCAAACCCCATCACATCAACACCAACAGGCACATCATCAGTGTTTGGATCGACCTCATCCAACCCAACAAGCGCAACATCAGTATTTGGATCGAATCCAATCAACATACCAGCATCACAAACATCAGCATTTGGCTCAAACACAGCAGCAGCACAACCATCAGCATTTGGCGGCGGTGGCTTCGGCACGCCAACAACTACCAGCAGTCCTTTTGGACAGACTACACCAGTCACAGCACAACAATCAAACTCCAGTGTATTTGGTGTAACCAGTCTAGAGTCGCCATCAACACCATTCAAAGCATCGACCATCACCAGCACACCAACCACGCCCACATCACTAGCCCCCGAGTCCTTCCCATCGCCCTCCAGTCTAGACGTATGGACTGCCGTTGCATTTGAGATTGGATCAATTCCAGAGTTCCCTCCAGTTGCCGCCTAAGTCCAAGCAAGTGATAATCAGAATCATGAACGTTACCGAAAACTTACTTGTTTTTTGCACGAGCAAAAATGTGATTGAGCGAGTGTGGATCACAACAAAAAGGATCATCACAAACACGAACGACATTCTTTATGTCAAACATACAGATTAATGTAAGTTATATTTATCTCTATATCTATGTCAATCAATCAATCAAACAACAACCAAGTTAGTTAGACATTATTATGATGATCAACAATATCAATTCCTTTAACATGAACGTTCTATGATTATAAAACATTCAGACTTTTCTGACGTCTAAACTCAACAACAAATACAACATCAACAACCTATCTATCTATTCAATATCCAATACATCAACAACAACCAATCAAGTTACTAACTAACTCCTCAATACCACTCAAACAGATATTTAAAACAAACAAACAATCATTCGATTCCTTAATGTACATATATATAATAATAAATGAACATTGTTATAACAAATAATCTCTAAGTTGTCTGACTCATTCATTCATTGAAGACCTTCGAGGTTGTTGTATTTGTTTGAATTTGATGAAAAAATGAGGAATTGTGTGAACTTGAATGAATTCAATCAATTCATTGATTGAATTCATTCATTCTTTCAACAAACAAACATACACATACAAATAATACTTATACCTTGTATATACTATCTCACATACACATCAACTTGGGTCAATGAACGAGAGCAAAGCACAATAAGACATATACTCTTAACTCTCTATCTCTTTTACACTCTCTCCATGTACAGTTTGATTATTAAAGTGTCAAAGCAATATACTATACCCTCTGATTCAAAGGTCGATATGAAGCCATCTGCAATATCTTCAACAACAACATCATCATCATCATCATCGTCTACAGTGAACATACCTATACCTCTTGTGGCCACTGTCATTTCAACATCACCTACGTCACCAAACAAAGTTACATCGACCAGTGGTTCAGGCTCACCTCTCTCCCTATCATTATCAACATTGGCAGCCAGTGGAGATGGTGGAAGTAGTAGTGGTATAAGTGGTCCATCATCATCATCATCATCGTCGTCATCATTATCAAAGAAACAACAACAATTACTTGTACCATCATCAATCATTCGAGAAGACACAAACAACAACAACAATAACAATGATCAAGATAATAACAATAACAACAATGCCAGTGGAAGTGGAAGTGGCAGTGGCAGTGGCAGTGGAAGTGGAAGTGGAAATAGACCAAGGATCAAACTGTCTGGTGGCAGTCCAGGCACAATACAACAAGCAAACAGTTGCATACCATTCTTCTTTGGCAACCCTCGTATCGAAGTGACCGAAGGTGTCATCCACCTCTTTGTCAACTCTGAATTATCCAAGCTACAACAGAACACTTCATTTTGTAACCTACCCGTAAGTAGTCTACCCTTCTCCCGCTATCCCACTGGGACTATCCCAATCAATCACTCAATCACTCACTTACTCATTCAATCAATCAATCACACATGAATAGACCACACGAAGTAACATTATATGTATAGAATCAATACCATCTTATGTATCTATACCTGACTTGATACATTACTTTAACAATGGAATCGAGTCGATATCGGATATGAAGGTGATTCGGGACGCTTCACCCAATCGATATATGGTGTTGTTGCGCTTCCACGATCAGCCGCACGCCGACGAGTTCTATCAATTGTACAATGGCAAGCAGTTCAACTCGTTCGAGCCAGAGACTTGTATATTGATGTTTGTGGCCAAGGTCGAGTACTGCTCGCCGTCCAACCAGCTGCTGCTACCGGCACCTGGTGGCACGATCGAGCTGCCGACATGCCCCGTGTGCCTCGAGCGCCTGGACTCGTCGACCACGGGCATCGTCACGGTGCTCTGCCATCACACATTTCACTGCGACTGTCTGGCCAAGTGGCGCGGCGACAACACCTGTCCGGTGTGCCGCTACGTGCAGATCCCCGAAGTCGAGGCGAACAATGTGTGCGCCGAGTGCAACTCGACCGAGTCGCTCTGGATCTGCATCATCTGTGGCAACGTCGGATGCTCGCGATACGTCAACTCTCACGCCAACCATCATTACGAGCAGACGATGCATACATACGCACTAGAGCTAGAGACACAGCGTGTATGGGACTATGCCGGCGATGGCTATGTCCACCGACTTATCCAGAACCGTGCCGATGGCAAGGTGCTTGAGCTACCCAACCCACACGCCAGCTCGGACGCACGCACCGGCTCGCATCTCAAGGAGGAGAAGATCGAGTCGATCGCCATGGAGTACAACTTTTTGTTGACCAGCCAGCTGGAGCAGCAGCGCGCATACTTTGAGCAGCAGCTGGCAAGGATCGAGAAGGAAGCCATCCACAGCACGAGCGTAATGAAGGAGGAGATGGATAGGATCAACAACAGGTGGCAGAGCAAGTGTCAGCGACTGAAACAAAAGATGGACGAGATGGACAAGGAGACCAAGTTCCTGCGACAGATCAACGATGCCATGCGTGAGAAGCAGGACAAGTTCAAAGAGATGGAAGGGGACAAGGAACAAAAGATCATCGAACTATCCGAAGAGCTACGAGACATGCGATTCTTTATCGGTGCACAAAAGACCATTGGAGAGAATAGTGAGATGAAGGATGCTTCACTCTTTGTTCCAGCGCCAATCAAGAAGAAGAACAATAAAAAGAAGTGATCGTCGTCCTTGTCATTGATTGGCTTGGTCAGTCCCATAAATTAAAACAAAGTTGAGTGATCACACCCACACCTTGTTCATGATCAAAGAGATACTTATTCGACTCATGAGTCGATATAGTTATACATATACAACAGGACACGACAGGATACTATACAATGGAGAATAAGGACAATCATTTACTTAATCTAAAGGTTATGAGACTTAGTAAACCTCATATACCAACTAATAATGCAGTATTATGTGAGAGAGATGATATAATGAATGATATATTACTGCCTTCATCTGTACAGTTAGGTAATAATGATACGAATGGTGGAGGTATCGAAGCATTGGGTATATCATCAATGCTACTACTTCAATCTGGTATCATCTACCTCGGAGAGATCTTCACCAGCTACATCACACTCAACAATCATTCTACTCAAGACGTCAATAATGTCTTTATCAAAGTATGTTTGTTTGATTGATTGATTGATTGATTGATTGATTGATTGAATGACGTCTAACTAACTACTACTATGACAGGTTGAGCTACAGACCACTACACAGAGGATACCTTTGCTAGACTCTGAACAGAATCCAATCAAGAAGTTTGGCCCAGGCTTCAACAGCGACTTTGTTGTACAGCGTGAGGTCAAGGAGTCTGGTCCCAACATGTAGGTCATCAAAGTGTTATCATTCAGTCGTGCTCCTTACTCATACATACACTCACTCTCTAGTCTATGCTGCGCTGTCAACTATACTACACTGGAGGGCGAGGTACGCAAGTTTAAGAAGTTCTTCAAGTTCCAGGTCATGAATCCACTGATCATCAAGACAAAGATACAGAACCTACCAGTAAGTTGTGTTACAAATCACTAGATGATCGATCACTAACAACAAACGTACATAGAATTTACTATTTCTGGAAGCATGCTTGGAGAATGCAACACAAGGCTCATTGTTCATTGAGTCAATAGCGTTTGAACCGACAGAGTTGTTCACTGTAACACCAATCAATGATAATACAGTCAGTGGTATGACGATCCCTGGCAGCACATCATCCAATCCAACTTCACCGACTGTAGCCTCAGCGGCATCCAATCCAATCAAAAGCAGCTTAGAGTATGTGTAATTGACTGACTATGACATGTCCATGACTAACCAATCACAATCCATCCAGTCCATCAATGATATTGGCAGAGTTGAGAGCTGCTTCCAATGTTGTATTTTTAAAGGAGGGCACTAGCAGACACTACCTGTTCAAGATAGCGCCAAAGGACCCAAATGACTTTGACACAAAGGTAAGATGGCGTTGGAGACAGGCCAAAGATCAAAGGACCGCACTAACAACCTCATTTCAAACTGCAGAACTCACCATCGTTGGGCAAGTTGGACATCACTTGGAGATCATATCTTGGAGAGATTGGAAGACTGAAGACAGCGTTCATTCAACGCAAGGTCAACTTGGAGGATGTAGAGTGCATACTCACAAAGATACCAAAGGTGGAGTTGGAGAAACCATTCGTTGTGACATCGAGGATAATCAACAAGACCAACAGAATACTTCATCCACTGTTTGTGCTGGTCAGGAACAAGATGGAGGGCATCCTCATCAATGGCCATCTGCCAAGGATTGGCGCACTGCAGCCAAACAGCTCATTGGACATTGACATTGAGATGTTCCCATTGAAGCCTGGCATGCAACAAATTGCTGGCTTGGCCATCAAACTACTGGAGACATCACAGTCGGATAGCTCATCATCGCTGAACAACCTCACATCATCTTCGTCATCACTCGCATCGTCTGTGGGCGGCGTCGGTGGTGTCGCGGCTGGTGCGCCACCCGCCGCACCCAAGAACTACTATGAGCTTGGCGTGTTGGCTGATGTCTTTGTCGAGAACAACAATGCATCATCGTCAACAACACAACCATTCTTCCAAGAGGTGTCCAAGGGCAATCGCAACTCCATCTTCCCCAAGACTAAATAAACTTCCACCAACCAAGTCCACGCCTTTCGCGAAAGGCACTAGGTACTTGATCATGTAGCAATGTAAATGATATAATATTGTTTTATTTGTTGAAAGGTTGGTTATATGTCTGTCTTCCTATCTATCTCTTGGCTGTACCTCTTCCTCGCTCATTCTCTTAAGCTGGTACCAATCCACGCTGGGGAATATAAGGGATCTTCCTGGGTACCATGGTAATACAGTCGATAATAGGACATACAGAGAGACACAAGTTACATCCAGTGCAGTTGTCGGTGACATTGGGGATATGTGTCTTGGCATCGAACTTAATGGCAGTGTATCCACTGTCGTTACATGTCCTGTTGAGGTTTGAGTGATTGATATGTTAGTGAATGATGATGGACTTGGATTGTGTCATCTGATACATACATGTAGCACTTGCCACAGTTGATACACAGGTCTTCATCGATAAGGGCCACGACTTGTTCCTTGTTGTTAAGGTCATTGTAGACACCGATTCTTGGGATGGCTCTGTTGACTTGGTCATGCACTGATGGCACAGGCTTGGTCTGTGGTGCAGCCTCGGGGACAACGGGCTTGGCCTGCAGGTCCAGAGTCTGATTCTCAGCGAACTCTTGTTGGTTTCTCTCCTTCTGGTAGTTACCAAAGCGTGGCAGGTTGTTATACTTCTTGCGCGAGGCCCATGAGGTGAGTGACAGGGGTGGCGATTGGCCGTCCCACTGGAGCAGATCCTCTCTCGATTGCATGTACAGGTAGGTCTTGAGACCAGTGATGTAGTCTTGGACGACGGTGAAGTCCTGATTCTGGACGGCTGAACAGATCTGGATTACACCAGCACCACAGTGAAGGAACTGGATACAGGTGTCAGCAGAGTCAGCACCACCTGTGGCCATGATTGGGAAGTCGGGAAGCGCACGACGGATCGAACTGACAGCACGAAGGGCCATTGGACGGGTGGCGTTACCACTGACACCTCCGTAGGTGGTCCTCTTCTCGGAACCGATGGCGGGCCAGGCGTTGGAATCACCCTTCAAGCTCATCAGGCCAGAGACTGTGTTGATGGCGGTGACACCAGAGGCACCACCAGTGTGGGCGGCCATGGCAATCTCCTTGACCTCAGTGACGTTTGGTGTCAACTTGGCAAAGAATGGGATCTTGATTGCCTCGCGCACCCACTTACAGATGTGCAGCACCAGGTCTGGGTTCTGGCCACAGGCAAGACCCATACCACGCTCACCCATACCGTGTGGACAGGAGAGGTTGAGCTCGAGGGCGTCGGCACCGCTGGCCTCGGCCATCTTGGCCAACTCTTGCCAGTCATCCTTGTTGAATCCACACATGATCGATGCGATCACTATCTTGCTGGGGAAGTCGCGCTTCAGCTCTGTGACGGCCTTGCACCAGTAGTGGCAAGTCTTCTCACTGATAAGCTCGATGTTGAGGAAGGCGCCTTGGCCAGGGCCAAAGTGATGACCGCTGGTTGTACCACGAACAATACGTGGAGACACATTGGTGACGAGATCCTTGTCCAATGAGAAGGTCTTTGTGACGGCGAAGCCCCAGCCTTGCTCGAATGAACGACGGATCATCGAGGCGGACGTGCAGGGTGTGGCGGAGGCCAGACCGAACGGGTTCTCAAACTTGAGGCCACAAAAGTCGATGCTAATGTCAACCAAGTCGATTGGTGTGAAGAAGTTTGGAAGCTGGGGAGAGTCTGGGATGGGGATACCATGAAGCGACTGTAGGTACTTGTGGATGTTCCATGATGCAGTCTTTCCATCGTTGACAGCCTCGACTGTGGTACCGTTGCCAATGAGATCACCACCACAGAACAACCATTCCTGGTTGGTGGCCTGCATGGTCATTTGGTCGACGTCAGCCAAACCGTGTCTGGTAAACTTCAATGGCTTGCATGATTCTGCTACCTCACCAATCTGACTACCAAAGGCAGAGATGATGTAGTCACACTTGACACGGAAGAACTGGTCCTCATCGACGGCGTACTGGCCATCCTCGCCCTTCTCTGTCTTGTAGAACTCGAGTGCGACGATCTTTCCCTCGCGACGAATCACCTGTTTGGGCAACACAAATGGAAGGAACTCGCAACGCTCATCCTTGGCAATATCAACCTCTTCGGGAACGGCACGCATGTCGCTGAAACCACGACGGAAGCAGACTGTGACACGGGAGGCACCACAACGGAAGGCCGAGGTGGCACAATCAAAGGCGGTATCTCCAGCACCCAGCACGACAACACGGCCGCGCAGCTCTGGCAGCTTGCTCGAGCATCCACACATGCCTGGCTTTGATCCCTTGGACACCAGTGGCAGGTAGTCCTTGGATGTGTAGAAGCCCTCAGCAACAGTGAGGCCTTGGAAGACCTTGTCAATCTTGGCCTCGGGCATACCAATACCAAGGTACACGGCTTCGTAGCCCTGAGCCTTGAGTGACTCTACAGTGAAGCCATTGTCGCCCAGCTTCTTGCCATAGACCACCTTGACGCCCAGGTCCTTCATGAGCTTGACCTCAAACTCGACGACGTCGAATGGCAGACGGTACTGGGGGATCTCAGCAGAGCTCAGACCGCCAACATACTCCTCCTTCTCAAAGATTGTGACGTCGGTGTAGCCCAGACGCGCAAGGAAGGTGCCACAAGAGATGGATGTGGGGCCACATCCAATTAGGGCGATCTTGGCACGGTAGCTCTCTGGCAGCTGGTCCAGTGGTGTAAGCGATGGGTCGCGGATCTGGGGGATGTTCATCTTCTTGAAGACGTCTGTGGCGTACTGTTGCAGGCCACCGATCTTGATGGCGCCCTCCTCGGTCGAGGCCAGGTTGCAGCCACCCTCACATAGGTTGGACACGGGACACACCATACCACAGGTCAGACCAACGGGGTTGTCTGAGAAGATAGCCTTGGCAGCGCCGTAATAGTTCTTTGTGGCGATTGAAGAGATGAATGACTTTACATCAAGTTGTGTTGGGCAAGACTTTTGGCAAGGTGCATCAGCGCACTTCAAACATCTCTGTGCCTCAAACAATGCACCTCTCTCTGTCAAAGTAGTTGGCTTCACATCGCTAAAGTCATTCTTTAGTTCACATGCCTTTTAGTATGATTGATTGATTGATTGATTGATTGATTGAAAGAGTTAGTGAAGTAAACAAATTGATTGATCATGAGATACTTACAGTCTTGCAACGCTCATTCTTCTTCCAATGCTCTTTGTCTTTCTTGCTGACTACTGTTGGCTTGAATGTGGCAAACTTGTTGACGGTGGGATGAAGGTTAAGAATGCCTTCGATATCATTGACAGCTGAAACATCGCCGCCAGGGTAATGATGTCCACTTTCCATCATGTTATTATTTTTATCTTGTAGTTTGATTGATTAATTGAATGAATGAATATAAGTATAAATAATATATATATTGTTATAAGTAAGAATGAATGAATCTGCAGTTTGTTGAATGAGCTTGAGTCAGTCAGTCGATGGATGAAGATGGGTAGTGTGATGAGCACAAGGTGTGCTTGTTTGCCTTACTTACTTAACACAATTGTGTGGAAGAGTGAGGGTTGTGTGTGGATTGGTAAGGTTTGGTGTTACAGTGAAAGGTCACCACCTCTAAATAATGCTCAAGATAAGATTGATCACCAGCTCATTCAATTTGGTCACAAATTATATTTGCAAAAATGGTGAAGTGTTTAGTTGCATTGTTTTGTGGGGTTCAGACCTTAGATATTTTGGGATTTGAAGTTCTGAAATTACCTCTCTTTATAATCTATTCATCCCATTCGTTCGTCCTCGTCCAATCATCAGTTCAACAATATTATGTTAATCATCATCATCTATTCAATCTAACAAGCTATCATCCTATCACTCTTTTTGTATTTGTTCGAACCCATTCTGTGTTTTAAAAACATATGACCAAGTGTAAATAATAGTTGTTGATATATATATATATTTATTTATATTGATCAATATATATATATATATAAATTATTTGTGTAAATGTAGACTTGTCTAGACTGCATTCTGTATCCAGAGTCGACTTCATCTTGTTCGAATAAGTTATCGACATGTGCAGGAAAACAAAATGCATTGGTGGGTTTACGTCAACATTGTTTTTGGGGTTATGCAAAGATTGACTTGGCTTGCTTGGTATCCTATCCCAAACAAACAAAGTCTTGGCAGGAATGAATGATTGACTTACTCACGCACCACAAGTACTAGTATCCCAAAACATCATACTACTCTACGACTCTCACTACTACTACTACTACTACTACTTGTACACTAATATCACTCAATCACTCAATCAATCATTCAATCAAACATATCAATCATATCAATCATATCAATCAATCAAACAAACATATAATGAACGGAGGCAATGAATATGCTCCGTTCAATAGGGATCATAGACAGAGTGTATCGTACTCAACAGAACAAGGTCAACAGGCAGTACAACAGAATGTTCTGAGAGAGGTGTATAAACAATTCGAGTTGTTGCTGTTGAAGAAGAAGGCAGGTGACCAAAAGGTCACGCTGCGTCAGGGTCTGCTCGTGTCAATACCTCAGGTGGAGAAGGTGTCCTCGATGAACAGCGTGCAGGTGACACATCAGCTCGAGGTCATGTCCAATGTGCTGGTCAAGATCTCGTCCGAGAGTCTGCACGCCGTGTGCGAGGTGCTGATCAAGATGTGCGACACCTACCTCGACGACCCCTACAACATGGTCAGTCAGAGCGACAAGAAGGGCAAGATCGAGCTGCCCTCCTACGCCAAGGATGACATCGAGTCCGACCTCGAGATCGTCCTGGCCCACTCCACATCTGACTCACTCTCTGGCCACGTGCTCACCACAACCCTCACGCGTGAACAGCAGCAACAGGGCGCGACGACACCTACCTTGTTGTCCCCTCCCACGCCAAACACTCATACTCACAGTCACAGTCATAGTCACTCATTATCATCATCATCGTCACATGGATCATTGGGCATGTACTCGAGTAGCAACAACTTGTTGTCGTCGCCACCAGGCTCTGGCGCTGCATCTGCGGCCGCCACACACTCACCTGCGGCTGAAGTTGAACAACCAAAGCAGGAGTACACATACCAGGCACTGCAGCCATTCAATACATACGCACAAGTGTCGGACGACACGCCTCTGTACCATCTGCTCAACACACTGTATCTCATACTTTCGTCGCATGCGCCGACGCGCGACGACACCGAGCTGGATGCTCGATCACAGCTCGCCACGCTGCCACCCAAGGTCATCACATTCTTCTTCAATCTTCTGCAGTTCACACAGTCACCTCGCATAAGGTACCGCGCTGCATCATGTCTCCAGGTGATCTCGCTGGCTTCGCTCGACACCATCTCGCAGCTGTTCATCACGCGCCTTCAATCTGCGCGCAATGATGACTTTTACCGCGAGTACTCAACGTTCCAGCGCGCGGCCAAGTACCTCGAGTTTGGCTTTTGTCGCGCCAACCAGGCCGACGGCACTTCACAATACTTTGCAAAGATGCTCATTGAGATGGAGAAAGCGTCACGTGCCGTCTTCATGCAGGCCATCCTCTTTACAATAATGCGAGCATGGCCGCGCATGTTTTCCAACCCGCTGTCACGTGCACGAGTGCCCGCGCCATTCTGGAACGTCGCGACCAAGATCTATGAGCTAGTGCTCAAGTGGACCAAGAAGTCCAAGCTCAAGCAGCTGTGCGTACGCACATTGGCCATCATGTGCTGTGCGTCCGAGGATGTGGTCCTGGCGCGCAGCGGCGATCTACTATCACTCATTGGCAACTCACTCAAGGAGACCAAGACTAAGCGACCATATCTCGAAGCGCTGGTCACACACTTTAATGGACTCAAAGGTCTGTTTGGAAGCGAGGCCAAGGCACCCTTCTATCAAGCACAGGTCGAGATGATTCTGCCATTCATCTTGCCAAAGAAATCATCACCAAGTGATCTCGTCCTCCTTCTCGAGGTCCTTCTCTCCATGGGACGCTTCAGTCTCAGCATTGTCGTCTCCAAGTACATCCTCGGAGTACTCGCGCCATCAATGCCTGGCAAGCCACCCGAGTACAGTCTAGAGAGCAAGGCTGTCGTGCTCAAGGTATGTTCATTGTTTGATTGAGTGATTGAATGATCATGGACTAACTTCATCTTTCCATTCATTAGATGTTGAGCTCATTGAACACAGAGTTCCCAGAGGCAATGCGAGCATATGACAGGACATTGTGGCAGACTTTGGACGTTGTGTTCTCAACATACGATGGAGACAGCACACCGATGAAGTACATTCTGCTGAACTTCCCATCGCTGTGCTCACCCGAGTCTCAAAAGGACATTGGCGACAAGATTACAAAGTGGACATGGCATTTGGATGGCGAGGTCGCAATGATGGCCACGATCGGCATCGTCAAGTACCTGTTCAATCAACCACAGCAGACATTCCCATCGATCCTCTTCCAGATGCTGACTTACATCACCAACTACTTTGGCGAGATTGCCTCACTGTCCAAGGTGGTCAAGAACATATGCATGGTAATTGAGGAGTTCATCGCGCTGCACTACCTGCCCAATGGCGAACGCAAGTGCTCGCCACAAATCGAGCCCACCATGTGGAAGAACCTGCGCGAGACGTCCGAGGGTGTTGCGCTGTACCTACTATCGTCCAACGTCACATCTCTCTGGCCACAAGTGCTCGAGTTCATTCAGTTGACAGGCCACGAGATCTTCCGCGAGATTGACCGCGCTGACAATGTGGCTTACCTGGCGGACTACCTTCCACACCGCACGTTCTCGTCCCTTCCATCCAAGCCGCCTCACTTGGACCTGGACAGCGTGGAGTACAACTGCTTCGACACACTCATCCCTGCACTCAACCCCGACCTGGCCTACTTCTTGCAGATACACAATGGCAACCTGCAGGGCAGCGTCAACTGGGCATGGACCCGTCTGAGGAAGCGCTGGCACCCCAAGAGCCAACCGATTGGTTGGAAGAACAACCTGGCCTTTCTACTGCTATCGCTGCGTCTCAATACACAGTCGCCCGAGATCACAGCCGTCGAGGACCAGCTGCTGACCGAGGTAATGACATCATACTTCCAGGAGCGCGAGGGCAAGACTGGCGAGGAGATGAGCTACATGATCTCTGAGCTATCACGCTACATCCATCAATCGTGCTACGATACTGTATTCCGCTTCGTCGAGCAGGAGCGTGGACGCGACCTCAAGAAGAAGAAGAAGGAAGTCTTCTACGTCCAGGAGCACGTCATTGTCTATATCAGCCAGCTGTCTGCACGCATCACCGTTGCCGACTATGATGGCACCACATCGATACGTGCGGCACTGCGCGAGGTCACCTACTTCTGGATCACCAATGTACAGGTGTTCCAATCAATGCCAGCCATCGTGCGCAATCACTGTGCCAACCTATTCAAACATTTCCTCGCGCTAGACAGCAAGAGCACCATCCCCAAAAGCGAGATCTCGCTCAACAAGGCCTCCTACACCAAATTGATCTTCCTCTGTTTGCAAAGGTATGTATGAAGCTTGGGTCTCTCACTCAATCACTTAATCACTAACCCAATCAATCAATCGGATAGCTTATCACTTGGCGCAATGACCAATGAGGACACGATTGAAGGAGAGTTGGAGTTGAACATTCAGAGGGCATTCAACTTGCTTGTGTCCGAGTCATGCCTGGACGATTACAAATTGGACATTGTTGGATTCTTGATCAAATGTCTTGGCTATGGCATCCACCTACACCAATTGATTGCAGAATCCATGGCCATATTTTTAAGACGCACTCCAAGCTACCTCGACGAGTTCATCGAGCGCAGCTTTGATAACGAGAAGCAACAGCTTGCCTCATTCACCTTCCTCCGCGCCTTAGTAATCAACTTTACACAACACTACTCGAGCTGGGCTCACGACTGTCCTCCCGAGAGGCTGTAAGTATCCATCGCGGATCATTCCTGATCGCATGTGCAATGACTAACCCATCACAACACACTTCTAGCGTGCACCTATGTCTATTCCACATGGTATCGAGTAACGCTGAGGCGAGGAAGCTGGCGTGCACATTGTCAAACACACTGGGCCAGCAGTCGGAGGATGGACAGTTCATGTTGTTCAACTCACATCAGCTCACGATTCCCACGGAGAGCGTACCAAACTATGTGTACAGTCGCATGGCATTGCTCTACTCCAACTCAATCAGCAACAAGTATCCATGGATGACACCACTGCTCTTTGAGGAGGCCGATCGTCAGTTCCAACATCTCCCATTCAATCACAAACAGTTGCAACTTACTCTCTTGGCACCATGGGCGCGCAATTTCTACTGGGTGGTGACAGGTGGCGAAGGCACCCTCACGGCCAAATCGCTCGAGAACATGTTGGACTCGTTGCTCAACATCTCCATCCAGGCGCGCACCAACCCCAACATGCACACTGCACTTGAGGTCCTCTGGAGCGAGCTAGCATCGTCTGGTGACAGCACTGGACCCACGGGCACTTACAACGTGTACAAGCGCGTGATTGACTTCTTGAAGGAGCGCTATCACTCGGAGAAGTTCCAGCCCGAGACCAAACACACGTGCAAGATGGCCATCTGCTTCATCTCTCGCCGCTCCAGCTCACACTGGACCTCTGTGATGGAGTACCTGATGAAGTCACTGCGACACTACAGTCTGTTGCCGCCATCACCTATCCAGTTCGTGCAGGAGTTCCTCAACAATGCTGAGAACCAGGCCAAGGACGAGCACATCTCGGCACGCTCCGAAGAAGCCTACATGTACTTCCTCGAGGACATGACTTTTGAGTTCCAGCTCAAGGACGTGCTGAGCATCCCCAAGCTCGTGCCCATGCTCCTTGTTAACGCCGTGCTCGTGTTTGGTCCGTTCAGTCGCACCGCCCAGCAGCACCAGAAGGAGCGCCCGCATACAGACAAGTCGATTGGCAAACGCATCGTGGATAACATACTCTACTCACTCGTGATCCAGCAGCCCACGATTGGCGATGACATCAAGGACGAGGCCATGCAGCTAGTGACCTCGGACTGGGTGACATGGCGCGAGAAGGAGCGCATTCAGTTCATTCGAGTGCTCCAGACCGCGTTGGGTGACAACATCATGGAGATGTGGGAGCAGATGGTACTGCAGCTGGCCATTCGCTGTAGCGACCTCCCCGTCTCACTATCTGCCTTCGACTGGTACCAAGACATCCGCACGACTATTGGCACGAAGAAGGACGGCATGGACGGCCTGCTCGGACTGTGTTGCGGTCTTTGGCGCGCATGTATCATGGGTAACGTCGAGAAGATGTACAAGACACTGGGCGTGCTCAATGCGATTATTGCGAATGGCACACGATGTATCAACTCAGACACATCATATTCAATCATTGTGCGACTGGGATCCATCCTTCTGCACACGTCCTATCTCTCGCAGTTCAACTCAGCGCTCACTCTACTCAATCGCACCACCCACTCGCTGTCGGGAACACCCGCTCTCAAAGCCCGCATCACCGAGGAGATGATAGATATTCTTGGCGCGGGAATGAAGACCGAGCAAGTGGTCAATCGTGGCATCGGTCATCCACAGACCGCCTTGCTCACTTTATGGTTCGCCAAGGAGTGTGCACAGTTCTCCGAGCAGAGGAAACATCGCGTACAGCCAAGCTCAATCATCACAACAGTTTTGCTCACAGCGAGCTGCATGGCATCTATGTCTCCACAGGACCCACTCACACTCGACTTTATGGACTACCTCTTGGACTCGCCCAGCCAGCAGCTCAATGCGCATCTCGACCTCTTGCATGAGCACTATCGCTTCGTGTCCAAGTCGATCAGTCAGCCACCCTGCACCACTGAGGAGTTCATCGGACTCATTTGCCAGCACTTCTACGAAGCTTTCGCAGACACCACGCCAGACCTTCTCTCCAATCTGATCCGCTCAGTCACTGAGCTAGTCACATCATTGATGGACTCGAGCCGCGAGAAGGACGCTTCATTCCTGCTGTCATTCATCAAGGAGATGATCAAGATAATGTCTGGCTCATCGGCCATCATCCAGCCTACATACCTGGTCGAGTTCATCACGGTGATAATTGAGGTGTGCCAGCGCTCTTCGTCCGCATTCACACGTGCTAATGCTCAGAACTTGATCCCATTCATAATGGACAACCTGCCACCGGGATTGCAGGTTGGCGTGTTTGACTTTGTCAAGCCGTTCACCAATGGCTTCGATAGCTCTGTATCCTCAATGTTTGGATTCCAGACCGAAGTGGACTCGGTCAGCAATCTGTATACATCGTTGTATCTCATCAACACGTATATCTTTGCCGTGCCCGCGGACTCTGCACTCAACATTCAGATGAAGCGCATACTGGAAACATTCCACAAGGATAGACAATCATCGAGTATACTACCAACGATTACCACACCATTCACTCCCACGATAAAGAGGAAGCATAACGTACCAGCTGCGACCACACCTACCAAGCCCGCATTGGTATCCAATGAGACGTCCAAGGCTGTCTACACGCCACCACCTCCCTCTCAACCAGTGCAACAACCGGTTCAGCAACAGGCGCCAGTTCAGCTTCCACCTCAGCCCAAGCAGGCACCGCCTCAAACTCCACCCGTTGTCCAACAACCACCTCCTCCACAACCATCTCAACCTCCAACCTTGCCACAAAAGCCATCAGGTTCATTGTTGTTCAAGAAGCCGCCACCTCCAACTCATGCTCCTCCACCTCCTACATCACAGCCACCACAGCCTCAGCCTCAGCAGCAGGCTCCACCTCCAACTCCCCAGGTTGTTGTCCAAACTCCACCGCCAACAACTCAACCAACTCCACCATCTGGAGCCGGTGGCTCTGCATTCTTTAAGAAGCCACCACCTCCAGCTATTAGAAGAGAATCATCAGGGCTCTCTCCTCAGACTCAATCACCTCCGATCACCTCCACAACACCACTACAGACATCAACAACACCGAGCACACCATCACCTCCAGTATCCTCGCCATCACCAATGAGACCACCATCAGGACCTCCACCTCAACCAGGACACAGAAGAGAGCCATCAAACTCTGGCCAGCCCCTGCCTCCACCACCAGCTCAGCAACAGCAACAACAACCTCAACAGCCTCCAGCCTTACCTCCAAAGACCACACCATTGTTTGCTGCGCCACCCAACCGACCACCTCCACAACCAGGATCAGGACATCAGAGGACACCATCAAACACCTCTGGTGCTGCACCACCAGAGCAGCAGCAGCAACAATCAACTC